ACTATGTTCTTAGCTTATACAGATCTGAAATCTTAATAGTTCACACAATGCTATACTCAGCGATTATACCTAACAGTATGAAGTAGCATTATATGTGAATGTCAATGGAGATTTTCAGTCATCCAGGTCATGGTTGTCCCAAAGGTGCTTTTTCAAGAGGCAACTGGACTTTCTTGTTTTTCTTTGAAGACATTTCGCTTCTCATCCAAGAAGTTTCTTCAGCTCTGACTGGATGGTGGGGAATGGAAGGATTTACATTTCTTGCAACAGCTGGTCATTTGCATTCTTTTAGAGAGTCGTTGAATCCACTTGGAGGTTTATCTGTGCCCTCAAGGTCACCTACACTGCTCAGGAAGATCTTCAGCCAACACAGCATATGTACACACTTTAAACCCAAGAATACACTAAAGCAGAAGCTTGTTCAAACCAAGGATAAAACATCCAAACATAAACGAAATAATATGATATATAGAGTACAATGCAGTGAGACATGTGCAGATCTGTACATTGGGGAAATGCATGCACTTCATAAATGCATGGCACAACACAGAACAAACCCATCATGACAAGATTCAGCAGTCAATCTGCACTTAAAAGACAAAGGGCACTCTTCTGAAGACAGCAAAGTCCACATTTTGGACAGAGAGGACGGCTCGTTTGAAAGAGGGGTCAAAGAGGCCATCTATGTCAAAATTGAACAGCCCTCTCTCAACAGAGGGGGAAGGATACAACATCTATCTCGTCTACAACATAGTCCTTTCAGCAGTTCCACACCCATCTGCACTACTTAGGTGACTTTGAGGACTGATAAACCTCCAAGTGGTCTCAACAACTCTCTAAAAAGAATACAAATAAATCCTTCCATTCCCCACCATCGCTGAAGAAGCTTCTTGGATAAGAAGCAAAATGTCTTCAAAGAAAAACAAAGTCCAGTTGCCTTTTGAAAAAGCACCTTTGGGACATATGACCATGTCCACTGCCTATGGCATTCTTCTATACCTAATAATTATATCCAAGATGGGGACTGCAGCCAAGAAATTAAAAGACGCTTGCTCCTGGGGAGGAAAGCTATGGCAAATCTAGACAGCATACTAAAAAGCAGAGACATCACCCTGCCAACAAAAGTATGTATAGTCAAGACCATGGTTTTCCCAGTTGCAATGTATGGCTGTGGACCATAAGAAAGGCTGAGCACCAAAGAACTGAGGCCTTTGAACTATGGTACTGGAGAAGACTCCTGCAAGTCCCCTGGACTGCAAGGTGATCAAACTGGTCAGTCCTAGGGAGATCAACCCTGACTGCTCTTTAGAAGGCCAGATCCTGAAGTTGAAACTCAAATACTTTGGCCATCTAATGAGAAGGAAGGACTTACTGGAGAAGAGCCTAATGCTGGGAAAGATTGAGGGCAATAGAAGAATGGGACGACAGAGAATGAGGTGGCTGGATGGAGTCACCGAAGCAGTAGGCGTGAGCTTAAATGGACTCCAGAAGATGGTAGAGGACAGAAGCCCTGGAGGAACATTGTCCATGGGGTCACGATGGGTCGGACACGACTTTACAACTAACAACAACACATTTGGTTCAAAATTGTCAATATTTTTTACTAACACATGGATTATTACAGAATTAAGCAAGTCATTTCACTGTCAATGGAAATGGATTGCTTTCCCTCAATACACATTTAACCATAGATCTCAGTTAGCAATGTTTTAGCAATGATCGGTAAAGACCAAGAACAGATTGCAAGTTATCAAAGAATGGAAGTATTTACCAGTTTTGAACATCAGGTTTTACATATTTTAATCTTTTTACTTTTCCATATAATTTATATTTTTTTATTTATAAATTTCTTAAAAAAATATTACTGTGGTATGCTACAAAAATGTTTCCAGAAGATAAAATGTTCAGTTCTACAAACTTTTACCACTGGAAGAGGATTCACTCTACAAAGAATAACTTATTCAAGTCAAAGTGATGGATTTTTATTTAAGTTTTTTTCCCAAGAAACAATGCCAAATGTATTCTGAACACTCTGCTCTGTTCAATTTTCTATCACCATTCTTTTCTTTAATGTTCTGATTTTGGTGTACTGTTCTTTCCTATGTCCATGACTTCCCACGACTTTTTGCAAAATTGTCTTTGAGTCCTTCCTTTAATTTATCCATTGTTTTGCCAAACGGTTATTTCTGATAAATATTTTAAATTATTCTTCATAATTTTTCATAACAAAACATCTAGTACCGCTACAAGAGCATTAGCAAACGATCAATAGTAAACCTTAATTTAACTTTAAAGTCAAGCAAAGTTTTTTTCACAAAATGTATGACAAAATGCCCCAGAAGATATGAGCATTTACTACAATATAAATTTTAAGCTGAGTTCCCCTCCAAATAACACCTAATTCTATGGTATACATTCTAACGTTCATAAATTGGAATAGCATAGGATGCTAAACTCTAATTTGTTATCATTTTTGTTAGGGGCTAAGTTAACATTAACATACATTAGTTATAGCTGGAAAAGCCACAATACAGTTCATATATTGCTATAAACATGCTTTACATACTACAGTATCTAAACTCATACAATTTACTTAGCCAAAAACCAACCAATCAGATCAAATCTTAAGTTTGACACAAAATTAATTGGCTTATTTTAGCAAAATAGGTGCTAGTGATATCAGTGTAACAATAGGAAGAGATAAGTTTTACTTAATATACTCATTCACTTCATAGACTCACAGAAGAAAATAATTAGAGGATGAGATAGGGGTTAGTTTGGAGTTCAAATATTGAAGATTGCATTCACGTATCACACTAAACCACTACTTACTTTTCTTTTAGGCTACAGTTTGCTGAATAAATTATAATGGGTGAGTAATCTTGCTTACTAATGGGTTCGGATGAGAATAAATCACAGGTTGAAAAGCTATTGGAAAACAAAGCAAATCAAAATTCAGTTTTCTTTAATTCTTTTCAGTTCTGATACTGACTTGAAGCAGAGTGAGAGCCTTAAATGGTTTCATGGTAAAGACCAACCTTTATCAAAAAGGTATCAACATTTTTTCATAAAAGGAGATACTAAACAAAGAAGTTCACTTCACTTATTGCTATTTCATCAGAACCCTTAACAAAGGAAATAAAGTGTGTTTGGAAATACAGGGATTAGAAACTAATTGCACTCACTATAAATCTTTTTGTTAATGATATTGCTCTAATTGTGTGAAACACAAGAGAATTTTACAATTATGAATACTCTTCTGACTTTTGGAAAAATAACACATTTATGACATAGCGTTTCTAATTCACTATTTAGATAAAAACTCCTACAACAATACAAAGTCTATTGAGCAACTCATCAGGAATTCAAATCAATAACACTCAATTATCTAGAGGTTTATATTCCCAAACATTTGGACAACTATTTCAAACCACTGGTTAATTACTCAGTTAGGAAAATGAAACAGCGGTCAAAATTAGAATTATAATGGTTTGCTCAAAAAATAGTGAGAATAGGTAGGTGTGGTAGTTAAAGACACCAAGCCGGAAAAGGGAGACTATGAGTTCTAGTCTTGCATTAAGCATGAAAGCCACATGGGTGACTTTTTCTCAGTCTCAGGAAGAAAGCAAGAGCAAGCAACTTCTGAAAATCTTGCCAAGATAACTACAGGGACTCAATGCCAAGAGTCAAGACTGATTCAAAAGCACACACACAAAACAGTAACAATAACACTATTTCCTTACTTCTTATGCCTTATGATTAGTAAACACAGTAGAAAAAAACAGGACCTAATTTTTATAAAGTTTTGTATAAAAACATTAAAAGATGTGCTCTTGGAATTCCAAATCTTTGATCTTTTGATATTAATTGTATCAATATTATTTTTAGCTTGATAAAGTCGGAATAGATATTTAAGATGGAATGTTTAAGAAACAGTATTAAAAATTAGGGCACTTCCTCTTGTTTCTTCTGAATATGTTCAAGAAAATGGAACATATGCATCCATCACCCCTTCATACTTTTATAAAAGTGTTATGATGAAAACAAAATTAAATAGTATCATGCGTGGGATATTAATGTTATTTAAAAAAATTTCCACAGGGACGTTGAAATGACAGGAACATTCTTAAAACTAGCAAATAACTGCAAACAGTTTTAAGAATTTTAAGTCATTCATGGTTTGAAATATATATTCTGCATCTTACTGCAGTTCTAGCAATCAATACCTCTACAGCTAAAACCATGACTAAATTTGAAATTAAGTTAAATTCATCACTCAGTAGGAGAAAAGGAGGATTTCAAAAATTTACAACATTCTGTTACAAGATAAAATTTTTGAATTGGTTGAAAGTAACATTGCCATCAGATATAAAAAAATTATCTTGACTTTGTTTATTTTCTGGTAGAGAAAACCACTCAAATCGATTTTGCCCCAGATTAGGGAACACTCAACAAAAGCAATCTATAGATACTGTATTAAAATCTAAGGAAACTCAACATGATGAGTTCCAAGCCCCATTTATTGGAGGAAATATAAAGAAACAGGTAGATTTTATACAATGTGGTTGTTCTGTACAGATAATCCTCAACTTATGACCTTGAGTCTATAATTAAGGTTAACTGGATCATCACATAACTGGTCCGATTTTACATTTTTTTTGAGGCAGTCACTAAGCAAATGGAATGGTCATTAAGCAAACAGTGGCTGTTAGGCAAATCCATTGTCTGGAAGCAAACATATAAATAATATATAAATAATGTCTGTATATATAGTGCAGTCATATGACTGTAGAACATTGTAAATGCCCATCAACACAGAACCGAGGTGGCGCAGCAGTTAGAGTGCAGTACTGCAGGCCACTTTAGCTGACTGTGTTCAGCAGGTCAGCGGTTCAAATCTCACCGGCTCAAGGTTGACTCAGCCTTCCATCCTTCCGAGGTAGGTAAAATGAGGACCCAGATTGTTGGGGGCAATGTAAATATATATATACATTGCTTACTGGTGTACACCGCTTAGAGAGTGCTTGCACTTAAAGCGGTATATAAGTCTCATAAATAAATAAATAAATAAATGTGGGCTGCTTGCTAATTGCCAAAAATGCAATCATATGACTGCAGGGGAACCCAGCCTTCGAACTTTGAATCTGTGTCATAAGTACTTTTAAGATCCATCATAACTTCAAACAGTCACTAAGCAACTGGTCATAAGTTGAGGACTATCTCTAAAATATTTCAATCGTTTTGGATTTAAGTTTTTATTAAATAGGCAAGCCATAACTCTGATTATTTCATTGGATCTTAACTTGGCCTTTTTCTTTTTCTTCTGGATAATCCAAGCAATACCTTAAGAGACAAGTATTAACAAGATCCTGGAAAACAGGAAAGAACTGGAAATGTTGCCAAGGTGACAAATATGTTAGAAAATCTCCACAGTGGGAAATTTGACCACCAAAATGGCAATATATGATTTTCCTTCACTTAATTTATATTTATTATGCACAACAAAGTCATAATAATTGCATATGAGCCAGGCATAATCTGAGTTATATGTATTTTCTTCTCTATATACTCCATTATCTTGTTTATATATATATATATATTTAAATACCAACTTAAAATCAAACTGATATTAGTATTAACTGTGGGTTACAAACTCATTTCTTAATCTAGATGAAAGAGGCATGCCTGTACCAAGAGCAGAGCAGAAGCATGTCTGGTTTAATTATAGTTATATTTTTTTAAAAATAATGTATTTCTTCAACTTCAATCCCATCTTTCTCCACTATTACCATTATCGAACAGCACCATGTTCGACCAAATCAACAACAGAAGCCCTTCAATGTACTTTATAAAGGAAAATGTTTTTGCTTACTGGCAGAAAGATAACTAAGATGTAGTTGTTCTGATGTTATCTTTACTATCTATAGCAGCAATTCTCAATCTTTGTGTGACGGCGACCCCGTCACACGCATGCGCGGCACACATGCGCGGCGCCGCCCCCTGGGGGGGAAAATGGCAGATCGCGTTGTTTCGCGACCCCCGCAAAATGGTCGATCGACCCCAAATGGGGTCGCGACCCATAGGTTGAGAACCGCTGATCTATAGTATAGAAAATATCTTATGTCTTTTCAGAGGAAATATTTTCTACACATCGTGTGAATCAATTTTTAAGCCATGATTTACAAACTACAATGGCTGAGTTTACACAACATATGAAGTTAAAACCAAGCAAAGGTCACAGTATATGGTTAGGTAAAGTGCATGAATCCCACAATGAAATTGGAAGGACATGAATTGCTTCCCTGCTCTTATTAAAAAATTAAAGCTCTTAATTTACTGCAGTGGTTTTGAATTCTCCATGTTTATCTCTTTTATGAACTCAAGACCAAAACATAATGCCATCTCAAATATAACTACTATATTTGGGCTGCAAAAATCCAGCCAAATATTTCAAAGTAGGAGTTACAGCCCTACAGAATAAAATATAATCTAAAATCCCATCTGCTAATATAAAAACTGTTTAGCATGTGTTATTATATTTACCTGTGTTAACATTCTATTCTGTGAAGTAACAAATTGGTATCACACTCAAAACAAAACAGGTAAGTAAACTTCTATGTGAATGCATCCATATCTAGAAAAAAAGCAACAGTTTTTTCCTTTGATAATTATATTTTCAACATACAGCTACTTTCCAGTTATACACAGACATTTTTAGCTTCCCATCTTTCTACTACAGTTCTTGTTATCTAAGAGTTGGAAGGACCTTAGAATAGCATTTAACAGTGGGTAGGCCTGGAATACAAAATGGCAAAAATAAAATAAAAATAAAGAAAGAAAAAAAATAACCCATTACCCATTTCCCTTTGTATAGGCATGAAAGTACAGTGATTTTTTTTTTTTTAATATTGTAGATGCTTGTTAGGAATTTCCTCAATCATGTTCAAGTTATCAGAATGTTTCAGATATTAAAATCCAGTATCATCTTATTAATTTTGCAGAACTTTGGAGGGAGTTCAGTGTTTGGATGTCAGAGTTAGCGTAGATGACACACGGAAAATCTGTGGCAACATGTTACTCAGTTGGTAAAACATTTCTTCAGAAATACTTTGTGGTACCAAGAATTGAACAGTTCGAGAAATCCCACCATCCCAGGAAGCCATTTCCATCATAAATCCTTTGACACACTTAAATACAAGTTCTGCTCTTTTCAGGCACCAAGATATTGTCATTTCTTCAGACATATCATGTATCAGCAGAAGAGGAATACTAATTGTGGTGATGTCATGGGTGCAGCACACTTTAAGGATATTTCGGAGGCCCATGATTGCAGGATCCCGGGCTGTAATATTACCTGACCTCACATTGTCATCCACACAAAGATGAAAAGTCACATGAATTTCAGAGAGATTTGAATGTCGGGTGATATAAAATTCTCCTGGAAAAATATTTAATTGATTCTGTTCCCCATTCTTAGATTTATCTTCATTGCCACTATTTCTGTTTCCTGCTTCACTTAGTTTTTTGGCCTTACTACTGTGTTGTGCTCGAGCATAAAGGACAACTTGCTGAACAACTTCAAGCTGCTCCTGAACTCCAGGAAAATGGAAATCTGTACACTCCTGGCAAACTGTTGCAAAATCTCTTTTGATCCCACTATACGAACTGATGCGATTATCTACTAGCAAGACTAGACCACAAAGGGAAGTTGAATAAAGTGATAGTGCAGTTTGAAGACGGTGGAGTTTGACTCCGCTGCGGTGACTGCGCTTGTGCTTGCAGAAATCCAGCATATCTGCCCTCAGTAGTCGCAGATTATGCATGGTTTTCAGCTGTGCTCCCAAATGGATAGTGAAACTTTCTTCCAATTGCCTCTGGTCCTCAAAGAGTCTTCCAGTTCCTTCTTCAGATTCTCTCCACTGATTAGGAGTAACTTTGATCTCATCACCAATAGTACTGTTGGGATTTTTCAGATCCTGGTGAAGTTTTACAACCCATTCTTGATACTCTTGTTTTTGGATTGCCGTGGTTTGTTTCAATTCATTGTTCCACTTGTTCTCCAGTAGCTGCTGGGATTCAAAGTGCTGAGCTGCCAACTTGTTTACATCTTGATCTGTTAATGATTTCCCCAGTTCTTGCATCACCTTATCCATTTCTGCTCTTTGTCTTTCTCGCAGTTTTTTTAGCTCCATGTCCCTTTCACTTATTAATTCAGAGATGCTAACAAAATAATTATGTTCCAAGTTTAACAGAGTTTCAGAGGCAGGAGAGTGGATCAAGTCATGATAAACATCTGCAAAATCTTCATCCCAGCTGGGGTCTTCTGGTCTGGCATACTCTGATGTTGCTTCAGTGTAAGCTTGGGCCCAAGCCTTCGCCAGCTGGTGTAAATCCATTTTACCAGATTTTACAGCTTCTAGAGCCGCTTCTGCTTCTCTGTCAAAATCTTCTACAGATTCCTCCTCTATGAATTTAGCAAGAGACTCTCTTAAGCCATTTTCTACGAAGCAAGGCAAATTATGAAGAAGCATCAGACGCCTAGGCAAATGACTAACATTTTCTTGGGCAGGGAAGGTCAGCGGCACGGTAAGCACAAAATGCTGGTTCCCAGCGTTGAATTCATACACAAATTCTCTCTCCATCCTGCGGCTTTTTCCTTAGCGACTCTTCCTGCCGACGGCCGGGTGCCTTCCTAAGCGTTTTCAATTTATGTTCTTTTCAAAAACAACCGCCTCCCCCCCCAAACGTGCGCTTCCGCTTCTCAGTTGTTTCTGCAGTGCCCGCTCCCTTTAAATAGGGCCGGCTTCCGGAGTAGAGAGAGAGAGAAAGGCTTTCCGGCCCGATGGTCTCTTCGAGGCTTAAGCGAGCAGCGTCGCCGTTTTGGGACAAGGGTCGCAAAGCGGCGACATACGAATCCCCGGGCGTGACGGGGGCTTCCGGGTGCGCCCAGGCCGAGTCCAGCTCCTCCGGCGCAAGTAACTTCCAAAGGAGGCGAGTCGCCGCTGCCGCCGTGCAGCTGAGACCGTCCTGAGCTACGCTGGGCCTTTGAGGACCGACTGCCGCCCCCGGCTCACCTTTCAGCGGGGCAGAGGCGACACGGAGCCCTTCCCGCCGCGAGGTCCAGCCTCCTGCAAACCGGCGAGAGGGGCGGGCCTGCGTGCAGCCGCGGCCCCTGGGTGGAGAGCGAGGGCCGGCCTTGGTAGGCTCAGCCCCTGTCGTCGTGTTTACGTTCGTCCCGCTCGGGGTTCCCCAAGGCGGCCTCGGCCCCCCTGCCCGAACCCACCTTCGCTCCCTCCAGGCCGGGTCAATGCGGCGCTTTTCGCCGGGCTATGGACACCAGCGACCTCTTCACCAGCTGCAAGAAGGGCGACGTTTGTCGCGTGCGGTGAGGCCTGGGCCGAGGCTTCAGGGGGTCTCCGGGCGGGCCGAGGGTGGAGAAGGTGCGGCTGGCCCGTTTGGGGCATGACTGACCCCACCTCTCCGCGGTGGGCCGGGTGTTGGTAGAACCGGCTGGTATATAACTCTGGTGCTCGGGTTTGGCTGCCCGTGTATTTGTTGAGAGTCGATGCGTGTTTGTTTACGAGCGAGAACTTTTCAGAGTGGGTTCTTGCATTTTCAGACTCTTCCAACGTGTGAAGGTGGAGCAGGCTGTTCCAAGCACTTAACTGAAAGTGCTTCTAATTATTAGTTACTTATTTGCCATCATTTTAAGGAGAACAGAAAATGCAACCACTTGTTATTTGGTATGCAAGGGAAAAAGTCACTCTGTTGAGGGAAATGTACAATGAAAACTCTGGTTTAGTATTCTAGGTTGGAAACTAGCATTTGGGAGGAAATAAGCTATATATGCACCACATCTGGCTCTTTGTAGCATTTAGAATAACAGTAGTAAGATGATCAAAAGGAGCATTAACACTTTTTCTCATAGTGACTAACGTTTCTTATCACACTACATATATTAAAATATTCAATGAAAGAATGCCTGGTTCACACTTAACTTGCTTTGTTAGAAATCGCTTATACTGTAGATAATCCTCATTAGCTTTCATCACTCCCATTTCCATTTTCTCTCTTCCAAAAGCAGCAAAGTGTGTATGCATACTCCACACATTTGATCATTTCAAGTATGTGAGAATCCTGTGTTAGATAGTAAGACAAATATGCGTACAGTATATTAAATATTTGGGACCCAAAAATGATAGAAGGAATTCTGTTTTAATTTTGTTATGATGCGCATACTTTTGGCCTGCCCTCATTTACTTCTCTCCCAAAGCAACTACTATTATTAAGTCTCTTACTCAGGTTGTTTTATGTCAGTAGTGGGAAATCCATCCTCCTCGATTAGGTTCACTTCCTGGTGACTTGATGGATATGTCAATGCAGTTTTCTTGGCAACAACATGGAAATGGTTTGACATTGCCTCTGGAATGTTTATTTTGTTTCTTGGCCTAGCCTTGGAATTATCTGGTGCTTTACCATCCAAGTATTAAGTAGAATGAACCTGCCTTATAGTTTCATTTTGTTGTTTTTCCATCAGTCAAGTTATTCTAAACGCTGCCATCTAGCTGAGCCCCTGGTTCTTACATTCTTTCTAAAAAAAGTTTTTCTGCTTATCAGCTCTACTTCATCCCTAAAACAGCTGACAACTTCAGATATCCTAACAGAGCTAGTTTAAAAAGTAGAGAGATATAGTATATGTGAGATGAGCTTTGAAGCAATTTATAAACATTCAGTGTCATACTAAAATTACATGGTATTTGAAGATAATTTGAATCTATCTGCTGCTTTTCCGTTAAATGAGTTTAGTGTGGCTTGTAACAAGGAAGAATGTAGCACTGTTACTGTATAGAGGACATAATCAAGATACAAGCTAATAATTGTTAGCAATTTATAAAGAGAGGGTATGTATAAGTAAGCAGTATAGGAATAATTATCAATTGATTTAGTCATTTAATGCTAAAATTTATCTCATACTAAGCAATGTCAGTTACCAAAATAATGATTATAACAGATTTAATCAGATTTAAATATTGGAATCATAAACCGACAGTTAATTTCAATTTTCTTATAACAAGTAAGAATATTTTTTAAAAATTCTATGATGTAAAACCCATACCAACCAAAATGTACAACAGTAATAATATAGTAGATGAAGAGAATAATCCAATGTAGTACATTAAATGTTGCCATTTTAGGGTTTTCTTAATTGTTTTCTCTATATCTCTGAAGTTTAAGCTAAAACAATTAGAGTCCTAATTCAACAGTCTGATTATAATACCCTTTCCCCCCTTTTAAAATGATTTTTCAAGAAACAAAAGATGCTTTATTTTTATTTTTGTTATTCAATTTTAATCCCGCCTTTTATTACTTTATAAATAACTCAAGTTGGTGAACATACCTAATAGTTTTTCCTCCTCCTATTTTCCCCACAACAATAACCCTGTAAGGTAGACTGGGTTGAGATAATGAATGACCCAAAGTCACCTTGCTGGCTTTCATGCCTAAGGCAGGATTAGAATCCACACCCTCCTGGTTTTTAGGAAAATTATTCAGTCAATGCAAATCTAAGCAGCATGGAGCAAAACAATATAACAATACTATTAATGTGTATTTATACACAATAATAATATAAACACATATAGTATTTATATCATAGAATGCTATTTTAAAAAATGATGAATAGCATTATATCCTTACTGTACTACCATTCACCTCTGGCATATGCATTCCTTATTTCCCAGTCCAAATGTTCTCTGATAGAGCTGATATCCTAAATTCCAGGTATGAAGGACCAATGCTATATTTGGTAATAGGAAATTCCTTAATAGGAGAGTCTCTGCAGAAAATGCTTGTCTCTAGTCCCTTCGACCTTAATTCCTGATGAATGGGAACTCTGAACATGTGGTTCCTGCAGGCAGATTCCATGTGGAGTAAGCACTCTTAATGATAATGAGACTCCAAGCCACAGGTGTCAAACTTGCCACATCACATGACATGTTGTGACGGATCACAACTTTTTTTGCATTGCCGGAGCTGGGGTGGGCAGAGCCTCTGCATGATGCAACCAGCCCACAGGCCGACAGTTTGACACCCCTGCTCCAAGCCATGAAGGATTTAAAAAGTAATAACATTGAATTGCACCTGAAAACAAAGTGGAAACTGCACTTTGTTGCATGCTTCTATTTTCTCATGCTATATAAAGGGACAATATTTGTGTTCATATCAATAATATCATTGATAAGTAACCTTAAAGAACTTTTGTTATTTGTTTCACAGATACACACACACACACACTAGAAGGTTGGATTTGATCTACATTAGGTAGACAAATGGAATGAGTGTAATATGAAGAAAATATTTTTTGGCAGAATCTCACTTATTTGGGTGGGGCACCGTTGCTGGGACACTTTTTTAATAAAAAGAAAACTGAAGCTGTGAATAATTGGAATACATTCTTAGTTATTAAAATTGTCTGTTTATCTTTCAGATACCTTCTTGAACAGAGAGATGTTGAAATCAATGTCCGAGACAAATGGGACAGTACCCCTTTGTGAGTGCTTTGGCCTTGAGACACCCATACTGTTTGATATCCCTTACACAGGGATTTAAGAAAAACTAAGGTCTTTCAGTTTTTGAAGCATTTTTCTATTTTTTCTGGGTTTTTTTTTAAGAAAATGTTTTTTGTTATAAGTATTTTAAGTAATCTCTCCCTGGTTATATGTATGAATAATACTCCACTGTCTAGCCCCTCTGTTAACCTGGATACTTTTCTTCCTTTGTAAAAAATATTCTAGGTAACAGTAGAGATTTTATCATTGCTTGAGTGTGGCCATTTGAATAAGTTGCTAGAAAAATCCTGCTAATTTGAATTAGCCAATAGCATGGAAACATTAATTCTCATAATTGTTTTCAATTTACGTTCAGAGCTATATTATTTTTGAAGCAAAATGACTGACATTTTGCAGGCTAACCTAAGGATCTCTAGAATTATACAAAATGATCTGTCACACCATAAAGATTTTCAATTATTCATTTGTAATGCAATTTAATGTGTACTTGTGACTTTGCATTGTCTTCATTGTCTACAGAACTCATTTTTTGTAGCATGCTGCCTCAAATTTGTATGTTTGGAGTTTGCAGAAAACTTCCTTCAACCAGTCATTGCTCAGTCTTAGTTAGCCATTTGCCAACTAAGAGAGTGCTAATCAACAAGTGCTCCTTTCTCCATCAAGTTGATCAATTGTTTTCTGTGGTTCTTAATCTTCTCTTCACAGAAAGTGAAGCATATACACTGTTAGCATATATCTTTTGATTCCAAACTGTGCATCACCACTTTGTGAAGTGATGTATCTTAGCACACATTAAGAGAGCATGTGGGAGCTTTTATGCTACAGCATAGTCCATGACAGCATGTTAGTGAGCTGAACTAAATGAAATGCCAGCTAGATGGTACAAGGGATAAAATGTTGCAGGCAGTTTCTGCAGTGAGAAAACAAAATACCCACTAGCATAGCATTAACTCATTGAAATGTGAGTTTGGTTGATTTTGAAAATTGGGAAAGTGAGAACAGTTTTTCAGAGGGTGGTGAGGAAACAGCTTACAGTATGTAAATTTATTTTGCATTAGTAGTAGTTGAAAGACAACATTGTGGGATTGGTGAGTATATCTGCTATCTATGAGGTAGACAAAAATAACTTTATAACTTTATCTTTCAGAATATTATGCATTACATCAGTCCTGAAACAATTGTTTTGGTTATCAGTCTGAATCTAGGAAAAAAAAATTGAAGTGGTGGTTTTGCCTTAAAAGCCTAAGCAACTTCTGGACAACTTAATATTACTTACATGTTGTTTTATCTTGATTCCTCAAGATGAGACTGGGGAAAGGACTCTTATTGTAGAATGAATTCTTCAGGCAAACGTTTGCTGGCAGTAACCTCTTTCTAGAGCCAAGACATTTAAGTATACATAGTTATATTTAAATCTAAGGCCGAGTGCTTTTTATCATAAGAAATTACTGCTTAAAATGTTCATTATTTATGTGATCTGTTCTGGAAATCTTGCATAAAAGGAAGAGAACATTTATACTTCTTAAAAAGTATAGTACTTAAGTGAAGATACCTGATATTATCTTAACGTGGTAGGGGAGACCTGGCTTGACAGTAGTACATTTAAAAGGGATTTGGGTGTCCTTACTGACCGCAATTTACAGATTAGCCAGCAGTGTAATGCAGCTGCTTAAAAGGCAATTGCTATCTTAGGTATATTAATAAGAATATAAAGTCTGAATCACAGGAAATGATTGTTCTATTTTAGTTTGCCCTGGTCAGACCCAACTTGGAGTACTATGTCTGGTCCTTAAAAAGGACAAGGGGAACAAGTTCAAAGGAAGAATGTGTTGTTCGTCCATCGATTTTGATGAGGACCTTGACATCTTGTAGATTATGGGCCATCAACGATGTGTCCGTAGGTGGCTGATAAGACTGATGTTAGCACGGAACATTCTACCACATACTGAACAAAGAAATGTAGACACTGTTACTTCAGCATTTACAGCTCTGGCTTTGCGGCGTGCTCACTTCTCTTGTGCCAAGATTGTCCTTCTGTGTTCATATGTCTGGCAACCCTGGTACACCAAGGTGCGCCATGTCAGTCGACATGCGCCAGAAGTTCCCAAGAGATGGTTTTAATATCCAGGGACTTGAGAGAGGCTTTCAGCGTGTCTTTGTATCGCTTCTTTTGTCCCCCGTGCAATCGTTTTCCTTGAGACAGCTCACTATAGAAGAGATGTTTAGGGATGTGATGTTCTGGCATCCTTACAACATGGCCTGCCCAGCACATCTGGGCTTTTGTCAACAGAGTGTAAATTGATGATAAGCCTGCTCTGGAGAGGACATCTGTGTCTGGTATCTTATCCTGCCACCGGATCCTCAGAATTCTACAAAGGCAAGTCATGTGGAAGTAGTTCAGTTGCCTAATGTGCCTCCTGTACACTGTCCACGTCTCACTAGCATATATTAGGGTAGTTAGCACTGCTGCCTGGTAAACTTTAAGCTTAGTAGCAAGGCTTATTCCATGGTGGTCCCACACGTTAGTCCGCAATCTGCCAAATGCAGAACTTGCCTTGGCAATTCTACAGTTGACCTCGTTGTCAATTGTCACTGCATGGGAGAGGGTACTACCAAGATACGTAAATTGGTCCACTGCTTGCAGCTTTTGTCCCTTTACTGTGATGGTAGGCTCTTGATATTGAGCTTTTGGAACTGGCTGGTACATCACTTCAGTTTTCTTCATGTTGATGAAGAGGCCAAAGTTGTCACAAGCGGCTGCGAAACAAGCGGATACCAAGATAGTGAAGGGCCAGAAAAGCAAACCTACAAAGAATGTTTAAAGGAGATTGAGGAAGAGATACCAGAACATCTTCAAGTGTCTGAAGAATGGTCACACAGAAATAGGGCATAGACTTATTTTTTATTGCCCCTCACAGATGAAGGTGTTAAAGCCACAAGGGAGCTGTTTCAGGATAGATGTTGGGAGGAAATTTTTGATTGTATGAACTGTCAGCTAATGGAACAGGCTGCCACATAGCATAAGTTCTCCTTCCCCAGAGATCTTACAACAGAGGCTGGTTGCTGGATGCTCATCTTTCAGACTTGCTCAAGATTAAATTATATTTAAGATATCTGAACTCTAGGATTATTCGTGTTCACTACTTTCCCCTGTATATGATATACAGTTACTTTAGTCTGCTTTGGCCTTTTCATATTAAAAAACAGAGCAATAACTCTGAAGAGACCTAATCTTTCATGTAATTCTAGAGTTTCCATTCAATTGCAGAATTGGTGCTATGGACCAGCTTTTGGGACTCATGATGCATTGTTCTGTAAAGATTTTATTTTTATTAGTTTATTTCTGATCTCACTGTTCTCTTTTATAGATACTATGCTTGTCTCTGTGGACATGAAGAACTTGTGCAATACCTTCTAGCCAGTGGTAAGAAGACTGACATATTCTTCTAGAAATAAATATATGTTTGTCACTTTATGCCCTCTAGAATTGGAACTGTAAAGTTGGCTAATAATCTTGCTGTGATGAAAACTGTAGTTCCTTTCAACTTGTTTTAAACATCAAAGAAATGTTGGTCTTTTCCCCTTGGATCCAACTGGTCCAAGTTTTACACTAGAAATACATTCACTTTAAATGGCCAGCTGTTGTAATCTATGAAGTGCATAGTAGAAGAAACCTGAAAATCAGGAATAGCTCTTTTGGCATAGTGATCCATCTAAACCAAGCTGTAGCTCACCCATATTTTCTTGAGAATTAATACTGTTTCATAATAATTTGATTGCAAGGAAAAATATATTAAAAAGGAATGCAGTTAACTTTATACAATTCTTGTTACCTGAAAGTTTACCTGAGAAAATAAAGGTCAGACATTAAAACCAAATAACTTCTATAGAACCTTTAGAGATTGTGGTTTAAATCATAAGGCAGATTCATGTCTTAATACATGAACATATTCCTGAGGTGATTTGCTGCTTTTCTAAAATTAGGGATACAGGTACAGGATATTTTACAATTAAAAAAATTTAACAGAAGCAGTATGTAAGCCAGTCACCTAGAAATGAAACTTATTAGCTGAGAGTATTAATATATAATACTCAATTCACTGACAAATGACAAAATCAAATGATAAAATTCACTGAAATGACAAAATTCACTGAAATGACAAAATCAAATTATGTTCATTGTTTTTCTACATCTCTTGTACTTTGTATGTAAATTGATTTTCTCTATTATTTCAGCCAATTAGGGTAGCATAATGTAATAGTCTAATATTCTGAGGACCTAAATTTCTCTACTACAGGAATTCAGTTTTCATTTTATTAGCATTTTTAGAAACTTGATCTAATTCATGCAACAATAAAATCTATTTTCTCTAAAATATTGCTTCATAGTCTTAAATGAGCTCTTAAGTGGATGGAATTTGATTTTATTTCGTAAGCTTTTCTTTGGACCTAAAAATAACAGTTATGTCTAAAGGCTCTATAGAAATTATTTGTACAGTTATGTATATCTTTTAATTCTACTATTAGTTTGAAGTCCGAGCAGTTCTTAATTCATACCAGCGGTAAAATTTGCCCCAGATTTCGAAGTATTCGTGTTCCGTTTTGTCTTTCATAATCATTGTAAGCCTGTCCATCTCAGCACATATTAGAATTTTATGCAGGATCTCTTCTTCCGTTGGGGTTCCCTTGTTCCTCCAATTTTGAGCAAAAACCAGCCTGGAGGCCGTTAAAATGTGTAGCATTAAATAAAGTACGCCTTTGTCATGTTTTTGCGTAGTTAAACCTAATAGAAAGAGTTCTGGTTTTGGTTCTACCGCTTGCTCTAATATTTCTTCCAACCATATTTTAATCCTGTTCCAAAAATCACAAGCTCGCGTGCATTCCCACCACATATGATAGTAAGTTCCACTTTTCAAATTACATTTCCAACATTTAGGGGAGACATTGGTATACATTTTAGACAATCTTGTGGGTGGGAGATGCCATCTATAAAACATTTTGTAAAGGTTCTCTTTGTAAGAGGTGGCCAAAGTAAGCTTCTTGTTTCTTGCCCATAGTTCTTGCCATATATGCAGATCAAAATTAAGACCAAAATCCTTACTCCAATTCAACATAGTCACTTTTACTTGTTCCTCGTACGTTGCCTGATCTAGCAAATAGTAGTATAATTTTTTAATCATTTTATCCTCCGACCCCAAAATTATTTTATCCAATTCTATTGGTTCTAGTTTAATGCCTAACTCTTTTTTGTCTTTCCGATATCTTGCCTGCAGTTGCAGGTATGCCCACCATTCTAATTCTATCCCTTCATCGTGGATGGTTTTCCTGGATTTCAATTCCCCTCTTTCATCTAAGATATTTTTATATGTTATGGTCTTGTCTAATTGAGTAAATTTTGGGTGTACATATATTTCTAACGGTGAGATCCAACTAGGTACTTGGGTATAATTTGGTTGCCAAATTTTTGTCCATACATCAATAAGAGCTTGCCTAATATAGTGACTTCGAAAATATTTATGTACTTTATATTTATGATCCCATAATATGGCATGCCATCCTTTTTGTAGGTCATGGCCCTCCAGACACAATAGTCTCCTATTTTTTAGTAATATCCAATCTCTTACCCATACTAATGCTGCGGCCTGGTAATATTTCTCCAAGTCTGGAAGACCAAATCCCCCCCTTTCCTTTAAGTCCTGTAGTAATTTTAATTTAATCCTTGCTCTTTTTCCTTGCCAGATGAATTTACACATCATTTTATTCAAATTTTGAAAAAATTTCTTGTCTAATTTTATAGGTATACATTGGAACAAAAATAAGATTTTTGGCAACACATTCATTTTTATCACTGCAATTCTGCCCATAAAAGAGAGCTGTAGGTTAGTCCAAATATCAAAGTCTTTTTGAATCTGTTCTATTAACTTATCGTAGTTATCCCTTTTAAGCGTAGCGCATTTGGCAGTCAGTTGTATCCCTAAATATCTAATTTTATTTGTGATTTGAACACCAATTCTGTCAACCAATTCATTTTTCTGTGTTTGTCATATTTTTGACAAGCATTTTAGTTTTTTCTTTATTTATTTTTAAACCTGCTATTTCCCCGTGTCTATTCAATGTTTCCATCAGTCTAATCCCTGATTGTAGTGGTTCTTCAATTATAAAAACTAAATCATCTGCAAAGGCTTGTATTTTAAATGTCTCTTTCTTGATTTCTAGACCTTGGATCTGTTCATTGTATATATAATTGTATTGTATAAAAGATGAGGTTTATATAGAGGTTAAGAACAATGTATAAAATTTTTGTACTATGATAGGAACTGATTGGAAAATTCATTCTGGAATGTCATGTTTGTCCATTGTTGTTTTAATTGTATTATGAATAAAAATTAAAAAAAAAAGAAATTATTTGGTTTCTCTCTGTTATCCTGCCAAAAATAATACTGATAAAAATGTGTTATGTAATCTGGTACATTTTTACATTATGTAAATTGATCTTCCTTACAGGTGCAAAATGTGAAGCAAACACCTTTGATGGTGAACGTTGCTTATATGGAGCTCTAAATGATACTATTCGGCGGGTATTGAAAGAATATAAGCAGATCACTGCAAAGTGCATGAAGAGGGACTACTATGATGCCTTTCTTCAGCGGTAAAAAGATGTATTCTGATGTTGGCAAAAGAGTCATCTTCAGAGGGGGCTGTATCATTGTCTTCTATTATCATGCTTTCCCATAGCAATAAAAGTGACAATTTTAAGTTAGGGCACTATGTTATATAGAAGTATGCAGGGTTCCTCTCCCTAGCTGCCTTTTGATCCTTAAAGAAGCCACATCTTTGCCTGGACTTCCCAGTATCTGCATAGACTCAGTAAAATATGTCTTTGAGCTGAAGAGTTGGTTTGTGCACTTACTGTGGAAGTCCAGGGAAAGACATGGCTTCTTTAAAGATTTTTGGAGAGGATTAGTGTAGGATTTGATTGCAAGGAATTTAAGTGATTAAGAAGATGGAGTGTGTAAAAAAGCTACCGGGGTGTTTAAAACTGTTCTTTCTTCATACAGTTGTAACTGGTGATTTATATCTTAAGAATGTATCATCCAGAATAAAAACTGTAACAGTACAATAAGAAAAATAGAATTTATCAAATTCAGAATTAATAATGCTTTTTTAAATATTTTCTTTGGAAGGGGGAAGGGAAAGGTGATGTATGCTTTCATTGCATATAAATGTCAAGTTGAATTATTCCACGCTATTCTTGTTTAATCGTGAAACTACTTTTCTCTCTCAATCTCTTTGCAGGCTTCTAGAACAGGGTTACCATAGTGACATTGTTTTTATTGTTCATGGGAAGTCTTTCTGTGCCCATCGCTGTGTACTTGGTGCTCGAAGTGCATATTTTGCAGAAATGTTTGAGACTAAGTGGAAGGGGAAGAATGTCATAGCACTGAAACATCCATTGGTAAGAAACCCAATCTTTGTTTTTCCTGAATATTTTTATATTTGAGACTTTCTTTCTTACTTTTTTACTTAAAAACAGATGCCAACAAATTTTATTGCAAAGTGATGGAATTATGGGTTGCCATTAAGAACATGCTAACCGAAGTATCACACAAGTATCACACATTTCCACTTTCAGATACATTAATCTGCAGTGCAGATTAACATTCAACAAATGTTACCTGGGAGCTTAATGTGTCCTCCTTAAGATGGCAAAAGCATCAGGAATAAGGAGTCTGCTTCTGCCACCATATTGGATATTCCTAAATCTGACCCAACTGATTACATAGTTTGTAAATAGATGACTTATTTCTGTTAAAATTTAATTACTGAAGGGAATTTTTTAACTTGTTTGCTTGTTATTTTTTCCACTCAACTCCCAGTGACTCTAGTCGGATATATAAAGTGAAAAGAACAAGTGTAAAAAAGAAACAATATTCATAAAACAGTGGGCACCCAGTAAGCCATCCTTAAACATTCCCCTCAAGGGGGGCTATCCATTCATTTTAACCCAAGACTGGGAGAAATTTAAAAAATGCTTGAATATGGACAAAGTGGGAGCCAAGTGGATTTCTGGAGTGGGGAAGGGGCTGTTTTAACAGGCAGATCCAGCAACAGAGAAATCCTGCTTCTTAGGTTCCCTATAGATGACCTTACCCAATTAATGGAATCTGAAGTAAGCCAACTATCAGAATACTCAGGGTGAGTGGACTCCAGAGGACTCCTATGGTCCCTCAAATTGCTAGGCTCTATATGCCATGTGGAGCTTTGTGGATGATAACCATCAACATATTGAATTACAGCCAGAAGCCAACTAGTAAACACTGTATCCCGTGTAGCAGGTGTATTACAGGACATAATGAGACTTGCCAATTTTACAAACAAGGCTGCATTTTGCACTAGCTGTAGATGCCCAATTCAGCCAACAGAATTTTCTAGGCCTTGCTTACTTTCTAGTTTAGGTCTCATTTATATTATCATTTCTTTCAAATGTTTATATGTAACTCATTTGTTTCATATACAGATAAATCCAGCAGCCTTTAGCTCTCTTCTGCAATATCTCTATACAGGTAAGTCTAATGTGATATATCAAAACTATGGATTTTATTTCTTATTTGTAATAGGTTCTACATAAATTTACTGTTGACATTTTCTTTGAAAGTTTCAGATTTGCTGGAGTTTCTTGAAAGATATTGGGAATGAAGAAATCATGGGTGGCAACTTTTTTTTGCTGTGGATTAGAATTAAATAGTTCCAAATGTAGTAGCATAATTTTTGGTAGTTGTAAAACAATAATTTTCAATGGGAAAAAAGAACAAGAAATATAAAGAGTTAAAAGCAGTAAAAGAGTAGAATCTTCTTAGGCTTCATGTTAATAAAGATAAGATTAGATAAGATTGTCATTTTTATTGTCATTTTTTTACTGTGAGCACAATGGCACACATCAAAAATGAAATTTAGTTGCCCGCTCTCAAAGTGAAACACATACATGACACACACTATGTACAACATATGTATAGACCTACACCCCTACATATACATAACAAATAAATATTAAATACTGTCCATCTTGAATATATAACGGAAGGAGGAAGCTTGAGAGTTCACAAGATTAATGCTGTATGGAATGAAACTATGGCTGAATCTGGATGTTCTGCTACGGATCGAAGCCTCCTCATTTAGAAGATAACTTTAAGACACCTATATAACCTGTTCTGTTCACAAAAGTATTAATTGTGTTATTTTAAGCCACAGGGTGGTGCTGGAGTTTAAGTTTATAGCTATGGTTGTACGGAGGGAGAGACTGAGTTCAGAGGATACTGGTAAACAATAACAGGAATGAATTGAAAGAATGAAGTGATAATTAGCACTTTTCTTTTGTTTACCAGGATGTTTGGACATAGATGTAGAATATGTAAATGACTGCAAGAGATTGGCCAAACAATGCCAGCTCCAAGATCTCATTGAAGACTTGGAAACCAAATGTAAAAAGGTGTATGAATTTGGTAAGTCTCCCAATCTTACTGTCATTCTCTGTAGGAAAATGGAAAAGTAGTCTTTTCTCCAACATTAATTACCAAAAGGTTAAGTCTTCTAATGGAAGGCACAGGCTTTAAAATAGTTTGATTTAAGCATTTGGGTCTTCATGGTACCATGCCACTTCTCCATAACGGATAGATGCCGTTATGGAGATAACGTAAAGGGAGAACCCTAGGTATGCTACTATAAGTTCTTAGGGGAAAGATGGGATAGAAACCTTCCACTTCACTGGGAATCACTAGATCAAGCTCAGCTCAACCACTTCAAAGTCAGCCCACGTTCATAGAAGCAGTATAGCTATAAGTGACTGCAAGCAACTTTATCCAACAAATGTTTTCTTACTATATGTCCTCCCTTTTCTGGACTTACACTCTGAAATATACATATATGTAAATCACAGACGTAACACTCCAACCTCTAGCTCGTGTTAGAAGAACATGTCAATAAAATATTCAGTATTTTAAAGTTTTGGTGTTTTTGCTTTTGTTTCTTTTAGTTTCTTCCAAGCCAGGAACCTGTGTAAAGGTGCTTACAATTGAACCATCAGGTAATTCACAGTTGCAGGAAGACCTCGCTCTACTAGCAGAGTGCGCCTTGCCGGCAGAATTCAGGGTAGGAAGTATTTCATTTCTTGTTTCCATCTCTTTGATGTATTCCTCCATTTGAATAATCTAATATAATTACATTTTGCTTAATATTCTGCCAGGAATTAATCTGATCACTTATTTATTAGATCCAGGATCCCCCTGAGTCATTAAGGTGGCCTGGGAGATGATTTACAATTAGGTCGGTGCTGTATTATTGGCTGGGGAGAGGGTGATGCCATCAGTCTTGTAAGAAATAGCGATGTACCTTCTCCTCAAGAGTCTGTCCTTGGATCGAACAATTCTGAACAATTTAACATCTTGTCTCCAGTTTTCTCTTTTTAAGGAAGGTTATTGAGCTAGAGAAAGCAAATTATCTCAGTTTCAGTAAGGTCTCAGGCTAGGATTTAGCCCAGAGACAACCTTGATTGTGATGATTGATTACCTTTTTGCAGAGCTAGGTTAAGACTTATGCAACTCACCTTGTGCTCTTTGAATTTTTGATACCATCAGTAATAGTATTTATTTGGATAGGCTGTGGAGATTGGAAATTGAGAACAGTGTTTACAGCAATTCTCTTCCTTCATGGCTGGTTTCAGTCAGTCCTGTGGAGTGCCATAGTTCAATACTCTCTCCCCTTATATTCAACACTACATGAAACTGTGGTCCTCTGCCACTTCAAGATTTGATATTATCAATATGAAGATGATACCCAATATACATTTGGATCCTGAGCTGGCCAAGTGATGATGCCAAGGTCTTATTCCAATGAATGGAGACCATGTGGATCTGGATGAAGAGAAAATAGCTCCAACTTGATCCTATCAAATTGAATGGCTGTGGATATTCAGGTGCCCAGGTCCAGGGATTTTCCGTTTCTACCCTTGTATGGGGTTGTATATCGGTATGTAATGTGGCCTCTTGGCTTCCAGCTCCTGTCAAAGGTGAGGTGGCAGCTGTGGCTAAGAAGGTATTTGCATAGCTTCCTGGATTGGAAGAGTCACTCATGCCCTAGTCACCCCATGGCTCAAATATTGCAGCATTCTGTACATGGAGCTGCCCTTGAAAAGCACTTTCAAGCTTCAGTTGGTCCAAAAAGCATTGGTGCTGGTAGTTTTTAGCATGCCTCGCTATGCCCCCATGACATGCTTATTTCAAAGCTTAATTGCCATTGTGCTTCCAGTTGCAAATCAGTGTGCTGATTACAAACCCGCATGGCATAAGGCCAGGTTATTTGAGAAACCACCTATCTTCCATGTTTTCTGTCCAACTACTAAAAGCTGGCAGAGTTGACGCAGTCCAGATTTTTATGATTATTGTTAAACAATGCCATCTGTCAGGATCAGGAACTATGTCTTCTCTGTCACAGTGTCTACCCTCTTGAATAAAGTTCCCTTCAGAAATGTGTGTGGCTTCCACTCTGATTGCTTCCAGAAGGCCTTATAAATCTGGCTGTTCTACTAGGCCTTGGGATAGAACAGATGTGGTCCTCTTGCTAGATGTGTTTCTGTCTATATTATGTATATTTTCGCTGGATGCTGATCTTGTTTACTTGTATTGTTCTATTTATTGTTACTTGTTTTGTATTGTGAACCACACAGAGTTGTCTTGGAATCTGGTGGCACCTAAATCAAATCAATAAAGGCTTTGTAATATATTAGATAAAAGCAGCCAGAATTGCTAAATTAGACATTATCTGTTTTCATTTTCTGCTGGCAGTCACACAAAAATTTTACTACCCTTCATGATATAGTATAATCCCAATCAGAAAAAAAAGAAAATCTTTGCCAGAGTATCCTAATAAATTATTCATAGGCAGGACTAAAATTCTATCACTTGTGTTTCTATAGTAGTACAATGGAATTTGAGCCAGTATTTCATTGCTTCTAAGCCATATCTTTCATATTTTCCTATATCTGCCAATAACATTTTAGGAAATAAAATATGAAAATGCACTAACATGTAACTCTTACTAATCAAGGTTCTTGGCCAAAAAATTATGTCACATAATTGTGTTAAGCATTTCATTATGTTTTTTCTTTCTTTCAATCCCATAACCCAGGGGTGTCAAACTCAATTTCACTGAGGGCCGCATCAGCATTGCAGTTGCCCTGGGGGGCCTGGGTGGGTGTGGCCAGAGTGGGTGTGGCCTACTGGGGGGCGTGACCAGTTCTACATCATTCGCGGCTAGGGTGCCTATGGGGGCCTGGGCAGGAGTGGGACAGATCTGAGAGTCTCTGGCAGAAGGGGGTGGGACCGGGGCAAGTGCCAAGGCATGGTCTACCAGAGCAAGTGCCAAGATGGCCACCACAAAATTGTACATTGGCTCCTAGCCGGCCGGGGCCAGGGCCAAGGCAGCGGGGGCTGTTTCCTCATTGTTTCCAGGATGGCTTCGCAGGCCATATGAAACCACTTCGTGGGCTGCATCTGGCCCGCGGGCCTTGTGTTTGACATGTCTGCCATAACTCAAAGGCATAAAGACTGTAGGAGAAATCCCTATCAATGAAACATTTATTTACAGGCATACAGCAATTATATTAGCGATTATAATCCTGTGAGAAATTAAGAACACCCCATGTGAAGTTTTTTCTTTTTTAATAAATACATAACAATAACAATATTTATCTTCAGTCATAAAGTATAGAAAAATAAAGGTAATGTAATTGAACAGAAAAGAACTATAAAGAATTGGCTTTGCCATATTTATTCAACAAAAAAATTAACAGATATTTCATTTCCTCCTGTACAAGAAGAGCACCATTGATTATTGACCCTTTTGGCAGAAACAACCTCAAACAGGTGTTTCTTTTAATTGTCTATCAGTCTCTAATCTGAAGGGGAGGAATTTTCTCACTTCTCCATGGAGAATGTTTTCAGCTGTGCCATATGAGTTGTTTCTCACATGCTTAACCAATTTGAAATCATTGTATAACATTTTGATGGGATTTAGATCCAGACTTTGACTTGGCCATTACAGAACCCTCCATTTCTTTATATATTTTTTTCAGCCATTCCTTGGAAGTTTTACTGGAATATTTAGGGTCGTTGTCTTGTAGCAAAGTTCTCATTTGTCTGAACTCTAGTCTTCTGACAGATGGTCTCAGATTATTCTTGAGCATCCTCAGGTAGCCATGCAGTATCCTGCCTAAACAGTTTCTTTAAAAACATAGACTGAATTACTTCCATCATGATGAAATACTGTACTGCTGAAAGCTAAGATGAATCTTATATAAAAATGTATGGCACTTTGAGTTCCATAAGCATTAAAGGAACAGGAACATAAATGGGGGGAGACCCATATTTCTTAGGGTAACCAGAGCTACATAATCTTGATGGGCAGTTTACCTACTCACAACTGTATTTTTGACATGAATTGATAGCCTCATTTCATCTTGCTTTTTTGTAATATCTTGCAAAAGGCTTGATATTGTCAATATTGCCAGCTCAGATAGTTTTATTACAGTAGCCATCATGTTTGATAGAAATATTATCATTTTCCATATCAATGAAAAAACTTGTGGGTTCAATCCAGCCTTAACAAGTGCATGTTTCAGTTCATTCAGCTCTCCAGACTCCACTTGTTCTAGCCTTAGGAAAATGAACTTTGATATTTGGTGTTTGCCAATACTGGATGCCAGTCTTCAGTATTCACTGTTTTCCTTTGCAATATAGTGGCATGTTAGATATTGAAAAAACGTGCTTTTCATTTTATAATAGTTGCAATATCTAGTTGTGCGAGAGCCTTTGCGCTTCATACTGTTCCAAATATATATGACTTTCACTCTTATTCCAAAGAGAAATTGCTAAAGTTCCCACTTCCTATGGCAGAAAATTGAAGCATGAGCACATGCCAAATAAAAGGACTCTATGAAGTTGCACACATCCTTTGACTGCATGTGGATTAGATTGATGAGCATTCAGAACTCAGGCGTTATGTGTTTTTAATTCTATGTTAAATCCTTTTCATATTTTTCTGTACGTTCCCTGCATTTTTGGCTCTGTTAACAAAAGTAAACTAATAAAACGTGGAACCTATAAAGAACTTTGGACTGTAAATCTAAACATTGGAGCAAAATTTTCTGATTTGCTATAAACAGAAAATTTACCATAAATCATTTTTATACCAAGTCTCCTGTTAGACAACGTTTATTGTATTGTATTGTATTTAGCATATGCCAGGTGCTCTCTGCTGGCCTTTGTTATGTATGGTAACTTTTCTGCTAATAGAAACATTTTCTTTTTCATTTATTTCTCCTGTCATTTGATTAGTAGGAATAGAATAGCTATCTTTATTAGACAAAGCATGTAATAAAGCAAGTAGCTTTGAATTATCGTGTGAATATGAAGGTTGATTGCTGACTACATTAACAGCAATTAATGTATAATGGAAATAAAGTATGCATGAAAGGAAAAGGAACGCCTAACAAATAGCTCAGCACAAAGCAAGACTTCAACAAAGATGTGACTCTTTAATGTATTTATAGATGTATGTATGAATAATGCTGGTTTACAGTTCATTTGACTTTCTGAGAGAGTCAATGTAGAGTCTCATAGTCTTACATAGACTGTAGATCTATGATGTAACAAAGAGTATACGTTTAAAAATTTAAGGACAGCAATTTTAGGATTATAGCCAAACAGTTCTCCAAGCCCAAAGAGCCAAGGGCATTCTTTGATTTACTGAAATACTCTGAGAAATGGAATGGTTGTGGAGACTTAGAATGTCATTGGGATTAAGGTCAAAAGCAAGTCTGATCAGAGTTTAGGTATAATCCTACACCAAGATGATAAAAGTGGTGAAAAGGCAATATTTTTCCAATCATGTGTTGTGTTATATATTTGAATATATAATTGTATATTATGCATATACATAATTGTGCATTTATGTAGTGTAATCTTATTAAATATATGGTCAAATACTAAAGTTGTTTTATTTCTGTTTTGTGTTTAGGTAGGTTTTGGAGAGTTGCCTTTTGATAGCACCGACAGCTTCAGCAGTTATCCTGATCTGTGTTTCCGAGTGTCAAATTACAGTTTCTTCTGTCACAAGGTATAGGGTGCATTGATTTGCTTTGGGTCGATTCTTGTTGTTTTCCTCAATATTAAAAGATCTTGTATAGAACCAATGATGCACATTTATTTATGTGATATCTTGTAGGAAATTTCCAGAATAGGAATGTGTTATCGGATAACAATAAATTATTATTTATTAAACTTGTATGCCTCCCAACTCTCAACAATGAAGTTACAATAAAATCAATTACACAAAAAATAAAGATAAAAGATGGTAAGCGTGATCAATTTTTGATCTTTAAAAAGTTTGGGATGGATGCCTTGTCACAGACTCTTTTCTGGATCCTGCTGCTTGCTTATTTTAACCAAGAAGATTCCATTATTTTGTGTGTGTGTGTGTGTATACATCCATATCCGCACACATACATATGTGTATATGTACATATCTTCTCTTTTTGAAGGCATTTTTCTGTGGCCGAAGTGACTATTTCAAAGCCCTCCTAGAGGACCACTTCTCAGAGAGTGAGGAGCTACAAACCCAACCCAGTATCCCTGTGGTGACTCTCCATGACATTTCAGAGGAGATCTTCATCAGAGTTCTGTATTACATCTATAGTGATGATACAGAGGTGAGACCGGGATTCTTCTTTTTCAGCATGAGGCATTTTAGACCAGAGATCCCCAACCTTTTGGGCACCAGGGACCGGTTACGTGGTGAGAGTTTTTCTGCAGATTGGAGGGTGCGTGGTTTTGTGTGCTGCCTGCATGCCGCGGATGGGGCTTTGCTTGTTTGTGCAGACCGGTTGCTGGCATGCCACGGCCCAGTACTGGTCCACAGACCGGGGTTGGGGACCCCTGTTTTATACTATTTTTTCTAGCAAGGATCATGGTGTTATTGAGCAAAATAAACATGGCAGAACCGGCATTGTATGGTGTTTGCTGTACTTGTATGAAGATAAATAAAACTACCCATTAAATTAGGGTAACATAATCCCTTGCATCCTTTCTTGATTCTCTTAAAATATTTATCTTCCTGCAATTTTTGTGATTCTTGGCCAATTAACCCTTTTTTTGCTTGAATTTTACTTGAGGTTTTATTAATAAGCAGTAAAGGCATATTTGAATATAATTAATGTTTTTGTTCTGGTTAAAGGAAGTTGTTTATTAAATTTGTACTATTTACTGGATTCCTGCCCTATATATAAAATAATAATAAAAATCCCTTCTTATCCTTATGGGTGGCATAGGTCTTCCTCAGTTTCAGGTCCTCTAGCAGATGCCTGGGAGTTTGAGGGTTCTGCGCAGTCTCTTGGCTGTTCCTAGCACTGCAGTCTTCTGGACAGAGAGCTCTGATGTCGTTCCTGGGATCTGTTGGAGCCCCTCTCCCTGCTTAGGAGAAACAGTCCCAAATGCTCATACCACCACTGGGATCTTTTTGGCCTTTACTTTCATGTGTATCTTTTATTTCCCTATATGTGGATGAGACTCACTCTGTGTCTCACAACATGCTGACGCACACATGTGCATATATTAACACATATTCTTTCACCTTTGTATTCCTGATAGTAACAAGGAATATTTTTGTAAGGTATACTGTTGGCTTATCGGGAAAGATGAAAAAAAAAAGTCCCAGAAGCAAAAACTGTAGAGATTGCCAAGAATACCACAGGGATGGATCCATAAAGCAAGCAGGAGTTGAGCTCACTGGAAGTGATTTTACAGAAGTGCGATGGCACGCGGAGTGGTCAGTTTGCCAGCAGAGGGCAGTATACAGTTAGCAAACTGGCCAGAGCTAAAAATAGTTTACTTGTTTTTATGCTGCATTTTCTTGTCGCATATAGTGCAAAGTCTTGGTTGCAGCTTTAGAATTTAGAAAATTCTTAATGGAACTGAACTCTATAGCATGGATGCTATATTTTCTGTACCATATCGTGACAATTCAGTTCTGAGAAACTTTCTGAACGTATATTTTTCACAAGTAATGATGGATTTGTTTAATGAGAATTATTCAGAAAGATAGAGGATATGAAACAATAGTCTGGTGTTTGTGATGTCAAAATGATTATAGACACTAGGCCACTAGATATCTTTTTTTCCCAAGATGGTGAATGTTCAGTGTAAAATGGAAGTGTGATAACGCACATTCAGTAATTCATGATAATGCAGTCAAATAAGCAATGGTCTTTGGACAAAATGAACTTTAAGATATGTGCCTTATTTTTCTAAGTAGAAAGAGAAATTAACATTAACAATCTGAGCCATGAAGTTCCATCAGGTAGCAGTGTGATAGGTAAAATGTGAGATGGAGACCTTATTCCCATACATTGAATGTATATCTCACGTTGAGCTAGCCTAATTTCACTGCAGAGGAACTTTGCACGTACATGTGCACAGTACTTCATGCACTGAAAGGCAAGAACAAAGGCAGAGAATACTTGCCGCCTTTCTTCTGAAACGAATTTTAGGCATTCGATTTTGCTCTCTGCAAAAACTGCTTTTTGCCTGTTTTTTGTCTTAGAGAATAACCATATTTGCTCTTCAACAGACGTAAGCGAAAGATAGTGCAAATCAAATCTTTATAAGGTCATAGACCAACATAATAGTGATAGTGACTTCTTTCTAGCATAAAAGCCCAGTTATTGTGTCTGTCCTCTCCCTAAATTTATCGCACCAAGAAGATATGTTGGTTACTCCACAGTCTTGAGACATTGTTTTGTAGAGAATAGATGGTTGCAGGAGCTCCTGTTGCTCTGTGGAACGTTGTTTGAGATAGTGTACTTTCTCTTTTCCTTTTGCCGCCCTGCAGGGCAACAGTAAAGATGCCAACCAAGCCATCTGTCCTTGTTTTCCTTTAGCTAGCTAAAAAGCACTTTCCCAGTTGCACTATCATTTTGAATTGGGATTTCATTCTTTAAGATGTTACTATTCCTCCTAGCTTGGTATCTTTTGCAAATACAATACAGGTAGTCCTTATTTAAGGACCATTTGTTTAGCGACCATTTGAAATGATAACGGTGCTGACAAAATGCTATTTAGATCAGTCCTTGAAGATATGGCCATTGCAGTAACCAAGTGGTCGCCTGACCAGAATTTGAGCACTTGAACCTGGGGTATATTTCAACTCTCCCCACCCACCCATCTCTGCCCTTTTGGCCACTCTGCACCCCGCTGCCTCTGACCTCCTGCACTTTGCCACCCCTTCCACCCCTTGCTGACTTTCATGAGAGGCTTCACCTCTTAGCAGGAGGAAGAAGATAATAAAGGTCAGATGGAGGTGCAGGCAGGCTGATCAAAAGAGCAGAGATGCTGGGGAGGAGACAGGTTGATTGGGGGCATTGAAGCACTTTGTGGTTGAAAAGGTGAGTGGTGTGCTCCAAGCAGCTGAATTATGATCACATAACTAAAGGGATGCTGTAAGACCCATTGCAGACCCATGATAAATACCATTTGTTCAGCACCATTGTAACTTTGAATGGTTGTTAACAAGGTTACCTACATTATGAGATAAATAAAAAGTCTGAAAATATGAATGCTGTGTGTAATCATTAACAATATTGTAGGTTTATTGATCTTAAATTAAACCTATCCAGATGAGGGATTTGAGGAATATGATCCCAGAAGACACTTATTGAAGTTAATACATAATATCTGTTTGTGAATTATTGTTCATTATACAATGTAGTGATTACAGGGAAACATTTGTGTGATTCTTCCAACTTCAAGTTTTAATTAATATGCACTCCTTTTTCTGTGGAGAAGTTATATTTTCACAAAATTATTTCATAGGATAAATTTCTGTAATGTTGACATATACTTTCTTGAACCAAAGAGTACTAAATGGATTTCAGTTCACCTTTCAAATTTAGTTCTTTGATGACATCATGAGCCAACTTGAGAAGAGAATTTGCTTCCCTCTTAAAAGTAGCTTTCTTCAGCCTAGGCAATGGACATTCAAGGGAATGTCCCTTGACTTGTAAGAGGGCTCTCTTCATGATGCTTTCTGGGTTCTCAGTAATTTATACTATAGATATCTATTTGGCGATATCTATGGTGATATCTAGTAGATAGCATCTATAGTAGATGCTATAGCATCTACTGATTTAAAATAAAACTACTACTATTACTACTGTGGATTTAGCTTTTTGTGTACACTTGTGGACATTAAAATTATCAGTGTTGCATCTTTCAATAGCAATATGGCTTAGACTTATATACTGCTTCACAGTGCTTTACAGCCCTCTCCAAGCGGTTTACAGAGTCAGCATATGGCCCCCATAAGTCTGAGTCCTCATTTTACCAACCTCAGAAGGCTGGAAGGCTGAGTCAACCTTGAGCTGGTGAAAATCGAACTGCCAAACTGCAGGCAGTCGGCAGTCAGCAGTCAGCAGAAATAGCCTGCATTCTAACCACTGTGCCACCACAGCTCATATGATTGTGATTTGTTGGATTTATACTACTGGTACTTCTTTCCTCAAGGAACTGTTGGCACCACACATAGCACTACACCTTTAATTCCCCCTCCCCACACACACACAGTAGCTCTGTGATGTAGGTTGAGGAGAGAACGTAAGAGTGGTCCCAAGTGTACTTCCATGGCTGAAGTTGTACTACAGTCTGCATCTCTTTTGTCCTAATTCAGATTGGGCTTTCAATCTGTCTTGTAGTGGGAAAATACTGAGTCATACTGAGTTTAATTATATTGATGCCTTTTGTCCCAGCAGTTGTCTCCTGAAAACGCCTATGAAGTGCTTTGTGTCGCTGATATGTATCTGTTACCTGGGCTTAAGCGCCTGTGTGGGAGAACTTTGGCACAGGTTCTCGATGAAGACAGTGTTGTCAGCATCTGGAAGATTGCAAAACTATTCCAGCTGACCCGATTGGAAGATCAGTGCACAGAGTATATGGCAAGGATAATTGAGAAGGTAATAAAAAGGAGGTAAAGGACAGCTACTATAGATATTATTTGTCTGACAGGCTGCAAATAATCATTTGACATGAAAGGGCTTTAAAACCTAAGTTCCAATAAGCGATTAGTTTATTTGTAAAATTTGCTATTTTTTTATAGCCATAACCACAGTTGGTTTCTATAGAAATGGATGTCTATAGCAAGGGATGTCATATAGTGGAATAAACACTATTTCCCATGTTATAGTGAGAAATGTGATAACTGCCATAAAAATGAAGTTGTGTCTTCATCTAAAAACGTTTTATAAATACAAATACTATGTACAATTACAATTTATCTTTAGCCAGAAGCAAGACAATCCTAAATTTAAAGCAATCCCATCAAAGGTATAATAAATAGAAGAAAAATATGAAGACTAACAAAAATCCTAAAATGCCAACTTTGAGTGAAATCAATCATAGATATTCCCCTCCCAACTAATAATCTGATGGAGTGAGTTGCAGCTCATGAAAGCTTATGCCTTTTAATAAAAAATATTTGTTGAAAAAGCAAAGATGCTATCAATTCCTGATTTTTTTCCCCACTTCAAGATAAGTGTGATGATACACTTTTATATGTTTCCGTATTACCCAAAAAGTCATGGTCTAGTCTAGAAAAAAAAGAATACCTAATAATAATGAGAATTGGTCTAAAAGAACACATTATGTCAGTTGTTCTAAGACAGTATTTTGTGTTCTTAACCAACGTGTGATCCATTTTAATTTTGTCAGGCCAAACCTTTATAAAATGAAGGAATTTCTTGGAATTTCTGTGAAGTGATTTAAATTTGTCATGAACAAAATGAATTCATAAGAACAGTTAATTTAATCCCTAAGCTTCTTGGAACCTCCGTGCCAATTGTGTTAACATCCATATAAGTGAGAATTGATGTAATTAAGAACATGTATTAGAATGTTCTTATTTGGCTATAAAGCCTCTATTACGCATTGGAAAGTTATTAACTTTTTTTTAGTTTAAAACCTGATTTGCATTTTAATGAGTGAAATAAGTATTTGATCCCCTATCAATCAGCCAGATTTCTGGCTCCCAGGTGTCTTTTATATAGGTAACGAGCTGAGATTAGGAGCACTCTCGTAAAGGGAGTGCTCCTAATTTTAGCTTATTACTTGTATAAAAGACACCTGTCCACAGAAGCAATCAGTCAATCAGATTCCAAATTCTCCATCATGTCCAAGATCAAAGAGCTGTCCAAGGATGTTGGGGACAAGATTGTAGACCTACACAAGGCTGAAATGGGCTACAAGACTATTGCCAAGCAATTTGGTAAGAAGGTGACAACAGTTGGTGCGATAATTTCCAAATGAAAGAAACACAAAATAACTGTCAATCTCCCTCAGTCTGGGCTCTATGTAAAATCTCACCTCATGGAGTTTCAGTGATCATGAGAATGCTGAGGAATCAGCCCAGAACTACATGGGAGGATCTTGTCAATGATCTCAAGGCAGCTGGGACCATAGTCACCAAGAAAACAATTGGTAACACGCTACACCATGAAGTACAAATCCTGCAACACCCACAAGGTCCCCCTGCTCAAGAAAGCACATGTCCAGGCCCGTCTGAAGTTTGCCAGTGAACATCTGAATGATTCAGAGGAGAACTGGGTGAAAGTGTTGTGGTCCGTTGAGACCAAAATCAAGCTCTTTGGCATCAACTCAACTTACCATGTTTGGAGGAGGAGGAATGCTGCCTATGACCTCAAGAACACCATCCCCACCAGCAAATATGGAGGTGGAAACATTATGCTTTGGGGGTATTTTTCTGCTAAGGGGACAGGACAACTTCACTGCATCAAAGGGACAATGGACGGGGCCATGTACCATCAAATTTTGGATGAGAACCTCCTTCCCTCAACCAGGGCATTGAAACTGGGTCACGGATGGGTATTCCAGCATTGCAATGACCCAAAACACATGGCCAAGGCAACAAAAGAGTGGCTCAAGAAGAAGCACATTAAAGTCCTCAAGTGGCCTAGCCACTCTCCAGACCTTAATCCCATAGAAAATCTGTGGAGGAAGCTGAAGGCTCGACTGCCAAATGTCAGCCTCGAAACCTTAATGACTTGGAGAGGATCTGCAAAGAGGAGTGGGACAAAATCCCTCCTGAGATGTGTGCAAACCTGGTGGACAACTACAAGAAACGTCTCACCTCTGTGATTGCCAACAAGGGTTTTGCACCAAGTACTAAGTCATGTTTTGCAAATGGGTCAAATACCTATTTCACTCATTAAAATGCAAATCAATTTATAACTTTTTTGAAATGCGTTTTTCTGGATTTTTTATTGTTATTCTGTCTCTCACTGTTAAAATAAACCTACCTTTAAAATTATAGACTGATCATTTCTTTGTCAGTTGGCAAACTTACAAAATCAGCAGGAGATCAAATACTTTTTTCCCTCACTATACATCCTGTTGCTTTAATCTTGATTTTATGTTATACCTTTTGAGAGGACATATAGAGAAAGCTACTTTTATCATTCTAATTAAATTGATGGGAAAATCATTTTTGAGTTATGCTTTAAGTAACCTGTAGTACATTGTATATCCACTTTGTGTGTGTGTTTGTGTATGTGTGATGATAGATAAAGATAGAGATTAGATATAGATATATAGATGATATTGATGTCCACACCGGTGTTTGACCCCAGTAGAAGGAAATGATCTTGTTTCTTCCCGTGTAATTTCACACTTGGTTATGGAACATGGAAGATCTATTTGACCAGCACCAATTTTTCTTAAGTGAAATTCACTGTTCCTTAGTCAATTTACTGATTTTATAAATGGTTTTAATTAGCACTCCCACATAAGTTGCAACATTCTTTACTTAACAGGTTTTGAGAGAGGTGTGAAATTATTTCTTGTTTGTGAAAGTGCACCCCCCCCAAATTAACAGTTTCACTAATACAAAATTCCTCACCTATGTTTTTACTAGGAACAAGCATGACCCAATTTTGCTTTTCAAAGGTCCAATAATTGATTTTTTTGTAATTGTCCTTCTCATCTCCAAACCAGTACGAGGTATTGGATTAATCTCCCCAGAGTTCAGAATTCAAAAAAGTCCTTCATTGTTATAGTTTATTGGATGAAGCTATGAAAAACAGAAGCATGTAGTAGAGACAATACTTGCTATGGTGTGAGTGAGGCTGCAAACATTCCTCTGTGAGTTGTGTGTTTAAAAGCAATGTGGCTAAAAGGCCAAGGGTCAAGGTTTGTTTTTAAAAGATTTGTGCCATCACTATATTATTTTGTTATAGCGTTAGAAGGCTGCTTTTTTTAAAATACATTTTTCATCTTATTCTCAGAGCGGAATTAGGCTAGTGAAAACAGTTATTTTTAGGGTGCAGGATTTTGCGCTCTGAGAATTTAGTTTTGTTGCCATTGACAGCATAAGTGAAAACAGTCTGATAAAGATTCTTCTGGATTTATCCATTTTCTGTCCCTTGTTTCTTCAGTTAGTGGAGTTTGAGGAATTTGCAGCAGCAGTGAAAGAGAATGCTGACGCAGTGGAAGAGCGGCAGGAGACGGACTCTATTCCTCTTGTGGACGACATCCGTTTTCATATAACCAGCAACGTTCAAACGTACAGTGCCATTGAAGAGGCTAACCAGAAATTAGATGCTCTGGATAATCTTTTGGCTAGCATTGGACTTGAATGTTAATCTGGGAGATTTTCTTGTGTAATTAAATGAAGTATCAGTTCAGAGTTCATTTCTGCAAAGTTCACATCTTTTTCTTTCTATTTGATTTTCCCATTTCTTTATGTTTTATTTATGCTTTCCTTATTTTTTACATTGATGACTACTGCATCTGAATTAATATTTTAATTCTTCCAGGAAACAGGTCCCCATAAGAATCTGTAGTTTGAAAACATGGTTAGGTATATGTTATGTTGTTGATGAAAGATTTGCATGTAGTGAATGTACTATTTGGCATACAACCAATTACTGCAGTCCAAAAAAGCTCAATGAAAATGGGTCCATCCTTCAGAATATTGCCATTCCTGTTGGGTAAAGAAGGAAATAAAAGCTTTTACTGAATTATAAGAATATGAAGTTGGTGGACTAAAAGCTGAGATTGCCTGCTGTTAGACTTACAGCCTAATCTTCGAAATGTGCACAGCTGGAACTGAGCAGACCCTCAGTTTTCTAATCTAGCTGCCTGATTTATCAGCTGATCAAGTTCATTTACTTTTTTAAAAAAATTGATCCTTGAAATAAAATATTTTGTCACCATATGGTGCAAAAGCACTTGCCCTCTCCCCTTTTCTGCTGTTTTATAGGGACACTGAGACATGAAGGTTTAGTATATCTGCATATCTGTAGATAGTAATGTTCTTTTGATTTTACTGTGCTTGGGGATTTACTTATGTGATTTCCAAATTTCAGCATGGAGTATGTATGTACAAGTGACTATGTTGTACTTGCATGATACCACAATGGACTGATGGAGCATTGTTTGCCTTTGCAGTGGAAGCATAAATTTGTTTTGTGCAGATCCCAATATTGTGAGGCGATAGAAGGTATCACCTTGCTAACTAGTTCTACCCTTTGATATATTGAATGGCAGATGAGAATATATTCACATGTCATAGTATATACAGTGCAATATTTTAGGGTATACATCATTTGATTTAAGTCATTTCACATTAAGGTCCCCTATGTGAAGGTCTGTATGAAAATTTAACAATATTCTATTGTTGGACACAGTGAGGTGTAGGTCATCCATATGTACACAGTTCTAATGTCTACAATCACCTGTCAATAACAGATGTTCTAGCTGGCTCTGTAATTGATTGGCAGGTTTCCTAAATGAGACTGGTGCTGTTTCCCCCTACTGTATATATTCAATCTAGGGTGTATATACATAGCTTGTGAGATTAGTTTAAGTACTAAGTTCAGAACAGCATAGCAGACCTTTCATCTGCATCATCATGCCATATTTTCATGTTGAAAAGAGACAATTCGGACTGGTTATTAAGATCTTAGTCTGTATGTAAATACTGTCTCACCACTGTCCAGTTCATTATGTTCTTTGTTATTCCTCCCATTAATATGAATGATAGGTGGAAAATACATTGTGGCCATTCAGACAGTGGGGGGGGGGGAAGGGATGGGAAATGCAATGAAACCCATACTAGGTAGATCAGCCAGGGTTCTGTGTCACCCAACCACTCTAGAATTATGTGCTCATTATTAGATAAATTTGACAAAGAAAGAACTAAATTCCCATTTGGATTATCCTGACGTTATGAGGAAATATTGTTGTATATTACAGTAATACTGTTAGTAAGTGTTACAGCAGTTGCGTTGGTAGATTAACTTTAGTGAGATATTGATGTGACAAAAATGATGTTGGACTCTAGCAGAGTTTCCATGCACTGATAACTCTTTACACGTAAGGTCAAAACGTTGTGTATTCTTAATAGTATGCCAAGAAAAGCACACCCTTAAAGGAATGATGCTTATTTAAAAGCATAAGGAACTAGTCTGTTATTCACAAGCCATAAATAAAAGCCTGGCCAAGATCTTTCTTTTCCTCCGTTTTACCAGGAAAATGAAGGGAACTAAAATGCTGGATTTCTTGACATTTCTTTTTGGCAAACATCTTTGGCAAATATTAAAGAATTTTTCTTGTACCAACTTATGAGCCCCCTCCAGTGAATAAATGGACATCATACTGGAATAAATCATAACCTTTTCTGTTTCCATTTTTATTTGAACAGTAAATTATTGCAACAAACAAAGCACAGTACGCTTTTTTATACATAGCATTCTAGTGTTCTCTTCTTTGCAAGTATCTAGTAAAGTTAACATGATATAAGCACAGAAAATTACTACTGGTAATTGCATTTGGGGTTTTTTAAATAAAAAAAACTTTTTAAAAATATTGTCAAGTGAAGATTCAGTTAACTTTTAGATAGGCAGTGAAGGTGGCTGAACAAAACTTTGTTTATAGTACTGAGAATGTAAGTACATTCAGAATGAATTACCAATATTATTGTGTTTCTCAGTACAACTCCTTGATGAGCTATCCCTTGGTCTGTCTTGTATTTTGTTGGTTCCCTTGTATAAATCAGAGTTGTGGATAAAAACAGACTAGTATCTATTTAACATACAGTGAAAGGTCCCCTCCCTTAAATCCAAAGAAGTTCGGAAAATAATGGATCTCTAATTATTTATTGTTAGTCTTCCTAGCTATTAATTGCCTTGTAGAGAGTTTAAATGTCAGACTTATTATGATCTTACTTTAACTTGGCCCTCTGTTATTTAAAATAAAATGTAAAGCTTTACAGAATGGCAATATAATTATATATTTAAAAAAAAGCTTAATATATAAGCATGTGTGCAGCAATAAAGAGTCTATTTCATTAATCTGCTTTTCCTGTGCCTCATTAAATAGTAAAATGAGTGCTGCAAAAGTTCCATGTTACTTACACTCCCAAGACTCAAACTTGATGCCGTCTTCCAATCAACAGTAATATCTACTGATGGTATATTTAATTACCAGTAGTTGCATAAAATATCCTTTTCAGTTACCATTTAGAGATTATAGTAGCTTGGGAAAATGGTTTGTATATGTAGATCTGATACCATTTAATTCCACATTTAACACAATTACACTGTGTGCACAATTATTAGGCAAGTGACTATTTTGACCATATCATTATTTTCATGCATATTTTCCACTCTAAGCTGTATAAATTTGAATGCTTAGTGGATATAAGCATATCAGATGATGTGTATTTGTGTAATGAGGGAGGGTGTGGCCTAAGGAGATTAACATCCTATATCGAGGTGTGTGAAATGATTAGCTTCTTTTCCTCAGGCAAAATGAGCCAAAAGAAGTTTTAACTGACTATGAAAAGTAAAAAATTGTAAAAAGTCTTTTAGAGGGATGAAGTATTCTTGAAATTGCTAAGATATTGGGGAGTGATCACAGAACCATTAAACGTTTTGTTGCAAATAGTCAACAAGGTTGCAAGAAACATGTTGAGAAAAAAAGATGCACATTAACTACCAAAGATTTAAGAAGAATCAAATGTGAAGCTACCAGGAACCCATTAACTTCCAGTGCTGTCATATTCCAGCATATGCAACCTGCCTGAAATGCCCAGAAGTACAAGGTGTTAGTGCTCAGAGACGTGGACAAGGTAAGGAAGGCTGAAGCCTGATCACCACTGAATAAGACACATAAGTTGAAATGGCAAGACTGGGCCAAAAAATATCTGAAGGCAGATTTTTCAGAGGTTTTATGGACTAATGAGACTCTTGATGGACCCGTGGCTGGATCAGTAATGGGCACAGAGCTGCTGTTTGAATCGATGCCAGCAAGGTGGAGGTGGGGTACTGGTATGGGCTGGCATTATTAAAGATGAGCTAGTTGGACATTTTCGGGTTGAAGATGGACTCAAAATCAACTCCCAAAACTGCCAGTTTTTAGAAGACACTTTCTTCAAGCAATGGTACAGGAAAAAGTCTGCATCTTTCAAGAAGACCATGATTTTTATGCAGAGCAATGCTCCATCACATGCATCAAAGTACTCCATTGTGTGGCTTGCCAGTAAAAGCCTTAAAGATGAAAGAATAGTGGCATGACCCCCTTCTTCACCTGACCTAAACCTATTGAGAACTTGTGGGCTCTTCTTAAACGGGAGATTTACGATGAAGAACAGTACACCTCTCTGAACAGTTTCTGGGAAGCTGTGGTTGCTGCACAAAACGTTGATTATCAACAGATCAAGAAACTGACAGATTCCGGAAGCTTCCGGTGGGAGGCGACGGCGATGGCGGCTAGCTTTTAGCCGTCCAGCTGGGGAAGTGTCAGAGCCGCGGAGCGCAGCGCGCATCAGCTGGCCCGCGGCTCGGAAATCCCTTCCCGGGCAAAGGGAAGGGATAGAGAACGAAAGAGTAGAGGTAGAACCCCTGAACCCCCTCTGGATTTATTTCTAGAGGGGGTGAAAGGAGTGTTCCCTCGGAGCTCTTGCTGATCTCCGCCTCCCAGCTGTTTTTGCTTCCTTGGAAGCAAAAGAAACCGCCGCTTCTATCTCCGTGTTTACAGCATTTTGGGGAGTAATTTTTAAACGGACGGAGCAGTTTAAAGGACTTTTTCTTATATTTTAGGTGTTTATTTTTTTATCTTTTGATTTTTACTATTTTTCCTCCTTTTCTTTGTTATACTAGTGAAAGGACTTAAGATGGCGTTTTGAAAGTGTCGGAGTTTTTTTTTCCTTTCTCTTTTGTTTTACTTTCCCTTTTTTAGGATTGTTTTTTGCTTTTGCTTTTGCTTTTGGCTTAGAATTTTTTTTTTTGAATTGTTTGCTCTTTTATTACTTATTCTTGGGATTTATTCTGGACTTTTAATGATTATAGTTTGTCTCTTTTTAAAAATTCTTTTTTTCTTTTTTTCCTCCTCCCTTTTTGGCTGGAGGTGAAAGGGAAGTGACAATTGTGCTTTTTAAAATGGCTTCAAAGAGGCAGCAGCCTTCCTCAGTACCCAAGGTTATTTCTTCTCCTATAACTTCCACTGCACAGCTACAACAACAATCTAAACATGCACCACCGGCTCAGCCACCACCCTCCCCTCCTCTACCTGGACTTTCAGTGCAAGAGGTTAGAGGTATAATGGGAGAGATTGTAGTTCAAATGAGAGAGGAAATGACTCAATTTGTTTCACAGATTAAATCAGAAATTAAATCTGATCTCAAAGAAGAGATAACGGGGATAAAGTCTAAATTGCAAGAAAATAATAATGAATTACGACAAGATATACTGGCAGCTGTTTCAGGTTTGGCTACTGTGGTGGTTAAGCTCGATGCAAGGCTTGAGGAAGTGGAAGACAAAGTTGACTCTTTAGATGACAAAATTCAAGACGTGGAAAGGAAGGTGGACTCCTCACAAGAAGATATTTTGATGTTTCAATACAGACAAATGGAGTATGCTCTGAGGATTAGAGGCCTCAAGGAAGATATGAATCAAGATTTGATGGAGGTGGTTCTTAGTGATCTGGCGCTGGCTTTGGATATGGATAAAGGAGAATTACAGAGAGAAGTAGAAAAAATTTATAGACTCAACTCCTGGATTGCTAAGCAGAAGAATTTGCCCAGAGATGTGGTGATTTACTTTACAAAGAAGTCCCTGCGGAATGAGATTATACAAGCTTTTTACAACAAAAGATTTCAGATTGCCGCCCAAGATGTTATCATTCTAAAGGAAATCCCATCTAAAATCTTAAGAAGTAGGAAAGACTTTGCTTTTTTAACCAATGAGCTTAAAGCTAGATCGATGCCATTCAGATGGGAAATTACGATGGGTATCGTTTTGAGCCATGCTGGGACACGTTACAGATTGAACACAGTTGACAAAGCTAGAGATTTCTATACTTCGGTCCTGAGTGCAGGCTCAATTTCATCTGGTCGGAAATCTTTGAGTGCTAAGGAACCTGAGCAGCAATCTGAGGCATTAGATTTGGTTTCCGCAGGGATGATAGAAGTGGCAAAGCAACGCCAAAATGGAGGCTAAAGAGCAGAGGATGACTCGTGCAGCTTATAAGCGTAAAGAGAAAGAGCAACGTAAAAAAGAGCCCAAAGAGAATTCTCCTGGAAGTGCATCACCGCCGGTGGGAGGAGCAAGACCCAAGAGTTATGCAACACACGCAGCTCTGTCAGAGTTTGATGGTGTCTTCTCCAGGCTGCGTGCCAAGGGAGATGGCAAAGTTTTTGACCTGGAATGTTAATGGATTGAATTCTCCTCAGAAACGGAAAAAAATCTTTTATTATTTGAAACAACATACCAATGATGTTATTTGTTTACAGGAAACTCATATTCTACTTAAAGATCAGAAATATTTAGTTAATGCTCGTTTGGGATCTCATTTTATATCTCCTGCACCTGGGAAGAAAGGGGGAGTTGTTATATATGTCAAACAAAACCTGCCAGCTTGTCTGGTAGAATCAGATCCCCAGGGGAGATATGTGATGATTGAACTTGGTATTTATGGTAAGAAAGTACTTATAGTTGGACTTTATGCTCCAAATCAACAACAGGAACAATTTTATAAACAGTTACACCAAAAAATAACTTTGCTTGGATTATAGATCAGTGGTATTAATGGGTGATTGGAATGGTGTCTTAGATACACAAAGGGATAAGAAAGGTTCCTCTCCTTTTCTTAAACAAGCAAGGCTACCTAAAGCCTTTTTTGATATGAAAGAAGAGTGGGAATTAAGGGACTATTGGCGGGAACGTAATCAAGAGGAGAGAGACTTTACTTTTTTTTCTGACAGACAACAATCTTTTTCAAGAATTGACTTTTTCTTGATTACCACGGATTTGTATAATAAAGTAAAGAATGTAAAGATTTTTCCTAGATCACTGACGGATCATAGTCCAGTTTGGATGGAGTTGATTCAAGAGAAAGAGGAAAGAAGATCCTGGAGAGTTAATGAAAAATTGTTTAGACAAGAGAAGAATGTTCAAAAACTAAAGGAGTGTTTAAAGGACTATTTTGCTTTGAATATGTATAAGGGGACTTCAATGTCAATGGTATGGGATGCAGGTAAAGCATTTATGCGCGGTGTTTTGATAAAAATGAATAATTTTTATAAGCGAAATCAGAATCAGAAACGTAGAGAACTTGAAGATGAAATTAAACTAAAAGAAAGGGCTTTGATTCTAAATCCTTCTGATGAAAGTACTAAAGAATCTGTAAAGTTATTAAGGACACAATTTAATATGTTGATAGCAGATCAAGCTGCAACCAATTTATTATTTATGAAACAAAATACATTTTGTAATGCTAATAAGCCGGGGAGATGGTGGGCTTATCAATTAAGAAAGAAACAGAGACTGAGAATAATAGAGAAAATAAATTATAAGGGTAAACTAGTTTCTCAGAAGGAATTAATTAAAAAATCTTTTTTGGATTATTATCAAAACCTATACAAATCTACTAATGTACAACTGTAAGATATAAATAAATATTTAGCTGAGGCAAGTTTTCCTAAACTGACTGAGGATCAGAAATATGAAATTAATGGTTTAATTACTAAGGAGGAAATCGCCTCAGCAATTCAACAATTGAAATTAGGGAAAGCACCGGGTACGGAGGGGTTAACAGCTGTTTATTATAAAGCTTTAATGGAGGAGATGATTCAACCATTAAATGATCTTTTTAATGGAATCTTACAGGGTTTAGAGATTCCTCCTTCATGGCGTAGTGCTTTTATATCATTGATTCCAAAGGAGGATCAAGATCTTACTTTACCAAAAAACTATAGGCCTATATCTCTTTTAAACGTGGATTATAAGATATTGGTAAAAATTTTGGTAAATAGGCTTATGAGGGTGGTGCATCATCTTGTGCATAAAGATAAATCAGGGTTTATAACAGGAAGGTATATGAAAAACAATGTTAGACAAATTATTAATCTATTAGAATACTTAGATAAGAACAACCAAGTTCCTGCAGGGCTCATATTTTTAGATGCGGAAAAAGCATTTGACCAATTGAATTGGCATTTTATGCTAAGAGTAATGGAAGAAATGAATTTTGGTGAAAACATATTACAAGCCCTTAAGGTAATATATCAAAAACAAACAGCACAAATTATTGTTAATGGAGGTTTGTCGGAGGTTTTCACAATAGAGAAAGGTACTAGACAGGGGTGTCCTTTATCGCAATTGTTGTTTGTTTTAACATTGGAAATATTATTGATTAAAATTCGAGAGTCTCAGGAAATTAAAGGAATATATGTTAATAAAAAAGAATATAAGTTGAGAGCTTTTGCGGATGACTTGGGTGTTACTTTGTCGCAACCTGATTATTCTGTAGTAAACTTATTACAGTTGATTCACCATTATGGTTTGGTCTCGGGTTTTAAGATTAATGTAAATAAGACTAAAATTTAACCTAAAAATTTGTCGAGTCAGGAGAAGCAGATTTTGGTTAACTCGACGGGTTTTGAGATTGTTAATAAGGTAAAATATTTGGGGGTGATGCTGTCTGCTTCTAATGCAAAACTATTTAAAAATAATTATGAAAGGTTGTGGGTCGGGGTACAGAAAGATTTGAAGAATTGGGAAAAGCTGCAATTATCCCTCATGGGAAGAATTGCAGTGATAAAAATGAATATTCTACCCAAGTTTCTTTTTTTGTTTCAAATGGTACCAATTTTGAAAAATGAGATTAATTTAAATGAGTGGCAGAAGGGTCTCAATAAATTTATTTGGGCAGGGAAAAAACCAAGGGTTAAGTTCAAAATTATGCAAGACTTCCGTGAGAGGGGCGGACTCAAGGTACCAAATTATTATATTATGATGCGGTGGTTTTAACATTAATTAGTGACTGGGTAAATTTGACAAATTTTGAGATACTTTATCTAGAGGGATGGGATTTACTTTATGGGTGGCATGCCTATTTAATATTTAATAAAAAAATAGATTGGGCTTTTAAATCTTATATTTTAAGAATTTCTTTACTTAGGATTTGGAGAAAATATTATAAAAGTGATTTTAAAGTACCATTATGGGCTATACCTTGGCATGCGATAGAAGGAATAAAAAGAGGGGTTAAAATGGATATGGTGTCTTACAGACAGTTACTTAAATGGGATGGACAAAAATGGCAATTAAAATCACGGGAAGAATTAGCACAAGAAAATTTTACTTATTCTTGGTTCCAATATAGGCAACTACTAGATAGATGGAAGATGGATTGTAAGGAGGGTTTTCTTAGAGAAGATGAAAATCTTATTAAGCAACTGAAGGATCAAAGACAAACCCACATTAAGAGAATTTATGGGGTTTTAGTTGAATTGGACTCAGAAACGGAACTAATTAATGATTGTATGATTAGATGGGCGCAGAACTTTGGTGAGCCAGTTTCATTGGACACCTGGGAAACTATTTGGGTGAGAAATGTCAAATTTACTCAAGCACAGAATCTAAGGGAGAATTTTTATAAAATGTTTTATAGATGGCCCCTTGATCCACAAAAAATGTCTTACATGTACCCTGACGTGCAACCTAAATGTTGGAGATGTGGTTATAAGGAGGCTTCCTATTATCATATTTGGTGGTCATGTAGAGAGATAAAAGCATTTTGGATCAAAATATGGTGGAATATCCAGAGAATTTTTAGAAGGAGGGTAAAATTTACTCCGCAATTATTTTGTTAGGTATTGTTACAGATTGTGATACAAAGGAGGTTGTATTGATGTTAAACTTGATTACAGCCGCGAGGCTGTTAATTGGACAATATTGGAAGAAGGAATCTTTGCCTACATTGCAGGAATGGTTTTTTAAAGTAGCTTATCTGGCAGAAATGGCAAAGATTTCGGTTTTCTTAAAGCAACAAAAGCAAGAGAAGTTTTTTGCTATCTGGGACAAATGGATAAAATTTATACAATTTAGATTGGGTATACAAAAATATCATATAGCTTTTTCATAAGTTTTATTTTTATATATATTATATATATCTTTTTTATATATATAAATATAAAGTTTTTAATTTAATTTTTATTTTTTTTATTTTTTTTTTTTATTATTATTATTTCTTAAGCCTATATTCTGCTCTGGGAAGCTCAGGGGGGGGGAAGGGAGGGTTTTTGGGAGGGGTGTGGGGTGGGGGTTTTTTTTTATATGTATTGTTTAATTTTTTTTTTCTTTTGTATATGTTGTTTTTTGTTCTGTATTGTTCTTGTTTTTTTTTGTAAAATTTATAAAACTTTTAATAAAAAAAAAAAAAAAAAAAAAAAAAAAACATCTGGCCAACTTAAACCTCTTGGGGATTTTTTTGATAAAAAGTTTTTCTTTTGCTCTAGGAGGCAGGCCTATGCAAGGGCTCTGTGGTAAATAGTCGGATTGAGAATCGGAAATTTGTCACTGTAAAATGCCATTTCTTCCCACACCTGGTAAGTTCCTCAGACAGCTATCATCTGCAGAAAATATTCACTCCAGGTTTTTCAAACATGGTTTACTTTTTTTAAATCATTGACTGAACTTTACCCAACACAGCGATCAATTTCTCAGTTAAATAATAGCTAAAAAAATCACTAGTTAAGACCTTGCTTGATTAAGCAGGTAGAAGATCTGCTTAACAACTTTACTGTTAGTTGTTTTTATTGTAAAGTTCTTGATTATATTTCAGTTTTGCATTCTACCTAAAGCCTGTGGAGTGAGGTAATTAATAACTCCTTAAATAAGATACAATAATAAAATAATGAAATGAAATGAACAAATATAAATAGAAACAACTGAACAAAACCCCCCCCCTGAATTTTTTTTTAAATGCATAAATCATAGGTAATTAAGGGTACCACGAGAGCATATAATTGGAAAGGTCTCACCTTGCTGCATCCACATTATTAATATATTGAATATTCCACAAAAAAAGTAAGCACAATTTATAGGCCCAGATACTGACAACCCCTTAAGCCACTTTTCTGTATGTTTTGTCCTATTAGCCACCGGTTACAGATGAACAGACTCCACTGTCTGGGTTGGAACCTGGGCAGGAGGAACATCACGATGACGGTAAAAGACACAGAAATCACCATGAAGAGAACAGACACCATCATCACCACTCCCATGCTCATCACCACAAACATCATGGACATAAGCATGAAGACCAGGAGCCACACTCTCCTCACCACTCAGCTAACATCACTGAGATACTACCAGACCAGAAGGAAATATTGGGGCGGGTGATCATCTATCCTCCTTCAAGCAAACATGTCTCACTACACTCCTTACCAGAAGTCCAGGAGCCCAATCCAACCTCTAAACCCAGTTTGATTTCTCCAGAACAGGAAGCCAGTCCTCACTCAGTAAAGTTAGCCAGGCCAGCCATTCCTCCCTTCCCCAATGGGTTTTCAGAATCACCATCCTGCCCAGGAGACCTTGCAATACAGGTCTATGGCCTTCACCTTCATGGGCCAGAACTTCACTAAAACTAAATGATGTACTGTAGGACACTGAAAGCTTAATCTAATAGAAACTCATCAGATCTCCCTACACAAGCAGAATTCTCTTGGTTTCCATGTTTGCTAGCTTAATGTTTTGTAGCATCATACTAACAAAGTTTTGATTTTAATTTAATTTTCATGAATAAAATACTGTCTGGATTCATATACTCTGGGAAGTGATGGGTTATTTAAATGTGAGGTACCAAATAAGTAATTAGCTGCATTTAGACATCAGGCTACTTCATAAATCATGTTTCAAAAACCCGAATGATTAAAGACTAAGAAATATCATTATGTCTGAACTCATTATACAGATCCTGCCTCTAATGTCCCACTATAAACTTTAAAAGTGGACCTTTAATTCTAAGTTAAGATGGTGATTTTGTCAATTGCAGATAGTCCTCGACTTACACCATTTCATTTTGTGACTGTTCAAAGTTGCAATGGCACTGAAAAACCTATGAATGTTTTTCACACTTATGACCATTACAGTATCCCCATACTCATATGATCAAGTTTGGATAGGTGGCAACCGGCTCATATTTATGAGAGTTGCAGTGTCCCAGGGTTACATAATCACCTTTTGCGACCTTCTGACAGGTAAACTCAATGGGGAAGCCAGATTCACTTAACAACTGTGTTACTAATTTAACCACTTTAACAAATGTGGCAATGGTCTCACTTAACAACGGTCTCACTCAGCAACAGAAATTTTGGGCTCAATTGTGGCCATAAGTCAGAGATTACCTATATTGGCAAGATAACTTCAATTTTGCACAGAAAAAAACCCAGATGCATAAAAGTAGTTCACGTTTGAACTATCTCGTAGCTTATTCAACCATCACAGAATTCTGTATACTGGGATCTACTCTTCAAATCTATGCAAGCTACTTTTTTCTTCCTGTATCCCAGTACTGGAGTTTCATGCTATTTTAGCCATTGGTTCAGATATTAATCCCTCATTTGGGAACCTTTTTCCCTCTTGTTTACTCCATCAATCATTTTCCATTTGTTTAGCTTAACCAGGGATCAAGGCAACTGGGTCAAGAACCTTGAGATCAGAGCCACCAAAAAATAAACATCCCTTTGAGTTTATGGAATTGGCTTTCTAGCATCAGCTCAAAAGAGCTCCAATCTGATGACTTGAGAGGATCAAATCATTGCATAGCCTAAATGAAATTGCTAGCCTGTGCTCTATTTATTGCGGCATGGACCACATCCTGTCAAGCCTTGATAGTCCCTGAAGACTGCAATGATGCCAGAATAGAGAAGAGTGCAGAGGTGGCTTTGAATTTAATCAATGAACATCGCAAAGAAGGCTACATTTTTACCCTGTTCCGTATTGCTGATGCTCACGTTCAACATGTGGTAAGTACCATAGCTGTGGTTGGCTCGTCACTGATAGGGGCCTGGTTCCAGCATTGAGTCCATGTCTGTCATAATATTCTGATTTAATGCAACCACTGGATCAGTGATGGCGAAACTTTTAGACACCGAGTGCCCAAACTGCAACTCAAAACCCACTTATGCATCGTCGGGTGCCAGGTGGGCATGGCCCATTGGGTGGGCGTGGCTGCGGTGGTAACAGCAGTCTGGGTTGGACTAAAAAGTTCAATCAATCAATTCCAACTTTGCAAGATCTTTTTTTTTTCCTGCGAGAAGTTGAAATTGATTGATTGAACCTTTTTTTTTTTTTTTTGCACACGGCGGTGGAGGCCTAAAGTGAAAAGGTTTTATAAAACCCAGCTGAAGGCCTAGGACTGGGGCGACGGCACGTGTGCCCACAGAGAGGGCTCTGAATGCCACCTCTGGCACCCGTGCCATAGTTTCGCCACCACTGCACTAGATAATTATTTGACTGCATGGTGTGATCATTTTGGAAGTACTTGTTTGTGTCACTTAGGAGTTGTTTTTGTTTTTTGAAATGGCACTTTTAAATAACTTTTTAAAAAAAAACCATTACTAATTAATTGGGGGAGCTTGTAAACTTACTTGAGCTTAATTTTAAAATATGCTTAATTTTAAACTACAAATATAAAATATGCCACTGTGAAGGTGAGGAATCTAGAATCTCTTCTTTTCCACCAATTTATGAGAAAAAAAAGCAATACAGGTAGTCCTTGACTTATGACTGGTCCCTTAGCGACCGGTCAAAGTTACAACAGACCCCCTCCTCCCCAAAGCTACTTATCACCTGGTTTCAAAGTTAAGACCACTGAAGTACCTTTGCAGTTGTTTACAACCAACCACAGGTAGTAGCCCCCCACCTATCTCCCCCCTCCATTCTTCTGAATGCCTGCATGCTTTTGCCTGCTCCCAATCCAGTCACTCAGCCACCCAATGGAAACTAAAGTCTGGCAGCAGAGGCTTTCCATCCATTAGGAACTGTTATGGATTGCTTCCCACTCAGCCAACCCAAGGATTTGCAGGATTCAGCCTGCTCCATCTATTTGTGGAGTCTGTGGAGCTTCCTTAAAACACAGAGAGAGAGAGACATACAAACACACAGCCCTTACAGGATCACAAAAAGAATACCGGCTTGCAGAATAGTATCTAGTTGTCATGAGGCAGCTTCTGTTGAAAAACTGGGCTTTGCATTGCCTCGGCCTGAAGGAAAAGAAAATTAAAAGCAAGTTTCAAAAAGATGTCCTAGCAACTATGGTCACAGTTTCAGGAAGATGCGATCCTGGAATGAAGGAACACAGTAAACGTTAACTAAAAATATCCAAAGCAGTGTTAGGTGTTGTCACTGCTTTCTTTCTAAAAAAAAAAAATGGTGCCGGAACTCACACACATCATACAACCCGCCTTGCCTACCTTACAAGGTTCCATCCAAAAAAAGGTGCCGGAACACCATTCTGGGCATTCTATGAGAAAAAAAGCCCTGGATGTTGTAAGGTTTTTAGCTCAGAATTCCAATAAATCCAAAAAAATTCTGAACACAAAGCTACTGAAAAGAACAGTTTTATTCCTTTGATCAAAGTAAATAAGCTGGGTGTCCCAATCTCTTGCCACATGCAAGCACACTGTGAGACAGAAGAGAATGAGCACGTCCTAATCAAAAAGTTCTTCCTTTTATAACTAATACACTTTTTTTTCCTTAACATTGCAAGGGTTTTGCACATCTAAAAATTTCTTTTTCGTTTGACTCTCCTTATCTATCAAGCATGTTGCAATTCTGCATTTCTAAGCTCTGAATACCCAATAGCTCAATAGCTAGCTGGTAATTAGCCCAGAAACTTAACTTGTTCCTTTGCAGGCACCACCGTAGAGAAGCAAAGGAATACATTTACTACCCAAGGAGAAAGGGGGTGGAAAAAGAACGCTACTGTAACATTTTTAAAGTAACAGAAAGCTTTTCTTTCTCTTTGCTCAGCACAATTTACATTACATTGGAGCACCTACAGAAAGCAAACATGTTCTGAATCGTATAACTCTATGTAACCCTAACTAGAGAGCATGTATCTGTATGTTAGAATATCTGGCATTTATTGGGTTAAGTGCTGTCTCCTTAAGAGATGGCTTATGGGAAATGTAGTTTAGCTAGTCAGTCATCCCATGTTAATGGGTCAGTGGGAGGAGTTTCTAAAGGGCATTGGGAGACTTCCTGGACACAAGCCAGTTTGGAATGTCTTTGTAAAAAGAGGAGCATGGGCCATCAGATGTCACTCGATGACTTTGTTCCGCTATAAAGATGGTATGGAGAGAGCATCATTCTTTTCACCTATAGGAATGGACAGAGATGTATTATCAGAGGCAACCCTCATGAATGCAAGTAATATTTCTGATTAAATATGTTTTTGTTATGAAATCATTTCTATTGAGTTTATCTGTCTGTTCTGATTTATGAGGCATTTTAACTCAAGATCAGAATAAAACAAAATAAATGAACAATGGCTGGACTATGTTATACAGGAAAGATGGATTATACGTAAAAGATTACATTTTTGGTCCCTTCACAGTGTCAAGTTCTGCAAGATTCAGGGAAAGCCTCAATATCATCATCACCACCCCCCATCTGTCCTAGATAGTCAGACCCCCCCCTTGCCCCAGAAAGGCTCATTAGCATCTTAAAATACACACCACAGACATGTGGGAATGGCATTAATCAAGTCTGCTTGCGCATTAACAAGTAACCAATTGCAGCACTTGTTTCCCATGAAAAATTACAAAAAGCCATGTATGACAACTCCTCCTCCTCTTTGGAGGCAACCCCTTTGCTGTTGTGCATCAATAAAGGAATTTTGCTCAAGGAGTGTCTTGTGGCCAGTGGATTTAATTGGGCATCGTCTCTGAGCAACAGACCACAAGCCAATCATCTCCGTTTACCAGTCTGACAGGCCAGAATGGTAAGTTGGGTGTTGCTGGGCCCTGGATCTGGCTGTGGAGCAGGCTGAGTTCTGCAAATCCCTCGGTGACTGAGGGGGAAGCAGGCCTCTGCCTGCAAATCCTAGCAGCCCTCCATGCACCAGCAGCTTCTGCTACTTGATGTTAGGCTCCCTTGGGTGGCTGAGTAGCTGGGTGGGAAGCAGGCTAAGGCCTTCGGGGACTCCGAGGGACAGGAAGTAGAGCCCGGGGTGCCTCAGAGAATGGGGAAGTCTCTGAAGGACAACAAAGACAATCATTGCTCAGCAGTCCCCAACCTCTGTGGCTTGACGGCCCGGCAGAGGGGGAAGAGGGGAACCTGCCACCCAAGCAGCAGGCCAGTGCATACACATGTGCAGCTTGATTTGTGCAAGCAGTGGGCTGGCACACAAGCATGCATGCACAGCTTGATTTGCACGTTGAGCTGCACATGCGGATGCACACCCACTGGCCCCCCACTCTGCAAGATGAGCTATACATGCAAGCTTGTGCGTTAGCCCACCTCTCACACGGTCTGGTTGGGAATAGGCCACAGCCCCTGTAGTGGGCCATGGCCCAGGGGTTGGGAATTCCTGATCTAGCTATTCTATCCAGAGCCATCTGAATATAATTGCAAGTGCCAGAAAACCAACCACGAAAAATGTCAGACGTGCAGAAATCAATTCGAGTTTTCTCTTTCTAAGGGTTAAATAAACCTGTCATCGAAGATTTGACCATGAATTGGACTGTGCAAGTCAAGCAAAAACAATTAAAACTATTTATTTGATTTGGAATTGAACAGATGGGAACCAGTTTCTGATATGATATGCACCATTCAGAAATCATCCAAGCTGGCTTCTCATTGCTTTTTAAAAATTCGCATTGATATGGAAATCCGATTCTAGTGTGGCAATTTGATCAGGTGGCTTCCTAATCAAATAATTCACCCTTGTTCTCTGCTGTTTGCTTTGTTCATTTATTTCATAATTTGAAGTGGGATTGCAACGACCTTTAATAATCCCGGATGAATGTCATCCTATTTAATCCTTCTCAGGAAGTTCTTGAGGAAATCAAGCATTTCAAAACACGAATTTATGTGCGCGTTTGCAATAAGCAGAAACCAGCATATATGTTGCACCTGGAAATCAGCAATACTGATTTTCACTGCTGTGGTTCAAGATCCACATTATCATGTGTAAACACTAGATTGTGAGCTACTTTTTTAAAATGAAAATTTATCTTTATTTTTTTAATGAATCTACCTCTTAGTTTATTGAACATCTTCAGCAGAACATGCCTGATTTTCTTCCATTTCACTCTTGTTCTTTCCCATTTCAGAAAAATGCATCCATAGCATACCTAACTTTGGAGGTCTTGGAAACGCAGTGTCCTGTAATATCCAGAAAACGCTGGTCATCCTGTGGACACAGACCATTCTTAAGTATAATGGCAAGTAATGGCCATCTCTTTTCTTCCTAACATCAACTCTTTGAAATATACTTCTGTGGAAAGTCCTGCTTTTGTTACCACTAAACCAGGAGTAGGCAACCTTGGCTCTTTTATGACTCATGGACTTCAACTCCCAAAATTCCTGAGCCAGCATGGCTCAGCTTGGAAACTTTTCCCTTTCCCCTCAGCATGGCTGGCTCAGGAATTCTGGGAGTTGAAGTCCACAAGTCATAAAAGAGCCAAGGTTGCCTATCCCTGGCCTAGGCCTGTATTTTTCAAATTGGCCACTCAGAGATGGGTAGACTTCAACTTCCAGAATTCCTGAGCCAGCATGGGGGAACTATGGCCCTTCATGACTCGTGGACTTCAACTCCCAGAATTCCTGAGCCAGCATGGCTCAGCTTGGAAACCTCTCCCTTTCCCCTCAGCATGGCTGGCTCAGGAATTCTGGGAGTTGAAGTCCATGGGTCATAAAAAAGCCAAGGTTGCCTACCCCTGACTAAACCAACAAAAATATGACGTTAACACATCATTTGTACTGCCATAATCTCATCGACAAATACAAGTTTTAGAAAAAGGTTTTTCTTGAGTGAGGGCCCAAAGTGCTCCACATTTATACTCCCCATCTGATATCATCTGCATGTTTGATATAAGGCTATGTATTGATATAGTGTTAAAGATAAGGACTCTTTGAGCTAAGTGTGGCTCTAGGTGACTCCATAAACACATTCTTCCTGGATAATTCTTCAGCAAGTAGCAGCTCCTCAATAGATGTCAGTCTTCATACCTGGTTTTGGCACCAAATGCCACTTCTTCACACACTTAAGTTTGTTTGAGCTTTTCACTACACTTAGCTCAACCCATAGAGACAACTTAGCTAGATTAGAATCTTGATCTTAGACAATAATAAAGCTTCAAATGCAGAGAAGCCAGAAGCTTCAATATTTTACGCTCCAGGGTTCAAACTTTAGACTTCTCCCTGTAATCTTTCAGAATTAACAGAACTTTGGCAAATCAACTGGAGGCCTTGGGATATGTTTACAACATGTCCTCCTCTAAGCTCGGAATTGCTCATTTCCCCTCTCACTAGTCTTAACCTTTACACTGCCCTGGGTGTCTTAGAAAGCCAAGCAGGGTCAGGGATGGTTAATTCTTGAATAGAAGATCCAAGAAAAACAAGCTTATAGACCAGTGGTTCTCAACCTTTTTAATGCCGTGACCCCATAATACAGTTCCCCATGTTGTGGTGACCCCCAAGTGGGTGTGGCCACCAATAAGAGGGAGTAGGACAGCTAGGGAAAAGGGAAAAAAATGGCGGACAGCGTAGTTTGGCGACCCCCATGAAATGGTCATTTGACCCCAAATGAGGTCCCGACCCACAGGTTGAGAGGCACTGTTATAGACTAAGAAGGGAACTTGAAAATCCACTCTGGAAAGAAGGACATGGTAAATCAAGCTTGTCGTACTAGTACCAAGAACATTGCATAATCATTGCCAGGACATTGCTAGGAGTCAACTTCTAGTGACTTTTGTCTTTCTGTAAAATACAGTTTGGAACTGATGCCTTTTCTTATGTCTTTTCCAGGATTTGGGACAATGTAAGGCTGTTGTGTATATAAATGAACTTTCCAAAAGAAAACTGCTATATGCATACAACTGCACTGTCAGTCCAGGTATTCACATCTTCTAAATTACAAGTTCAACATCAAATAAAGAAGCATCTCAGTAACCTAGAGGGCTATTTTTTGCACCTTCAGACAATGTACAATTTTGTCTTCTAGAAAAGTTTGAGGGGAAAAGTCTGATGCTTCTGATTTTTCAGAGGATGATGACAAGTCTGTACACACATACCAAATGCCACTTCCTTTAAACAATTTTTTCAGTTTTAAATTAGATAGATGAGATAGATAGATAGATAGATAGATAGATAGATAGAAGAAAGAAGGAAAGAAAGAAAGAAAGAAAGAGAAAGAAAGAAAGAAAGAAAGAAAGAAAGAAAGAAAGAAAGAAAGAAAGAAAGAAAGAAAGATCTAGACAGACAAGAATTATCATCTAAATGTATCGATGCATTAAGCAAGAATCAAAGCAAGACATTCAACTGCAGTTTGAGGAAAGGCAGATATGACAGTGGGTTAGGACTTGAGGTTATAGAAAGAGGTACCTATAACAGGAGGGTCAAAAAATCAGTCCTGATCAAAGCCACAATTTTTGGGGGGTATTCATATCCATTGGACCCTTTTCCATGGATACCCCTGGTCTCAGATAAACATGGAGGACTGCTTTTATGTGCTTATCTCAATACTTCACCAGTTCATCTGCACAACCTCAGAAATTGCAGTCGTATTAACTGATAGATAGTCCAGGTTACTTGAGGGACTGTCTCACCCCACTGGGGTCGGCCCGACCCACTCATGCCGGCAGAGGAGGCCTGCTGTGGGTCCTGTCAGCCTGATTATTCTGGCTGGTGGGATCCACGAAGAGGGCCTTCTCTGCTTTGACTCCTGCCCTCTGGAACATCTTGCCCTATTCCATGTCAGATTGACCCCAACCCTCCTATCTTTTTGTAAGGGCCTAAAGATGTGGCTTTGTCAGTCAGCTTGGGCTCACTGTGGGGCAACAGAGCAATAGAGGTGGTTGATTGAGTAATAATAGATCCCACCTCCCCCCATCCCCCCCGCCCTCCCCATATGTTTTCGGTTTTAATGTTTGTTTTTAACTTTTTACGTTTTAGATTTTACACAATTGTAAACATCCCAGAATTACTCTATGGCAGTGATAGTGAACTTTTTAGAGACCGAGTGCCCAAAAATTGGCCCCACCCCCACTCCATCCTCCTGCCCTGCCCCCACTCTGTCCCCCATCCCCCACCCCCCCTGCCCACAGGACCACTCATCGCCTCCACGGCCCGCCACAGATTGCCAAGGTAGTCCAGCAGCACTATGGCAGCCACACCCTCTGCCAGCGCCCTGCAACATCAACTGTATGATGGGGCGTGAGGGCAGAGTCTTGTCTACGCTGCCCAGCTGCCATGTCCTTGACTGCGCTGCTCCATGTGGGCCACTTTCGAGGGCGACTCTCCTTCATGGGGGCTGCTGGAGAAGAGGGGGTCGCAGGAGGAGGCAAAGCTGGGGCAACGGCACGTGTGCCCACAGAGAGGACTCCAAGTGCTTCCTCTGGAACCCGTGCCATAGGTTCGCCCCCACTGCTCTATGGTAAGATGGATGGCCAATGAATTTTATAAATAAACAAAATAAATAGAAATGCTGTTAGAAAAATGAACATCATATCTTACCATGGGCGAGGGAAAGGTTTTCACTGCCGGACATGAGACTTCTGAATTTTAATTTTTCATGGCAGAAGCAGGGTGGTAATAGATATTATCACTTAGGTGATATCAAAAATTTAAAAGGGACATTTTTTGAGAACTTTAGTATTCAAAGATTACATTGGAAGATTCATTTTTTACTAATTTGTTCCAGCTTGAATGTATGAAGACAACTCAGATCAATCATGCTGCAGTGTTGATAACAGTGCTTTTTTTTTTTTAACAGTTCCACCAAAACTATATGAATGCAAGGATTGCCCTGTAAGAATAACAGTTCTAGAAGACACTGATAAGCACACTGAAGAAGCCAACAAGATTTTAGAGAAGTACAGCCTGGGGAGCAATGTGTCAAATTATTTCAAGGTGGAGAAAGTCCAAAAGGTTATCAGCGCAGTATGTATCCATGTTTTCCCGTGGATCAGTAGGCTTATGTAAAAATTGTTTCCCAAGGTGTACGGAAAGAAAGAATCAGCAGTGGAAAATCCACTCCCCTTAATCACCTTCCACTACTCTATCTCTCTTTGATCGCCATGATGTAAAAAAGATGTTGAGACTCTAGACAGAGTGCAGAAAAAAGCAACAAAGATGATCAGGGGACTGGAGGTTAAAACATATCAAGAACAGTTGCAGGAATTGGGTATGTCTAATTTAATGAAGAGAGGGACGAGGGGGGACGTGATAGCAGTGTTCCAATATCTCAGGGGTTGACACAAAGAAGAGGGAGTCAAGCTATTCTCCAAAGCACCTGAAGGCAGGACAAGAAGCAATGGGTGGAAATTAATCAAGGAAAGAAGCAACCTAGAACTAAGGAAAAAATTCCTGACTGTTAGAACAATTAACCAGTGGAACAACCTGCCTCCAGAAGCTGTGAATGCTCCAACGCTGGAAGCTTTTAAGAAGAGACTGGACAATCATTTGCCTGAAATGGTATAGGGTTTCCTGCCTGAGCAGGGGGTTGGACTAGAAGACCTCCAAGGTCCCTTCCAACTCTGTTATTCTGTTATTCTGTTCTGTTATTTTTTCTCTCTCTCTTCTTCCTTCCTTTCATCTTAAAAATGTCCTTCTTGTAGTTGCTATTCTTATGAATGAAATGCATATCAAATTTAACCCATATCTTAACTGTATTAAAACCCTTTCATAGTGTCATTACTGTATTGTACTAGCAGAGTCAAGAAGTGGCATCTTTAATCCTCTTTACTCGTCCCCTATTTTATGCCTAGGATTATTCTGATTTAGAACAGACCCCATGGAATAGCCTGATTTTTCTAAAACTTTCCTAGGTGAAAAAAATTACATCTGCTCTGTAGTCATCCTTAGATGCTAATGCCAAAATGAAGTGTAATATTGGAAAAGTTGGTTGTAATTTGATCACTGTTTTGTTTATTTTATGCAGGTGGCCAGTCGTACGGTATTCATTGTTGAATTCACCATAAAAGAAACAAAATGCCCTAGAAATACTGACCCAGCAAGCGTTTCCCAATGTGAATTCCTGCCTGATGGAAAAGCTGTGAGTTGAGAAGCCAAGAACTTTAATATATACAAAAGGTGTTGTTGTTAGTTGCAAAGTTGTGTCCAACTCATTGCAACCCTATGGACAACGTTCTTCCAGGCCTTCTTGTCATCTACCATCTTCTGGAGTCCATTTAAGCTCACGCCTACTGCTGCAGTGACTCCATCCAGCCACCTCGTTCTCTGTCGTCCCCTTCTTCTCTTGCCCTCAATCTTTCCCAGCATTAGGCTCTTCTCCAGTGAGTCCTTCCTTTTCATTAGGTGGCCAAAGTACTTGAGTTTCAATTTCAGGATCTGGCCTCCTCTAGGACTAACCGGTTTGATCGCCTTGCAGTCCAGGGGACTCGCAGGACTTTTCTCCAGCACCATAGTTCAAAGGCCTCGATTCTTTTGCGCTCAACCTTTCTTATAGTCCAACTTTCAAAGCCATACATTGCAACTGGGAAAACCATGGCCTTGACTATACGTATTTTTGTTGGCAGGGTGATGTCTCTGCTTTTTAGTATGCTGTCTAGAGTTGCCATAGCTTTCCTCCCCAAGAGCAAGCGTCTTTTAATTTCTTGGCTGCAGTCCCCATCTGCGGTGATCTTGGAGCTCAGGAAGATAAAATCTGTCACTACCTCCATTTCTTCCCCATCTATTTGCCAGGAATTGAGAGGGCCGGATGCCATGATCTTGGTTTGACTAATAAACTGCAGGAATAAAGTAGGTAGTTGCGATACAGAATTTTCATATTGGGCAAGAAAAGTTAGAACACAAACTGCCTGTTATAGATCCTCAAATGTATCTTAGTAGCAGTTGTATAAGGACCAGAGGGTTAGTACATGTGCCTCGGAGAGAAAAGCATTTAAACTTTGCTCAAACTGTAGCTTCTAAAGGAGAGAATAGCAGATCTAGATACTAATTTAATAAGGAGTCCCATAATTATTGCAGTCAGGTGATCATCGTTTATAACCTTCTTAGCCAGCTTCTGAGAAGCAAAGTCAATGGGGGAAGCCGGATTTGCTTAAAGACCACATGATTGACTAAACAACTGCAGTGCTTCACTTAACATCTGTGGCAAAAATGGCCATAAAATTGGGCATGACTCACTTAACAACCATCTTGTTTAACCATGACTCACTTAACAACCATCTTGTTTAACAACAGAAATGCTGGTCTCAGTTGTGGTCATGTTGATGACGACCGAGAGACAGGGAGGGAGAGAGAGGGAGGGAGGGAGAGGGAGAAAGAGAGGAAGGAAGGGAGAGAGAGAGAGGGAAGGAGGGAGGGGGAGGGAGGGAGGAGGGTGAGAAAAAGAGGGAGGGAGACAGGGAGACAGGGAGAGAGAGGGAGGGAGAGGGAGAGGGAGAGAGAAAGGGAGGGAAGGAGGGAGGGAGGGAGGGAAGGAGGGGAGAGAAAGAGAAAGATGACATATGTATCAAATTTAGAAAAATTCAATACTATCACAAGTGTTATCATTTCTTTTTCTCTGTAGAATCTGGGATTTTGCATAGGAAGAATTGTTAAAGAGACACAAAGCCCAGATGTGGTTCAAGTAGACTCCTGTGAAATCTATGATATTCAGGTAAGAGTGCAAATTATTTAACAGCTTTGAGGAAAAACACATAGCCTTAAGGGCAATGGTAGCCATCAGCAGGAATATGAATCACAGCATGCAGAACAATCTCAGTCTCCTCTTCAAAAGTCTTTATAAAAAGGGGAGGATTTTACAATTTACCCACAACTCAGGTTTTTCCCAAAAGACTGCAGCCTTAGTCACACTGGATCCCCAGATTTCTCTCATCTTCCCATCTCCTACCTCCCTGCTGGTATCAGCCAAATAAGGAAAGTACACTATTACCGTAAAACAGATGAAACAGGTAGTCCTCAGCTTGTGTCCATTCATTCAGTGATCATTCAAACTTATGGCAGTACTGGAAAAAAAAGGGCATACAAGTGATCCTCAAAGTTCTCACCATCATAGTACCCCAGCAGGCATGTGATCACAATCGGGACACTAGGATGCCTGGATTGCAAGGATGACATGAGAGAGAGTCATAGTCACACGATCACAGTTTGTGACTTTCCCTGCTGGCTTTCTAGAGCCCTGGTGACACACAGTGGTTAGAATGCAGTATTGCAGGCTAACTCTGCCCACTGCCAGGAGTTTGATCCTGACTGGCTCGAGGTTGACTCAGCCTTCCATCGTTCCGAGGTCGGTAAAATGAGGACCCAGATTGTTGGGGACAATGTGCTGACACTGTAAACCACCCAGAGAGTGCTATAAGGCACTGTGAAGAGGTATGTAAGTCTAAATGTTGTTGCTATTGCTATTTCCACAAGCAAAGACAATCGAAAAGCCAACAGGCAAGGTCACCAGTTGCTCCAGTAAGTTACTCTCACTTTTTCTCTTGCCCAGACCACCCCATGCACACACGGCTTACACCAGCCCTCCCAGAGCCTTCGACAGCCTCCCACACTCCCTACAACAAACCTTGAGTCACCACTGCACTCCTTACCTGAACTTCCACTGCTTCCCACTTAACAACGCACGAATCTTGGGGTTACAACAGCAACCAGGATTCCCTGGGATTGCCATTGCTAAGAATGCAGTCACATGACATCACACTGTACAACTGCATCACTTAGGGATAGTAATCCCAGTCCCAAATGCACCTGTAATTTAAGGACTACAGGTAGTCCTCAACTTCAAATCATTTGGTTAGTGACTGTTCAAAGTTACAACAGCACTGAAAAAAGTACTTAGGGTCGGTTTTCACATTTACAATCGTTGCAGCATCCCCACTGTCATATGATCAAAATTCAGAGACTTGGCAACTGGCATGTACTTATGATGGTTGCACTGTCCTTGGGTCATTTGTGATCATTTGTAACCTTCCCAGCCAGCTTCCAACAAGCAAATCAATGATAGAAGACAGATTCACTTAATGAATGCACGGTTCGCTTAACAACTGCAGTGATTCGCTTAACAACTGTGGCAAAAAAGATCACAACTCACTTAACAACTACCTCGCTTAGCAATGGAAATTTTGGGCTCAACTGTGATTGTAATTCAAGGACTGTCTGTATCTGCATTTGAAGAGTGGTGCAATACCTCATAATCAGATCATTCAGTTCAATCCCATACGACAAATGTAACAGTAAACAGGCCAATGATTGCGAGGTACTTTCATATACTGTATATTTTCATTTATATATTTAAGTGAATTATTAAATACTTTTGCTGTGAACTCCCCATGGGGTCAGGAAGGGCATCTGGCCAGTAAACGCTCAGCTCCGGTCAGTTGCCCCGACTCTACCCTGAATTATAGGATTACAGGTTAGTAAAAAGGGAGGTTTTTATTGATATATTACTTTGATTTAGTTATTTTGCATTTTTCTTGCAAAATACCTAAACTAACTTGGTTTCTTTTTTCTAATTCTCATTTGTGTTCCATACAATCATAAATGATGGCTTGTTCTTTTAACTTCCTTTGCAAAGACTCTCAGCATCTCCCCTCATCATCATCCTCACCACTTCCACCATGATTCAGGAGAAGGCCATCATCATTGCAATGTAACTGGGCGTGAATGCAGATATCGGCCACATGAACATCATCCTTTTCACCATCATCATCATCACCCTCATCACCCCCACCATCACCATCATTGTCACCCCCATCATAATCATCATCATCAACAACAACACAATCACTCTCACCATCCTGGACACCTCCAAGAGTATAGAGACCCACCAATTCTTGGCCATTATCAAGCTGGTCCTGCAGGTCCCAAGGGCAACCATAATTCTGAGCAGACACAAGAGGAACATCCTGACATTCCCCCTCCTCCAGGGCCCCAATATCCTCCTCCTCCTCCCGGTGGTCCCCCTCATCTTCCTCCTAGTAAATATCCACCACCACCTCCTGGGCCTCCACCTCTCCAACCTTTTCGTCATAGACCAGTTGATCATCACCCACGGCCATGTGGGAGGTTTCCTAAATGTGGCCACTGGCATCGCTGCCACCACCATCATCACAGGTCTAATGACACTGCATATAAAAGAGAAGAAAGCCAGTCCTTAGAAGAGCAAGATTCTTTCCATCATAGTAGTGTGGGCTCAGTCCATCATGTTCCAATTTTGAATGAACACGATGTCCTCCAAGCTCCTGGTGCCAACTTTCTTGACCATCCTTTGCCTGACCAAGGAAGACATGGAAAACATACAATACAACCTTTCCCGGAGGGATCAAAGTCATGCCCAGGGAAGCCCAAACATGACCTCTTGCCAAGATTTTTGTCTTTATTCCCTACACCATCAGAACAGTAAAAAGCTTTTCATGGAAAAAATAATATCTGCATTCATATGTGTTGATTTTAATTTAAATTCCCCATAAGTGGTAACTGTTCCATGACTCCCAGTCTTATTTCTGTTATAATTGTGCATGTTTTATATTTACTTTATAGTTATGCATGTTTGATACTATATTTTACCTATTTAGTCACAAGTTAGTTAACAATGAGTATTGCATGCCTTAATGCTATGTTTTTTCAGTTAGCTAGTAGTGGAAATGTAAATTTCCAAGCGGGGAGTGTTCTGGATTGTATAACTCTATGTAACCCTAACTAGAGAGTATGTATCTGTATGTTAGAATATATGGCATTTATTGGGTTAAGTGCTGTCTCCTTAAGAGATGGCTTATGGGAAATGTAGTTTTAGCTAGTCAGTCATCCCATGTTAATGGGTCAGTGGGAGGAGTTTCTAAAGGGCATTGGGAGACTTCCTGGACACAAGCCAGATTGGAATGTCTTTGTCTGAGAGAAGCATGGGCCATCAGATGTCACCCGATGACCCTGCTATAAAGATGGTATGAAGAGAGCATCATTTTTTCACCTATGGGAATAAACAGAGATGTATATTATTTCAGGAGGAACCGTCATACATGCAAGTATTCACTCTGAATAAATATGTATATATTTTTGTTTTACAATCATTTCCATTGAGTTTATCTATCTGATCTGATTTATAAGGCGTTTTAACTCAGGATCAGAATAGTAACCACAAGAGATAAATATCAGAGAGCATAGCTTATATATAATTTTAGAGTGATGCATGCTCTGGAAATTATTTGAAAAATGTATTTCAGGTGTTGCATAATTGCATGTGCAATAATAGTCCTTCTCTGCCATTCTTTAAAATAACTTGTTTTTTTCAGTCTTTCCATAAAAATCTGGAAGGAAGATCCTAATGTTTTATGCTAAGGAGTAGATTGCATGCACCACATACAGAGAAAGTGGATTTTGTAGAAAGAGTCTTCTTATGGAATGTCTGATTCCAGAGAAGGTTTGAGCTGATGGGATTAGAAAAACAAAGACTCCAGGACAGGAACATAATCTTTAGGACATAATAGGATTAACCCACCACCATTAGAATATCAAAAAAGCACATTCAAGCTCAAAGTAAATTGCACAGGAACAGGAACAACTCCAAACACAAAACCCAGAGAAGGTATAAAAGCCCACCTATCCCAACTCCATTTGGTCAGTTATCCAAGAACCACATTGGTTTTGTTGGTTCTGTTCCTCAATAAACAGAAACTTCTTTCCAAACAGCCTCCATTTTATTTATTCCTGGCTTGGACTGGACCTGATGATTTTTCTTTCAACACTATCTTCATCTTATCTTTCAGTTATTGACTTGAAATTAATAAAAAAAACCACAAAGGGTGATTTTAGCAAGGATTTTTATCTGGGTAAGAGATAGATCCCTGCAACCACAGGGTCATAAAATTGTAAAACAATGATTTCTCAAACAAATTGCACATAGGCTCGAATACAAAATGAAATAGAGTAAGCCTCAATGACAGATTACCAATAATTATGCTTATGCTTGTAAAAATAAACAGTCCAAAAATTCATCCATTTTCATCTTATTCATTGTTAAATTGTTTTTTTTTTCTCCTACTGTAAATTCATCATTTAGGTCAGGGGTGGGGAACAATGGTCCTTTTATGACTCGTAGACTTCAACTCCAGAATTCCTGGTTCAGAAATTCTGGGAGTTGAAGTCCACGAGTCATAAAGAGGCCATCGTTCCCCACCTCTGATCTAGGTATATCTATTCCAAATACTGAGAACTTGTCCAAAAACTGGATAAGTTTATTCTGTTGGTGGGATTTTAATGTTTATCCTACAAAAATGCTGAGGGAAGGATGTTCCATGTGGCTCTGAAAACTGTTTTTCCTAGGCTGACAAAGGAAAATATTGGGCAGGTTCCACAGCAGTCTCCTAGTTCTGTTGACTCAGCATTTACATCACATTTTTACTTGCTGAATCATGCACCACATGCTTACCTCATCAATACTGACAATAGAGAGTGAAAAACAGCAGCCCTTGGAAAAAGATTCTCAAATTCCACTCTTTCTCCCTTTAAAATTGGCTGATTATCAACCTAGAAAATGATCTTGAAATTCTCAGAACCGCCCATGGTTGTAAACATGTTCTGACTTTCACACTATAAATTGCACACATGAATTTTGAACAGCGGGTAAATAAACTTTGTATCGTAACACTGTGTGTGTGTGTGTGTGTGTGTGTGTGTGTGCAAGTACAGTTCATTTCATACTAAGGAGAAACTTCCTGACAGTTAGAACAATTAACCAGTGGAACAACATGTCTCTAGAAGCTGTGAATGCTCCAACCCTGGAAGTTTTTAAGAAGAGATTGGATAACCATTTGTCCGAAATGGTATAGGGTTTCCTGCCTGAGCAGAGGGTTGGACTAGATGACCTCCAAGGTCCATTCCAACTTCTATTATTATTATTATTATTATTATTATTATTATTATTACTATTATTATTATTTAATAAACCATTCGAACTTACAACGGCACTGAAAAAAGTAACTTATGACCATTTTTCACACTTATGACCATTGCAGCATCCCTATGGTCACATAATTTACATTTAGATGTTTGACAACTCACTCACATTTATGATGGCTGCAGTGATGTAATGAACTTTTGCAATCTGTTCAAACTGTGGACTGGCAGCAAGATGGACTGGCTGCTATGAAGACACAACCAATAGATTGGGGTCTCCAAACCTGGCCACTTTAAGACTTGTGGACTTCAATTCCCAGAATTCTGGGAGTTGAAGTCCACAAGTCTTAAAACAGTCAAGTTTGGAGACCCCTGCAGTAAAACGGCGGGTCAAGGAGGTTATGTGGAGGAACGTCACCACGATGTAAAAAAGATGTTGAGACTCTAGAAAGAGTACAGAGAAGAGCAACAAAGATGATTAGGGGACTGGAGGCTAAAGCATATAAGGAACGGTTGCTGGAATTGGGTATGTCTAGTTTAATGAAGAGAAGGACGAGGGGGGGGGACATGATAGCAGTGTTCCAATATCTCAGGGGCTGCCACAAAGAACAGGGAGTGAAGCTATTCTCCAAAGTGCCTGAAGGCAGGACAGGAAGCAACAGATGGAAACTAACCAAAGAGAGAAGCAACCTAGAACTAAGGAGAAATTTCCTGACAATGAGAACAATTAATCAGTGGAACAACCTGCCTCCAGAAGCGGTGAATGCTCCAACACTGGAAGTTTTTAAGAAGAGACTGGACAGCCATTTGTCTGAAATGGTATAGGTTTCCTGCCTGAGCAGGGAGTTGGACTAGATGACCTCCAAGGTTCCTTCCAACTTTATTATTATTGTTGTTGTTGTTGTTGTTGTTGTTAACCTATAATCCTCAACTAAGCACAAATCTGGGCTAAATGTAGCCATTTCCAAGGATGAACCAGTTTGATATGGTAGATAAGGTGCTGGCCTAGAAACAAGGAGACAGTGAATTCAAGTCCTGCCTTTGGTATGAAAGCCAGCTAGGTGATTAGGGGCAAGTCACTCTCTCTCTCTCAGTCTATCCCACCTCACAGGGTTGTTGTTGTAGGGAAAAGAGGAGGAAAGAATTAGGTATGTTCATCACCCTATACCATTTCAGGCAAATGATTGTCCAGTCTCTTCTTAAAAACTTCCAGTGTTGGAGCATTCACAACTTAGTGACCATTCAAAGTTACAACGGCACTGAAAAAAGTGACTTATGACTATTTTTCACATTGTCATGGTTCCGACAGATGAAACTCTTCAAAAGAACTTTGAGGCATTGTTTATCTTAAAGAATCTTTATTTTGAGTAGCATAATATCGGCAGTGCATAATCAAAGCTAAAAACTGGATTCCCCTCCCCTGAGCACATATTATCAAAGCACAGTTCCCTCCTCTAATTAACAGTCATAAATCACATTCCCCAATTAGCTTGAAGCTCGGGCTTCCTCTCCAGTTCTCCAGCCGGCCAAATCCTTATCAGTCCTGGTTACAATAACCTTGTTTCTCACGCTAGGTTTGGTGTGTTATGTCTAGACTCTCGTTCACATCCCCCCTCCCAACATCATCTAAATCTAAAAGCAAAAGGAAAAAGATGGCTACATTTCCATCTGTTGTCAACGCAAAAACATCCGATGTTAGCAGCGTTGACATATGACCCATGGTCATGTGATCAAAATTCAGACTCTTGGCAACTAGTTAATATTTATGATGGTTGCAGTGTCCTGAGATCATGTGATCACCTTTTGTGATCTTCTGACAAGCAAAGTCAATGGGGAAGCCAGATTCACTTAACAGTCGTGTTACTAATTTAACAACTGCAGTGATTCACCTAACAACTGTGGCAAGAAATGTTGCAAAATGGGGCAAAAACTCACTTAACAAGTTTCTCGCTTAGTAACGTAAATGTCAGACAGCCTTGCCACACCCCTGACTCGAACAAGAAACAAGCCGTTAAGGTCACAAGTGGCTGGTTTATGTCTGGAATGCTCTGGCATGCAGGATTCCAACGAACAGCAAGCAAAGTCAGTGCTGGGAGCAACTGCCTCCCAGCGCTCTAAATAGTCACCTCCGAGCCGCCCCACCCCCCATCCAGTATCCGGTGTGTGCGCCAGTAGGGCAGTAAGGCAAGGAAACGAGGCAGGTTTTCAGCATTCAGCTCTCCACCGCTTCTCCGCGCCGCTAAGTTGTTCGGCGGGATGGCCTCGTAGCTGCGTTCCGCAGGGTCCCCCTTTCAGCAGACAGGAATGGGGGAGGGAAAGCCTGTCACTGTCATCTATGCTGCTGGTCCCATCCACTGCCTCCAGATGCCTCCATCTGATGGTCTTGTCCCCTCCTCCCCCCTCCCGTTAATGGCAAGCCCACAGGGGCTTGACAGTAAATTTTGGGCTCAATTGTGGTTGTACGACAAGGATTATCTGTAAACCTATATTTTGGTCTGTATATTTTCCACTGTTGGAAAAAATGTGAGATCTCCTGCTCATGTCTGTGTTCTGGTTGACACTAAAGTGGCAGGAATAGCCAACACCCCAGAAAGTAGGCTCAAGTTCCAGATGGATCTCAACAGACCTGAACGCTGGGTCCTATCTAACATAACGAAATGCAGTGTGGAGGAAAGTAAGATTTTACACTTAGGTAAGAAAAAACAAATGTAAAGGTTCAGATTAGTGGAAATTTTGGGGGTCACACAACTGGTTGACTTAGGAGTCTTCCAGATATTGTTAGCATCCAAATTCTGGAAACAGATGAATGTATCTGCTGGTCAACATCAGGAAGAGCACAGGTTAACTCTCTGAGGATACAACCAATTAAAAAAAAATCTGTTGGATTACATATAGCTTCCACAACTGTTTACAATGGAACAGAACGAACTATTCCAAACCTGTTTGTTCATATATAAATGATCATGATGCAATGAAGAAGAGCACAGTGGGATCACTAGCAGCAGACGTAAACTGAAAATTTGCACAGATAAAGTGCTTCTGGAACACCATGCGCCCCCCCCCTCCCCCCGAGGTGACCTGGCTCTGCCAACTGGCCTTGGGGCCTAATTCTGGAGGTGGGTAATGGACTAAGATAAAATGGCACCTCTTCCTCATGGGCATCTTGCTCCCTTCTGTAGCCATCTTCATTATTTTAAGCCAGGTTTAGTATTACTATTTACTCTTTTAATGTTTCATATTATTATTTTTATTGATTGTAAGTCACCTAGAGTCCCCAATATGGGTGACCTATAAGTTTAATAAATAAATAAGTAAATGTGTTCATTATTTCTATTACAAAATCAGCACAGATATAGGATGTTATTCTTGAACCCTCTTGTTATGGATATAATTATCTCCTCAAGCTTGGCAACAGAGAAGAAAACTTTACCAATCCTTGGAATCGATTAGGTTCCATTCTTTCTCCCTTTGAAACTTGGTTAATATCAGTGTGGAAAATATTCTTGAAGCAAACCAAAGTGACCTACAGTCAGAACTGTATGTTCTAACCCTGACATTGTAAAGTAACAACTTGTATTGTGAACTGCAAGTGAATAAACTTGGTATTTAAAAAAAAACACTAATGCTTAAATAAACCCCAAAGGATATTCACACTGACATACGAGTTCATTACGACCTAAGCTCGTGAAACATTTGTGTCTATGTTTTGTTTACTTTAAGCGCTCTGATCTCCGTTAGGAAGATATGTCCCAACAGTTATATTTGAAGCTCTTTCTCCCCTTCCTACATTCATCAGATTTCAGAAGGAACTTCTCTCACCTGGGTATGGAAGTCTTCATTCTGCTAGTCCTCAGCATTGGACTTTGCAAGGCTGTCCATGGCGAATTGGGTAAAGATGATCCAGAAGTTGTCAATGCTGTGGCTACAGCAATAAAAGTACTTAATGAAGACAGAAGTCATGGGAATAAATTTGCCCTCGGGGTCATCCTTGATGCCTACAGAATAGTAAGTAAATTTGGTAACATCAAAAAGCTAATTACTGGGAAATTCATAGCTGGGAACTTGCACAAGAATGCACCATCAGCATCCTCTACCGCAGTGTTTCCCAAACTTGACAATTTTAAGGCATGAGGACTTCAACTCCCAGAATTCCACAGCCAGTGCTGGCTGTGGAATTCTGGGAGTTGAAGTCCTCATGCCTTAAAATTGTCAAGTTTGGGAAACATTGCCCTACCTTAAGACTTGCTGAAAGGAACCTATTGTTATTCCAATGAGTATTTTTGTTGTTGTTAATTGCGAAGTCGTGTCCGACCCATCGCGACCCCATGGACAATGTTCCTCCAGGTCTTCCTGTCCTCTACCATCTTCTGGAGTCCATTCAAATTCACACCTACTGCTTCAGTGACTCCATCCAGCCATCTCATTCTCTGTCGTCCCATTCTTCTATTGCCCTCAATCTTTCCCAGCATTAGGCTCTTCTCCAGTGAATCCTTCCTTCTCATTAGAAGGCCAAAGTACTTGAGTTTCAACTTCAGTATCTGGCCTTCTAAAGAGCAGTCGGGGTTGATCTCTTCTAGGACTGACCGGTTTGAACGCCTTGCAGTCCAGGGGACTCGCAGGAGTCTAATGAGTATTTAGTGTCAAATAAATACTCATTGGAATATATCCTTCCCAATATAATCCAAAAGTATTGAACTTCAGCTCAGTGTAATTCCAAAAGCTGTGAGGGGTTTTGCATTCCAACCAAGCATTTTATTTTTTTTAAAAAATCTTTGTTTTGGGAGGGGACAATTCTTCCATGTTTTTAAACAGCCTTCATAAGTCTGGTACTTTTGAAGTAGATTGGATTTCAATCCCAAGAATTGGGATAATTATTGGAGCTGCCATCCCACATTTCTGGGGCATAATCTGCCTTCTCAATTCTGCTGATCGCTGTATAAAACATAATATTATGCAACCATTTGGTGCTTTCCATTTAACATTGCCTAACTTGGATTTCCATGAATTAAATTCATGAAATGAATTGGGAATGCTGAAATTGACCCAAGGGAGTTGCTGGCATTTCAAGGGTCAGAAGTCCAACTGAGAGCTTGTGGGTACACACACACACAGCCCCGGATGGCAGCTTCCTATGTCAATTGGGTGTGTTCACTTCTGGATTTTGTGCTTGTGATGAAAAAAATGAAACTTTGACTTTGGTTTTGTCAGTTATATAGATTTGTCGGTATAGAAATGGCTAGTTATATACTAACGTGTAAAAGCAAAAAGTTGAGGCTGGAGTGTTTTTATCTTGTGCTAAAAAAGAGTCAGAAGTCAATGCCTTTTTTTTTTCTTTTTTCCCTTGTACCTTACATTTTCTTCTCCCCTCTCTTTTTTCTCCCCCTAATTTCCCATTTCTATTTCTCTTCGTATTTTATATATAGGTAAAACAATAAAAGATAAATAATGAAATTGGGTGTGTTCTAGGGTTCACAGTACAATACGGGAAGGCACCTGCATAATCCTAGGAAAATAACTTTTCCTCTCTGAATCCAAAGTGCTGCCCAGCTCTGCACAAAACCATTACAGATAGTCCTCAGCTTACGACCATTAATTGGGACTAGAATTTCTGTTGCTAAACAAAGTGGTTTAATGAACTGCAGCTGATTTTACTACCCTTTTTCAGCACGGTTGTTAAGAGAATCACTTCAGTTATACGAATCATGCAGTCGTTAAGCGAATCCAGCTTCTCTTATTGATTTTGATTGATAGAAGCTGGCTGGGTCATGACCACATGACCCCCAAAATGCTGGACCGTCATAAATACATGCCGGTTGCCAAGTGTCCAAATGTTAATCACATGACTGTGGTGATGCTATGACGGTCGTATGTGTGAGGACTGGTTAGAAGTCACTTTTTTCAAAACTGCTGTAACTTTGCAGGGTTGCTAAAAAATGATTGTAAATCGAGGATGATCTATATTGATACAACTTTATTTCTCTGAGGTTCTTTGAACTATTACATGCTGCAAGTACACAGACCATTGGCAGTTTTTTTTAACTACTAGGATATGGGCCACCCAGAGAATAGCATAATTTTGGCATAAATTATGCTATTTATGTTTTTAATCACTGGTCGTAATTCACTTTATTCCTATATTGTTTTAACTGTCAGCCACCCAGAATCATGTGTTTGAGACGGGCAGCCATATCAGTTTAATAAATACATAGATGAAACTGCAACAGCACTCATGTATGTACTCTTTTCAGGCAGATGCTAGAAAAACATTCCTTATCATCTATCAAGTAAGAGAAACTGCATGTCCAATAGCTGCGGATGAGCCTTGGCAAAAGTGTGATCTTTTAAGGACCTCAAAAGGAGTAGGTATTTATTCTTCCTCCTTTGAAGTGACAAAAAAGAGTTTGGGGGGAGAGCAGGAGAAAAGAGAGAGGTCTACAGTATGAAGCTGCCAGGATCACTGTATGCAACGAGGCAAAAGACGCCATTATGCAACCAGGCAAAAAATACATTAATATAAAACTTAAAGCGAAACTGTGTGATAGGTATAACAGAATAACAGAGTTGGAAGGGACCTTGGAGGTCTTCTAGTTCAACCCCCTGCTCAGACAGGAAACCCTATACCATTTCAGACAAATGGTTGTCCAATCTCTTCTTAAAAACCTCCAGTGTTGGAGCACCTGTCACAACTTCTGGAGGCAAGTTTGATTCATCGTTCTCACTGTCAGGAAATTTCTCCTTATTTCTAAGGTTGCTTCTCTCCTTGATTAGTTTCCATCCATTGTTCCTTGTCCTACCTTTGGGTGCTCTGGAAAATAGGTTGACCCCTTTTAGTACAATTAGATGCATTGCCTATAACAATATTTCTCACATTTGGCCAGTTTAAGACATGTGCAGTTCAATTCCCAGAATTCCCCGGCCCCCAAGCAATGACAGTTGAGCCTGTATGCAAGTCTGCATTGAGGAGCAGCTGGCCCTTTCAATAATAATCCTGCCTATCAGGCCCAGAGAAGGTCACGTGACCCCTGAAGACCAATAGAAGGAAATAATCAGATTTTGTCAGGTAGGGGGGAGGGGAGAGAGTTTAGGTTTCTTTTCTTGACTGGAGTCCAGGATGAGGGGTGACTTCCGGCAAAGTTCAAAGTTATTGAGTTAGAAATAGGATTTTTGGAGGGGGGGCACAAACTCTGCACTGGATGTGTAGAAACTGAAAAAAATTCACTCCTGAAGTTGACTGGTAGCCTACTGGCAGCTGCCTCAGCTTGGCTGACCTAAGGAAACCCTACATTTTTGTCTGGTTTCCCATTTTGGATTTAGCCAGATTCAGGGTGGGACCTCAGTCCTTGCCAAACAACTATCTGCATCTGTTCTATAACATATGATAAAATATAGAGACTCTTTATCTGCAATGTTTGAGTAAAGACAGCGAAGTTCCTACAAACAATCCATTGCTTGTTTTCGAACTGCTTTATTAGACCATATTTGCAAGCTCATATCCCAGTGATAATAATAATAATAATAATAATAATGATAATAATAATAATAATAATAGTAGTAGTAGTAGTAGTAGTAGTAAAGTTGGAAGGGACCTTGGAGGTCATCTAGTCCAACCCCCTGCTCTGGCAGGAAACCCTACACCATTTCGGACAAATGGCTGTCCAGTCTCTTCTTAAAAACATCCAGTGTTGGAGCCGGCCCCACCCCTGCTCCGCCCACCCTGCCCTCACCCCGCCCACCTGCAGGGCTGCTCACCACCTCAACAGCCTGCCGCAGATCACCCAGGCAGCCCAGCTGCGCCATGGCAGCCACGCCCTCCACCGCCCACAGCATCAACTCTGCGACGGGGTGCAAGGGCAGTCTTGTCCCCCCTGCCCAGCTGCCATGTCCTTGGCTGCGCTGCTTCACGTGGGCCACGCTTGGGGGGGGGCGACTCCTCTGGGGGGGGCTGCTGGTGAGGGGGCCACAGGAGAGGTAGGGCTGGGGCAACGGCATGCATGCCCACAGAGAGGGCTCTGAGTGCCGCCGATGGCACGCATGCCATAGGGTCGCCACCACTGTCATATCCACTAACACAAATGTATATGCCTACAGGAAAAAAAACATAAGTGAAACATTGGTGACCCAATGGGTGAAAGATTTGTGAGATTCCAAATGTAGAGAAAAGAGAATATTTACGGCTCAGGGTTGCAGCTTTTTTGAATCATATGTAGATTTAAAAGAGACAATCAAACAGTCCAAAAGGAAATGAAAAGATCAAAAGATCTCACCAGCAATCAACACCCAAAGAAGCAGAAATTAACAGCACGATTAACACCAGAACAACAATCAAGAAGCAAACAATATCCTAATCAAGGAACTACCAACTCAGATAAGACAATCTTACAATAAACAACAACCCAGTCAAAAACACTCCCACAAACATTGCAAGACAAGCTACCCGTATATAAAATGAGAAGAAGAAGAAAACATACTCCCTTCTAGCACTGATGAAGTTGCCTAGTTTGATAATGAAATGTCTGCAAGAAAACAACCAAGCTCAGAGAACAACAAGGACGCCACAGGTTCCAAGTAGCTTTTTGTGAGAAAAATCTCAATTTTTCCAAAAACATGTCATACCATGATCATAGTACCTGTGATGATTCCCACAAATTTTAATACTTTGTTGTGCCCTCATCCCTTTTCTTCCTGTTGCGATGTATTGGTTCCTTTTGTCAAGGAAATGGAGGCCTATTTATTAGTACCAGCCATGCAATCATGATAGATGTTTCTATGTGTGTTTCCATTGATCAGCTCTAAATGATGCCAATTGACAGTTTAGTCCAGGGATCTCCAACCTTGGCAACTTTAAGACTTGTAGACTTCAACTCCCAGAATTCCTCAGACAGCTTTTCTGGCTGAGGAATTCTGGGAGTTCAAGCCCACAAATCTTAAAGTTGCCAAAGATAAGGAGCCCTGGCATAGTCTACATTCTATAGCTCTCTTGTTCTTTCTGTTTTCCCCTTTCCTGGTCAATTAATAATAGAAGGATACATAAGAGCATAATAGGATCCAGAGATAATGTAATAGAATAATACATATAAGGGAATGAAGATATGCACTTCATATCAAAGGCTATGAAAGTGATATGTTCTGTTTCTTAACAATGGAAAGTGGATTTATACAACTCCTGATATTTAACAGAGTTAAAATTGATGTCTCTTTTTGCTTTTCTTATAGCACTCTGGAACCTGCATAGCTGCAATTGACATTAATGAGTCACAACAATTTACCTTCATTGAACAAAATTGCAAAATTAAACAAGGTAAGTAAATTTTTAAGTTAGCATTCTGAAAACTCACCCTTTTTCTACTTTGTTCCTGATAATAATGGAGGAAAAAAAAATCAGTGACCAGATTTAAACCAATACTTGGGAGGGGAATTCAGGAAGGGATGATACCACAATAACCCGAGCTTCAATTTCCAGTCTGTAACTCAGTTCATCATGAGCCAGATTACAGTTAAGAAGTGAATCGCTCAGCTGAAAAATAAGAAATTGCATATTGTTGAAATAGAACGTGCAGGGAAAATTGTTTGGGCTTTTTGAATTTTTGGAGAATGATTAAGGGCTGAATGGTGACCTTAAACCTTAACTTTTAAACTGTAAAAAAATCATTTTGCCCCTTAAAAGTGCTGCACTACAACCCTATACATTCCTACCTTATAAATTGTATTCAGAACTCCCAGAATTCATAGCTAGAAGAATACTGGAAAGGAATTCTGGGAGTTATAATCCTAATAGACTTGGTCACCAGGAGAGTAGAGTTGGAGTAGGGTGCTGTGCATCCTTTTGTCTAGCAAGATTATACAAGCCAAACATATATCGGCTGGGACTAGACCAGTGGTTCTCAATCTTTTTAATGCCGCGACCCCCAAACGGCCGTAAGTCGAGGACTACTCAACTGATGCAGCACCGTTTGCAGAATGGGACTTTTGGCGGGCTCAGCAGGGCAGAGACAGCCTGGACAATTCCTATTGGCTTTTGAAAGCCAATAGAATTAGACTCTATTAAAGAGAGTCTATTCTATTGGCTTTCAAAAGCCAATAGAATAAAAGGGAGTAGCACAGCTAAAGAAAAGGGGGGAAAAAAGGCAGACTGCGTTGTTTGGCGACCCCCATGAAATAGTCGTTCGACCCCAAATGGGGTCCCGACCCACAGGTTGAGAACCACTGGACTAGACTCACTTGTTATATGAATGTGCAAACTACCGTATGTGCAAAGTTAGATGTAATAAACCCCAATGTTTAAAAGGGAATGGACGACCCTTAAATATGAACAGGCTATATTACTGAAATTGGGATCAATGTTCTTCTTCCTTGAGCTGGCAACATGTTGATGCCACATGTTTTTGATATACAGCCTGTTTTCACCAATTTTCAGCGGTTCTTGGAAGTACTGCATAGCTTCAGCACTTTGTTGGCTCACAGAAGGACAATGCTGTCTGCCATTTTTGATAATGGGCAGTACCGTATAGTGAAATGGAATAAGGCATTCTTTTTATATGCACAAATTAGAAGCCCTGATGAAACCATAGATAATAACCACCACTAACAAACTCCAAATTGCCACAGAACAATTTGCACTCATACAATTTTTTGCATCAGCCAAATGTGTTCATTAATCTCTTTCAAAAAATAAGATAGATGCAAGCTGCCATTCTCGTGCTTTTTCCTTTTTCAGAATAACCCGACATAAACCTGTGTTTTTATTTATATATTTTCAATAGCTGAAGACAATAAGAGATCTCGTGCTCAAGAGTGTCCTGGTTGCCACAACCTGATTGCTGCAGACAGTCAAGAACTGAACAAGCCTCTGGAAGATGTTGTGAAACTAATTAACCTTAAAAGCAGCAGTGACTTTTATTTCAAAATTGTGAAAATAACAAAAATATCAGGAAAGGTGTGAATTCTGACTCTACCACTGTATTTCAACATAGATTTTTAAAAAAAAAAACGGTTTGAGGTAGAGAATTATCTTTTGAGCTTGCCTCTTTTCCCAATTCAGCTGGCCTCGTACAAAGTTGATATTGTAATGGAAGACCAATGATTTATATGTTTGAATTTCCCCCAAATAGATGGGTGGGCCAACTAGGGATGCAGCTTGGAGACACCGGATTGAGAAAGTTTGCAGAAATTGCGTTGGTAGATGATGAGTCTGATAAAGCACATATTTGTGTGGCAGAAGATTTCAATTTGAGCTCTAGGCATGGGAAAGATTCCTGTAAGCATGGGAAAGATTCCTGACTCAAACTTTAGAGTCTCTTACTGGTGAACATCAACAATATTGGGCATGAGGGATCAGTGGTTTGATTTGATCCGTGACAGTTTATTATATGCCTCTAAGGCAGGTGTGTCAAACTGCCGGCCCGCAGGCTGGACACATCATCCAGAAGCCACGCCCACCCCATTGCCGGCAATGGCAAAACCATCCCAATACATTGTGCGACGTCACATGACGTTGTGAGTTTGACATGTCTGCTCTAAGAGAAAATAACAACAACAATAATAATAAATAAATAAGTTGGAAGGGACCTTGGACATCATCTAGTTTAACCCCCTATACCAGGCATCAAACTGACAGCCCATGGGCCAGATGCGTCATGTCGAAACTGCTCCCACCCCATTGCTGGCAATGGGGAAAAAGTCCCAATACATCACGTGACATCATGTGATGTCGCGAGTTTGACATTCCTGCCCTATATTAAACCCTATACCATTTCAGAAAAATGGCTGTCCAGCCTCTTCTTAAAAACTTCCAGTGTTGGAACATTCACCGCTTCTGAAGGCAGATTGTTCCATTGATTAATTGTTCTAATTGTCAGGTAATTTCTCCTTAGTTCTAGGTTGCTTCTCTCCTTGGTTAGTTTCCATCCATTGCTTCTTGTCCTGCCTTCAAGTGCTTTGGAGAACAGCTTGACTCCCTCTTCTTTGTGGCAACCCCTGAAATATTGGAACATTGCTATCATATCATCCCTAGTCTTTCTTTTCATTAAACTAGACATACCCAATTCCAGCAATCGTTCTTTATATGTTTTAGCCTCCAGTCCCCTAATCATCTTTGTTGCTCTTCTCTGTACTCTTTCTAGAATCTCAACATCTTTTTTACATCGTGGTGATCAAAACTGGATGCAGTATTCCAAATGTGGCCTTACCAAGGCATTATAAAGCGGTATTAATACTTCATGTGATCTTGATCCTATCCCTCTGTTAACGCAGCCCAGCACTATGTTGGCTTTTTTGGCAGCTGCAGCACATCTTTCCTTGGTCATTTTACTTGCTTGTTTTTATTAGAATCCTAGAGAAAGAATGGGTCCTTGGGGCCATTGAATGCAACATGAGCTAACCAGACAGCAAGCCAAGTTTTTTTGTTGTTCTTTGTGGGTTTATGCTATTCAGCATCCAGTCTAAATACAGTTGCTAATCATTTTTCTCCTTGAATTTCAGATGCTAGTTGGACACGTATATCGAATTGACTTTAAAGCTCAGAGAACAAATTGCTCCAAGACTGAAGTTGAGAAGCCAGATGAGAACTGTACTGCTGTGAAAGGCGGGGTAAAATACTAGGATTAGTTCAAGAGGAATATTTTACTTAACGGAATCAGTTAATTTTAAAGCAGATTCTTGAAACAGAACATTGGTGGGAAACGTTGCATTTCCCTATGGATGCATAGCCTTGAGATAATCTTGAGATAATCTTTCTGCTAAGACAATGTGATGTAAGTAAGTCTACTCAAGATCTAAACACAAGTTAACAAAACGCTGGTGCCCAAACAAACCATAAGATTAAAAGGATGGCCTCATTCACCCAATATGCCCACTTTAATCTGCCTAGACAAAGGGTAGGCAAACTTGGTTCTTTTATGACTTGTGGACTTCAACTCCCAGAATTCCTGAGCCAGCACAGCCTACCCTAGACTTACTATTTGGTTTAATATTGGATTATAATTAAGTGAAGTAGGTCTATCTTCCAGTTTGTCCCAACTTACTGTTGAATCAGTTGGAAAGCCCAAGATCCCACACTGGAATGAGTTTTTTTGCATGCGTGCACACACATGCGCACTCACATATACACAGATGTAGGTCATGATTGTATGGCTTTAATTTATACTCCTTGCCTCAATGTTTTGAATGAATTCCTGTTCCCCGAAGAAAGAAATCATAGATAAAAAACACTATTCAGAAAACAAATTTTAAAAATGATCAGCATTTGGGGAAAGAGAACATTTTTCCAAAATGCCGGTCAAAACAGAATTATTCTACACTGTATTTTATTTTTATGCCAATATTTCACAAGAAATGAGCGTTTGCGTTTCTGTTTTGTTTGGCTGACAGGAACTGATGTCCTGCCATGCCTTAGTTTATGTGAAACCCTGGGAGCCATCAGTCAAACCAGAGGTGACCTGCACAGAGAACCAACCATTACAGGTATTCAAAGCTCTCTCCACCCCTCCTCCTCCTTCACTCTCTCTTTCGAATACAGAATGCAATAATCAGTGTATAGGCCCAGAAATATTGGTATATTTCCCAAGGAATTGGTAATCGGTTTTTCAGATATTCAGTTATGGAGATAAATTAGAGGAAGTGGTAGAGAAGAAGTCCAGAGGTATGAATTGTATTCCTGAAATTGTTCCTCTTAAAAATGGATAAAAGCTCGTTGGTATTGAACGGTAGGATAAATCGTCAAGAGCAGGTGTTCTTAATTTTGATCACATTTCCCTTAATTGCTAGGGATAGAGCAGGGATCTCCAAACTTGGCAACTTAAAAATTTGTGGACTTCAATTCCCAGAATTCCCCAGCCAGCCATGGGAATTGAAGTCCGCAAGTCTTAAAGTTGTCAGGTTTGGAGACCCCCTGGGATAGAGACTGCTGATCAATACATATAGAGGCCACCAAGCTAAGGAATGATGTTTAAAAGTTTTGCTTTGTAAGTTTAGTACCAGTGCAGAGTGATTGCCAGTCACCACCATGATATGATTGCTTGCCTTCTTTCTACACAAGGCTCCCCATCCCTCAGATTGACGTGATCTGTCATATAACCATGTGACACACTGCTTTAGATACCCAACTGGTCCAGACCTCCAGAATGCTTCTGCATCACACTCCGCAATCCAAAACCTAGCCAGCCAGCCAGCCTGGCCATCTATCCATGCATTCATGCATCCATCCATCCATCCATCCATCCATCCATGCATGCATGCGTCCATCCTTATTTGTTATTTATTTATAGCCCACCTTTATTATTTTTACAAATAACTCAAGGCACCAAACAAACCTTCCTCCTTCCATTTTGCCCACAACAACCCTATGAGGTGGGTTGGGCTGAGAGAGAATGGCTGGCTCATGGTCACCCAGCTGGATTTCGTGGCCGATGCGGGACTTGAATGCGCAGTCTTTTGCTTTCTAGCCCAGTGCCTTCACCACTAGACCAAACTGGATATCATATAAGACTGAATCAGCCTCAGCTCCCCTGCTCCCATATGAGTGGCTGAAGGAGGAAAAAAAAACCACTGTCAATCTTCACCAGCTGGGATGAACCAGGTGCACGACTTCCTGTTCCTGTCTCTTTTCGTGCAGAAAGGATCAGTTGCAGGTTGCAAACTGTTATAACCCCAAAACTCTTAGGGAAGGTTACCTTCAGTTTTCTGCAGCTGTGACTTGGATTTTTTTTTTTTTACCTTCTACTGCTTGCATTGGGTCAAAAACCAACGTCTTGCTTAACCTTCCCCTCAAAGTTTCAGGTGCAGAAAATCCTGGGAACTTGTATGTAGTCTCATGTTCTAGTCTACATGTCTCAAAAACCACAGTGACTTATTTCTGCATTTCACATTTCTGTTCAAGACCTTGATTGCATTTTACTTTTCAAGCTGTCAAAGCTTTTATCCAACCTGTCTGAAAAACCATTTTTTTGTGTGCCCTTCTAGACTACTGAATTGGGAGAATCCAATTCTTCAGGGTTTGAACTTACCGTCTATGATGACGACGACGACGACGATACTATTAATAAGCACCATTTTTGAAAATGATGAAGTTCTTGGGATTTCTGGCTGCATAAAAACATAACATTTAAATACAGCTGCAGCCAAGGTCGGTCTGCTGCATCAGCTTGCCTAGCTTCTTAACATTTTGCCAAGTACAGTAGTATAGTCAAAGGAGAACTGTAATTCAGTCAGCTCAGTCAGCCAGCAATATGCACAACTGCCTTTTGCAGAACCAGCGTTGCCTGCATTCAGCCTTGGAGGAAAAAAAATTCTCTGGAAGAGAAAGGGGCCTTTGCATATCTAGAGAAGTTCAGTGGTTGAATTATGTTACATTTCTCTGCAGTCAATCAGGATGGAATTTCAAATATGATTATTTTATGACAAATTTACAACAATGGCACTAATTCCGTACAATTATATTAATTAGTCCACTCTTTTTATTACTGGATTGACATACATTTGTTTGTATACCTTTCCTTGGTTATCATAAATAAAAGACATATATCAAAATACTGGTGGACTAAATTTGCTTCATTTGAAATATCAGAAAAGTCACTGAAAGCTTAGCCAAACTTATGTCTTCAGAGCCCAAATTGATGAGCAATGAACAACTTCTCAAAATGAAGGCATCCCTCCCTCATGTTTTGAAAACCTGAAGCTAAAACATATCCATGCATGACCCAGCTAGGAAACACAACAGGTGGTTTTCCTAGAATGCCTGTCTTGTAATCGTGTGTTACATTATTATTATTATTATTATTATTATTATTATTATTATTATTATTATTATTATTATATTAATCATCGCACAATCAGCCAGATGTTCAGATTGGATTTGGCATTTTGTCTACCAATTGAGTCCTGGGATAGGCAGTTGTGGATGTTTGATGGTATTACAGATATCATCGCAGGATGGAAGCAGTTCCTAGTAAGGCCGCCTTTTGCAATTGACTAATAGCGAATTTGTCAATGCTAATGGTGTTCAAGTGGTGCTCCAGTTGTTTTGGGATTGCACCCAAGGCGCCTATGACTATTGGTACTACCCTTGCTTGCTTTTGCCACAGTCTTTCTATTTCTGTTTGTAGGTCTTTGTATTTTGTTATCTTCTCCAGTTCTTTCTCTTCTATTCTGCTGTCTCCAGGCACTGCCACGTCCACTATCCAGACTTTTTGTCTTTCTTATCGACAATTGTTAAGTCTGGGGTGTTATGTTGCAGGTGCTTGTCTGTTTGAATTCTGAAGTCCCAGAGCAGTTTAATTTTATCATTTTCTATGACTTTCTCTATTTTATGATCCCACCAGTTTTTGCTTACAGGCAAAATTATTATTATTATTATTATTATTATTATTAGTCAGTCAGTCAGTCAGTCAGTCAGTCAGTCAGCCAGATGTTCAGATTGGATTGGGCATTATTGTCCACCTCTCAAATCCTTCCAAAGGACCTGGGATAGCAGATTTTGATGTTTGAGGTTGTTAAAGGTATTTTCACAGGATGGAAGCTGTTCCACGTGAAGCTGCCTTTAACGATTGATGGTGATTTTGTCAATGCTGATGATGTCCAAGAACTGATGCTCCAGTTGTTTGGGATTGCACCTGTTATTATCACTATTACCTTTCCTTCTTAACATTTATATGTGGCATGACTCCCAGTAATTCCGGGCATTTATGATGCTTTCCATGATTTATCTAGGCAGGCTTTTCTCTTTTCTGATGGTGGATAGATTTTACACTTGAGGGACCCAATTTTGTTTCCAGAACAGCTCCCCAGCATTCATTTCAAAGGGCAACCAATGACCTAAGGCAGTGGTGGGATTCAGCCACTTCGCACCACTTCAGAACCGGTAGCTAATTGCTTTGTTGCCCAGGCCCAGAACGGACCTCCGGAAGCAGCATCCACAGAGAGAGCCGGATGTTCACATATTTGAATCCCACCAATGACCTAAGGCTCTCCAAGGGCTCCTTACGAGTTTATTTGGCCTGCGGAAGCAGTGTGCACATATGGATTACAGGTGCTACAGATAAAAGCCAGAATTGGCCCCAGATAGTTTGAGACTAGAAGCCCCCAAATTCTCGTCCTATGTGAAAATGCCCTATGTGCGTCCCAAAATCCATCAGATTGCACAGAAGTCATGGTGATTTTTTTTCGTCTGAGGTCTTAAAGGGAGGCATGGGAGAGCCACTAGTTTGGGGCAGGGAGATGGTAGAGCTGGAAAGGAGAACGAAGTCTCCTATCCCTCCTGGCCCATTTCCTCATTCCTCCCAACAGCAGCATATGCCCTGTGACTTTAATGTGGAAAGAAATAGAATAACATAGAATAAAGAAGAATAAAGTATAATAATAATAATAATAATAATAATAATAATAATAATAATAATAATAATAATAATAATAATAATAATAATGAAAAATCACTAAAAGCAAAAATCATGTGTCTGCATAATTTCTGAAAGAAAGCTGTGTTAGCCAAAAGCTGTATTAACAGTACGTGAATGACCTAATGCATATTTAGAAACATTGTTTAAAAGTAAACACTGCCTTCATTGTATTCCCATGAGAAATGGAGCTAACGTGTGAGAAACTATCTGAATGTTACACAAAGTAGATTCCATATACAAGGTAAGATTCCATCTATGCTTCCTTTGTTCCTGAGAAAAAGAAACCTATAAAGCTTTAGTTTAGACCCTCCCACTTGTTCAGAAATTTGCTGATTGTTAAATCACTTCTGAACCTTTTACACAAAAATAAAAATCTCTCTTTCACCCTTGGAATTTTGTAAAAGTCCTCTTTTTTAAGGCTTTTATTTTTCCACAAGAACGTCCTTTGTCAGTCGTTCTGGTGTCCCTGGCAATTAGCCTTTTCCCACAATCATATCTCCCCCCATCCCAGCAATCTATTTTCTCATCGCTGTTTATAAAAGTCTTCCATAAGCTTGTTTGCAAGATCCTATTTTACGCAGCAGGTTCCGCTTTCTTTTTTGAGCTGTTCTGCTGATTGAGAGCTAGGAGTGTTTTATATATAGCCTGAAGAAACCAGTCACGGCCACTTGGTGGCGGTCACTTTATGATCAGAACGCCAGGCCCTCTGAAGATACGTCTGGGCTTCTGGTTTCTTCCGTTTAGACCATTAGATGGCAGTTGAGCTCCCTGTGTTTCATAGTCCTCCTCCCTTGCTATCACTCAGCCTACCTGCTTTTGCCAGCTCTCAGAAAAGGCTTAAGGGGAGAATGACTGAAAGTGTCACTCCACAAACTAGAAAAATGCGGGTTAGACAGCATCACCACCAGATGTATCCGTAGCTGGCTGACCGGCCGTACTCAGCGAGTGGTCCTCAATGGAACTGCATCTACATGGAAGGAAGTGTGTAGTGGGGTGCCCCAGGGCTCTGTTCTGGGCCCAGTGCTCTTCAACATCTTCATCAACGATCTGGATGAGGGGATAGATGGGGAACTCATCAAATTTGCAGACGACACCAAGCTGGCAGGAATAGCCAACACTCCAGAAGACAGGCTTAGGATACAGGAGGATCTGGACAGACTTGAACACTGGGCGCTATCTAACAAAATGAAATTCAATGGTGAAAAAAGTAAGGTTCTACATTTAGGCAAGAAAAACCAAATGTACAGGTATAGTATTGGAGGTACCTTGCTCAATAGTAGTAACTGTGAGAGGGATCTCGGAGTCCTAGTGGACAATCATTTAAATATGAGCCAGCAGTGTGCTGCAGCTGCCAGAAAAGCCAACACAATGCTAGGCTGCATTAACAGAGGGATAGAATCAAGATCACGTGAAATATTAATATCACTTTACAATGCCTTGGTAAGGTCACACTTGGAATACTGCATCCAGTTTTGGTCACCACGATGTAAAAAAGATGTTGAGATTCTAGAAAGAGTACAGAGAAGAGCAACAAAGATGATTAGGGGACTGGAGGCTAAAACATATAAGAAACGGTTGCTGGAATTGGGTATGTCTAGTTTAACAAAGAGAAGCACGAGGGGGGACATGATAGCAGTGTTCCAATATCTCAGGGGCTGCCCCAAAGAAGAGGGAGTCAAGCTATTCTTCAAGGCGCCTGAAGGCAGGACAAGAAGCAACGGGTGGAAACTAATCAAGCAGAGAAGCAACCTAGAACTAAGGAGAAATTTCCTGACAGTTAGTACAATTAACCAGTGGAACAACCTGCCTCCAGAAGCGGTGAATGCGCCAACACTGGAAGTTTTTAAGAAGAAACTGGACAGCCATTTGTCCGAAATGGTATAGGGTTTCCTGCCTGAGCATAGGGTTGGACTAGATGACTTCCAAAGTCCCTTCCAACTTTATTATTATTATTATTATTGTTATAAACTGGCCAATGGATCTGTCACTTTAGCTAGTTGGCATGATTCAGGGACCACCGCCAAAGCTGTCCTACATTTGAGGACACCTATCTTTGTTTCAGGTGATACATTGTGCTCCAATTTGAGACAGAAGAGATCAGACCTCCCCCCGCTGATCATTTTTCACAGCTCTGGCACTGGTCAGCTCTGGTCAGTTGTCAAGCAAGGTCCATATTCCCAAGCCTCCAATGACAGGAAAATCTAACAGAAAGTGACTAAATTAGTAGACCAGAAAAACGCTGTGGACGTAGTATACTTAGATTTCAGTAAGGCATATGATAAAGTAGACCACAATCAACTGCTTGGTAAGCTAGAAAAAGGTGGAATAGACAACATCACCACCAGATGGATTTGTAGCTGGCTGACAAACCGTACTCAACAAGTAGTCCTCAATGGTACTACATCCATATGGAGAGAAGTAAGCAGTACCACAAGGCTCCGTCTTAGGTCCAGTACTTTTTAATATCTTCATTAATTACTTAGATGAGGGAATAGAAGGGGAACTCATCAGATCTGCACATGACACTAAACTGGCAGGAATAGCCAACATCCCAGAAGACAAACTCAGGATCCAAAGAGATTTTGACAAACTTGAACAATAGGCCCTATCCAACAAAATGAGTTTCAATGTGGAGAAAAGCAAAGTTTTACATTTAGGCAGGAAAAATCAAATGTATAAGTACAGATAAGGCGAGACCTGGCTCAAAAACAGCAACTGTGAGAGGGACCTTGGAGTCCTAGTGGACAATCACTTGACTATGATCCAGCAGTGTGCAGCAGCAGCCAAAAAAGCTAATACAAACCTGGACTGTATAAACAGAGGCATAGAATCAAGATCACGCGAAGTATTAGCACAATGGAAGACAAATTTGAAGTCAAGGTAGCAAAGGATTTCTGCCCATACATCTACAGGAGAAGGGGCTATACAAGTATATGATATACAATTCACCATCTGTCTCTAAAGCCACAGTGCTCTTTAGTTACAATGGCAGACTCAGCTTTAGTGAGAGACTTGCCTAAAAATTAAGAAGCCAACTTCACTTTAAAAAGTTTCTAATTCAGCTCTGTCACCTGTCATTGTTCAGTTAACTCAACAGATCCGATCCCTTCCACCCACTGTTAGTTACCTTTTTTAATAATGCTGTTCATTAGCTTTGAGAGAGAAAAAGAAAAAAAAAATAGTATATAGTGATTTGAAGACAAACTTATTTTTTTCAGATAAGTTTGGTTTCATCTTTTTTAATGAAAAGAAGGACTAGGGGGTGACATGATAGCAATGTTCCAATATCTCAGGGGCTGCCACAAAGAAGAGGGAGTCAAGCTATTTTCCAAAGTGCCTGAAGCTAGGACAAGAAGCAACGGGTGGAAACTAATCAAAGAGAGAAGCAACCTAGAACTAAGGAGAAACTTCCTGACAGAAGTTTCTTTTCTCTGAGTTGTATTAGTATTCATTATTGTAATTAAAATCTTCAATAACAATTATATATGTTAATAAAATTATGGTTTGCTGTAGATTCTACTGGTTGAAGAACAGGACTGGAGACACCCAGGTTCTTTCTCAGCCATAAAAGTTTATTAGTAAGAATGTGGCAAAAACGGTAGAAGACATGGGTGTCAGCGAGGGGAAGGGGGCAAATGATATATGTCACGTTGAGTGCATTCACGCTGGCCTTTGCAAGATAACATCAAATATGCGCCTACAGACTTGAACACTGGGCGCTATCTAACAAAATGAAATTCAGTGGTGAAAAAAGTAAGATTCTACATTTAGGCAGGAAAAACCAAATGTACAGGTATAGTATAGGGGGTACCTTGCTCAATAGTAGTGACTGTGAGAGGGATCTCGGAGTCCTAGTGGACAATGTGTGCTGCAGCTGCCAAAAAGGCCAACGTAGTGCTGGGCTGCATTAACAGAGGAACAGAATCAAGATCATGTGAAGTATTAATACCACTTTACAATGCCTTGCTAAGGCCACACTTGGAATACTGCATCCAGTTTTGGTCACCACGATGTAAAAAAGATGTTGAGACTCTAGAAAGAGTACAGAGAAGAGCAACAAAGATGATTAGGGGACTGGAGGCTAAAGCATATAAGGAACGGCTGCTGGAATTGGGTATGTCTAATTTAATGAAGGACGAGGGGGGACATGAGAGCAGTGTTCCAATGTCTCAGGGGCTGCCACAAAGAAGAGGGAGTCAAGCTATTTTCCAAAGCACCTGAAGGCAGGACAAGAAGCAACAGATGGAAACTAATCAAAGAGAGAAGCAACCTAGAACTAAGGAGAAACTTCCTGACAGAACAATTAATCAGTGGAATGACTTGTCTGCAAAACCTCTATCACTGGAGGTTTTTAAGACTGGACAACTATTTGTCTGAAATAGTATAGGGTTTCCTGTCTGAGCAGGGGGGTTGGACTAGAAGACCTCTAAGGTCCTTTCCAAATCTGTTATTATGTTATTCAGTTATATATGTTCCTAAAACCTATCTGCAGCCTCTACTTAATTTTCCAGTTCTTTTGCAAGCCATTTCAGGAACATCTGGCAAGGGGAGTCAAAAAAAAAGAAAATAGCTATGACCACACAATCATTTTTGACTATCTTTCCCCCTCACAGATATTCCTGCAAGTAAGTAATTCAAATAACGGTTTCCTTCTCTGACCACCCACAGAATTTGCAGAGAGAATATTTGTTTGTGACAATGTGCCATTTGCTGGACTTCTGCTCCAGAGCCTGACTCCTACAGGAATATTATCTTCAATAAAAGAAAGTTCTCCATCCCTGATTAAAGAAAACAACTCATTTTTTTTCCTTCCTTGGAGTACTTTAAAATAGCGAAAAAAAGAAGAAAAATCATTGTATTTCTGATGACCCAGCACCATAATTTCTACTGTGGTCATGGCCATAATTATCTCATCAAGCTTGGCAACAGAAAAGTAAAAGTTACAAATCTTGGAAAAGATTTATATTCCACTCTTTCTCCCTTTGAAATGTACTTGCAGGCAGTCCTCAATTTATAACAGTTTGGTTAGTAACCATTCAAAGTTACAATGGTACTGAAAAAGGTCACTTATAGCCATGTTTCACACTTACGGCCGTAGCAGCATCCTCATGGTCACGTAATCAAAATTCAGCTGCTTGGCAACTAACTCATATTTATGACGGTTGCAATGTCCCAGCATCATGGGATGACCTTTTGCGACCTTCTGACAAGCAAAGTCAATGGGGAAGTAAGATTCACTTAACAACTGTGTTACCTAACAACTGCAGTGATTTACTTAACAATTGCAGCAAGAAAGGTTGTAAAATGGGGTAAAACTCCACTTAGCAACTGTCTCGCTCAGAAACAAATATTTTGGGTTCAGTTGTAGTTGTCAAGGACCACTTGCAGTAGTGGGATTCAAATATGTAAACAACCGGTTCTCTGTGTGGATGCCGCTTCCAGAACTCCATTCTGGGTCTGAGCAACAAAAAATTAGCTACTAGTTCTGCCGAAGTAGTGCGAACCGGCTGAATCCCACCACTGACCACTTGTATTATCATTCCGGAAAATGTCCTTGAAGTTACCCAAAGTGACGTACCGTCAAAACCGTATGTTTTGACCTTGAGATTGTAAAATATCAACTTGCATTGTGAACTGCAGGTGAATAAACTTGTTTTTTTAAAAAAAAAAAACTTAAATAAACCTCAAAGGTTGTTTACATTGCATGTAGACTATGACTTGAGGCCATGAAATAGCTTTGTTTACTTTGAGTTCTCTGGTATCTGCTAGGAAGATATACCTCATCCGTTATCTTGAAGCTCTTTCTCCTCTTTCTACGCTCATCAGAAGCTCAAAGGAGCTTCTCTCACCTGGATATGAAAGTCTTCATTCTGCTAGTCCTCAGCATTGGACTTTGCCAAGCCCGTCCTCTCCAAGATGAAGTGGGCTGTGATGACCCAGAAGTTTTTGAAGCTGTGGCTAGAGCAATAAAAGCATTTAATGAAGACAGAAGTCAAGGAAATAAATTTGCTCTCAATGTCATCCTTCATGCCTACAGAACAGTAAGTAAATTTGGTAACCATCAGAACCATAAAAATCTAATTAATGTGAATTTCATAATTGGGGACTTGCACAAGAATGCACCATCAGCACCCTCCACCCACTATTGAATGTTGATCCTCTGAAAATTTCTCCCAGATTTAATGTTTAATTTAACAGACATTAAAAATTATTACATGCATGGCAAGTAATCATCCTTATTGTATTTCATTTGTTCGATTTCCGTTTTTTTCTCTTTTGCAATCTCATTCCCCCATCTTAAAAAAATTGCCCCTTTCCATTCCACCAGACTTACGGGATGCTAAGTGGACCCTTCCTAAAATAATCCAAAAATATTGAACTTCAGCTCAATGTAATTCCACAAGCTGCATGGGGATTTGCACTCCAAGCAAGTATTTTATTTACAAAAAAAAAGGTTTTGAGGGGAGGCAGGGATTCTTTCAAGTCTTCAAACAACCTTCATAAATTTGGTGGTACTTTTCAAGTACATTGGATTTCAGCCCCCAGAATTGGGGAATTATTGGAGCTACACTCACACATTTTTGGAGAGCAATCTTTCCAATTCTGCTGCTTTGCCATATAAAGTGTAATATGATGCAGCCATTTGGTGGTTTCATTTAACATTGTTTAATTTGGATTTCCATAAATTTGAAGTCTTTGGTAATGCTAAAATTGATCCATGTCTCTGCACTAAAGGAGATGTTAGCAGAGGAATCGGAAAAATCAGTCACTTTAAATGTAGATGCAGCTGGATTACTTATCTTTAGCAAGGTAAACTCTCCAACTCTACCTCAGGTCCTGATGACTTTTTCTGTCAATATGAATATGGTTTATTGATACCTTTTTAAAGATTTGGGGGGGAGGGGCGGAGAATGCTCCAATCTAAAAAAAAAAAAAAAAACACAGCCTTGGTGTCTCTTAATTCTCTTCCATCCAAATCTTAACTAAGTTCACTTTAGGAAATCTGTCACAGTCAAATACCTTAGTTTATTCTTTCATATAGATTTTACCTTTTCTTTTTTGCATTAGTTGTTTGTTTGCATCCACATATTATTAATAGGTTATAATAGACTATCAAGGCTCCCTTTGAAGAGGCTGGCAGACATAAACTGGGAGTTGGAAATGAGGGAATTTTATTTTTAAAAATATTTATTTTTATCCTGCCTTTATTATTATTTTTTTTATAAATAACTCAAGGCAGCAAACAGTCCTCTCTATTTCTGTGAGGGAGATGGGGTGTTCTGAAATTGGATAAATAAATAAAAATAAATAAATAAAATACTTTTTATTTTCTAAGGAGTATTTCTATAATGAAGTATTTATGTAATACTCCTTATAAAATACCTCTTATTTTTCCCACAACAACAACCCTGTGAGGTGGATTGGGTTGGGAGCCAAAGTCATCCAGCCGGTTTTTATGCCTAAGGTGGAACTAGAATTCACAGTGTCCTGGCTTCTAGCCTGGTACCTTAACCACTAGAACATGGGTGTCACGTGACGTGTCACAACACATCGTGACTTTTTCGCATTGCTGGAGCTGGGGTGGGCACGGCCTTCGCATGATGCAACCGGCCTGCAGGCCAGCAGTTTGACACCCCTGCACTAGAACAATGATGGCAAAGCTTTTGGGCTTGACATGGAAATTTGGAAATTTTCCAAATTTGAAAAATTCTTAGCTTGGCTCTGCTGAGGTGTCAAGAAAGAATTCTTTATTGCCCCCCCTCCCCCCATCTAGGCCACCCTGAACAGTGGCATTTGGCAGCAACCCCAAGGCTGAGCCTGAAGTAGAGCCCTAGAGTTCAACTTCAGTCCTAGCCCCACTGCTGTCACTCACAAAGACTGCCTCACATCATTCCCCAAGGCACACAAGATCGCTCCAGGTTTCATGGGGCCTTCTTTCTTGAATGTCTGTGGAGATTCTCGGTCATCCAGGTCGGGGCTGTCCCAAAGGTGCTTTTTCAAAAGGCAACTGGACTTTGTTTTCCTTTGAAGATGTTTTCCTTGAAGTACCTTTGGAACATCATTCTTGAGGCAACTTCAGAGAATGCTCTTTCATGGCCTATGCAGCCTCCGAAAACCACAGGAAAGCACAGCTCTCTCATGCAACTTCCAGTGGGTCCAAAAGCTATGCAAGAGCACACTTCGTTCTCACATGGCCTCACAACCTCCCAAAATTGCAAGAGTATGGAGCATGCTTTTGAGACTAGCTGTCAGGCATTGGTTTAACACTTCGTGGCATGTCACTTTTGACACGGTTGTCATAGGTTCACCATCACTACAATAGACCATCCAATATTAATACTTCTAATATATCTTTCCATGGAATTAAGCAAAACAATGCAAAACCATGACAAACAACACAAAACTGAGGTTGAATTATTTGTGGTTTAGGATATTGTAGCTATCCTAATATAAGTAGCTCATCGTGATAAGCCCTAATCAGTGGTGGAATTCAAATACCTGAACAACCGGTTCTCTTATTCGATGCAGGCATGGGCCTCTGAGGCCTAGAATGGGATTCCGGAAGTGGTATCCATGCACTTCCGGTGGGTCATTCTAGGCCTGGGAGGCCTCCTCCAGGCCTCCCAGGCCTAGACTGGACTTCCGAATGCAGCAAAATTTAGCTACCAGTTTTCCTGAACTGGTGTGAACTGGCTGAATCCCACCACTGGCACTAATGTAGTTTATGTATCTAGGCATAAACAGTGGGATTGATCAGAGGAGCTGCATACACCTAATTTAACTTAAATTCAATTGGATTATATTTTTGTTGTGTTCCCATTCCAGCACTTCCCCTTTCTTGGCTCAGTCCCTGGGATTGTACTCAGTGGGCAAAATGGAGTCATGCCATTGATCCCCAGATTAAAGCAGTAGATGTTACATGACAAACAGGCATGTACTCCAACAGTCATGCTCTTGTGGAAAAATAAAGCCTTAAAAAAATAAAGGGCTTTTACGAAATTCCATGGGTGAAAGAGAGATCTTTATTTTTGCGCAAAAAGGTTCAGAAGTGATTTAACAATCAGCAAATTTCTGAACAAGGGGGGGGAGGGTCTAAACTAAAGCTTTATAGGTTTCTTTCTCTCAGGAACAAAGGAAGCATAGATGGAATCTTACATTGTATATGGAATCTACTTTTGTGTAACATTCAAATAGTTTCTCACACGTTAGGTCCATTTCTCATGGGAATACAATGAAGGCAGTTTTTACTTTTATACAATGTTTCTAAATATGCATTAAGTCATTCACGTACTGTTAATACAGCTTTTGGCTAACACAGCTTTCTTTCAGAGATTATGCAGACACATGATTTTTGCTTTTTGTGATTTTTCATCATTATTATTATTATTATACTTTATTCTTCTTTATTCTATTTCTTTCCCACTTTACTCCCCCCTTTTGGAAGTTTTTTTTAGCTTAAACTTCCATTATTCTACCTCTGATTCCGGATCTCCTGAAGGTACCATTTTATATTCCCATAAGGCTAACATTGTTTCATGTTTCGCTGTTAATTGGGCTGTACTTTCTGAGATTCTCCGAATCATGGCTATAAGACAGGGGATCAAGCAAGGAATTAAAATACACCCTAGAATTAACAAGACTGCTATAACTATGATGGTTTGTAGGCCGGGTAACTTTGGCCACCATCCTGAAAATACATCTTCCAAGTTAAATCCGTTCCAGGTTTGCACCGGAACGTGTGCTAACTTGATCATTTGATCTGTTATGCCTTTCAATACTTTTCCACTTTCATCTACTTCAATGCAACAGTTTGTAAGGTTGAATTTTCCACATACCCCTCCTTCTTTGGCTAAAAGATAGTCCAGGGCTAACCTATTTTGCATGATATATGTTCTGGATTTCACATTTTCTTTAGCCAATTCAGTTAGTCCCTTCACAGTCTCATTGGTGATTAACTCTACCACCGCTTGTAACCTCATGATCCTGTTGATCATATAAATAGGGGTACGGTATCCATACGTTCCATCCTCAGCCCAAGTAGCCGGGCCATAGACTAGAATGATGCGACAAGGTGGCCATTCATTCTTTTGCCAAGTGATTCCTGCACATTGGGTGTATGCACTTGGTTCCCTTTTTTGTCTTATATTGCCAATTTCATCATATACAGGGACTCCAAGAATTTGCTTAGTTTTTAGTGGTAACAGGAAAAATCCTGGTCGAATTATTCCCAATACACAAGATCCACACCAGTTCTTAGGTAGTTGCCCATATGCCATTTTTCCGCAAATCCAGTACATTCCATCTGGGGCTAACCAATGGAGACTGGTATTTGTGGGGTCTTTTAGATAGGGCATCCCAGGAATGTTAGTAAGGGCATAACGATCCATAGCAGTGGTCTCATTGGTTCCAGACCACCATTTACCATCTTCCCATGTTCCTGTGCATAGGAGGTCACCTACTGCTACACAAGATTCTGTTTTGTTTCTTGAGTAACATACATGTCCTACCAAGTTGGAAGTGAGACCCCAATCACCATCTTTCCCACTTGTATAGGTTAAGTTATTATTTTTAGACATTTCTAGTACCTTGGTATAATTTAACTCTTGTGCCTCCCACGGCCACCTTTCTCCCATGTTTGTTCCACCACACACAAAACAGTTAGACACGCCTAAAGTATGGGCAATGTCTTCTGCTAACTTAACAAAGGTATTGGTTACATGTCTAGATACTTCAGGAATATGTAGGTTCTCAATTTCCTCATAATATGACCAAAATAATGATTTTTGTTCTGGTCTTTTGGTTGCAGTTATAATTTTGACTTCTATTTCTGACATTGGGTCATAGCCATTTGTATCTATTCCTATCCCAAACATCCATTTCTTACCTTCCCACCTATTTTGTTCTAGGAACCAACTGCCATTCTTGACTGTGAGAGTCACCAAATTACAGTTATCTGTTCCACAGGAATCTGCTTTTGTTTCATTCTTTTCAAACAAGATGTGGTCTATCTCGTTTGGGTCTTGGGTATGCCACTTAATACATGACCACCACTTACATTTGACCGCACATCCATCTGGTGGGCACAAGTACTTATGTTTTGGGATAAAGTTGTGAATATTACCGATCCCTCCGCAACCATATGTTTGAGTCCAATAATTAGCTGCTTTGCAAACATCAAAGGTGACGCTAAAACTGGAGTGTGGATTGGATTTCCATTGGGAGATCCCTAAGAGTGACTGGTCCTTATAGCTAGTTCTTGTTCTATGTGTTTTGATTTGTAAGGCCCAACGATCAGGATCAGACTTCGGGTTATAACACTGATATTGGACACCTTTCCTACAAAATTTATATGTAGTTCTATTGTATGTACAAGAGTCAGGAGAACTATCTTGACACCCTTCTGGTTTAACTGTATGATAAATCAAAGTCTTGGTTATCTGGTTTCCTTGTTTTGTAGTTTTGATACAGTTTTGACAGCCTTGGTTTCCCTGTGTTTCTGCTCTTTCTTGGTGTGTGCTACTCAATAATTCCCCACTAGAGGGTCCCTGCACCATGACCTCCCTTCTTCTCTTCTAGGAACGTAGGGGGGTGGTCTGGCAATTTCCTCCCTATCTTCCTGGCTGAAAATCTTAGCTTTTGTTTGAGGCTTGGCTTTTTGGCTTGCCAAATATATCTTTGCATACTCTATCTGACATTTTGCTAACCATCTGGGTCTCTGTGCAATGTTGATTTTCCATAGGGGTACTGGTCCCAATAAACATTTCCAGTCACAATTTGATGAACCCGTGCAACGAGTTCGGGATTCGCCCATCCCATTTTTGGCCACCCTACGCCCAGGGCAGTCCACTCAGATTCACAGAATCTTTTTAACATGGCTGGATTTGGTTTTGGATCTCCATAATCCCTAGAAAAACCCTTTTTGAAATTCTTTTAACATGCACTGGAGTGGCGTCTGGTCAACGCTCTCCTTTGACTTTTTCCCACCCATTTCTCTAATACACTACCATTGATCACTCAGCATGAGCTACAATGGTTTAACCTCCCACACCATCCTGCCTATTGAAGGCTTAAGGACGCCACCTTTGCCTTCTAGGGGGTGATCAGTCCCCTCTTCCGATCCAAAAGGGATCAGGTTTCCCCTGTTTTACAATACTTGCCTGCAGGCGTTTTTCCAGACTCCTTTGTTGATTTAAGATCTGTCTGTCACCCTCACGGATCCTCAGACTGGAATGCTTCCTGATGGGTTAATTCCCTTTCCTCCCGTCGAAGTCTCCTCGTAGTCAAAAGCTACGAAGCCGGCTTTCGGAGCTGTCGTCGTTTAGGAGAGGGGGTGGGTCCACCAGGGCAATCCGTCTTGGAAGGTTAAATCCTTTTTCTTAAAAGCCCTTAAAAATGTCCCGGCGGAGAAATCGCCATAAATCTTGTGGAAAAATAAAGCCTTAAAAAATAAAGGGCTTTTACGAAATTCCATGGGTGAAAGAGAGATCTTTATTTTTGCGCAAAAGGTTCAGAAGTGATTTAACAATCAGCAAATTTCTGAACAAGGGGGGGAGGGTCTAAACTAAAGCTTTATAGGTTTCTTTCTCTCAGGAACAAAGGAAGCATAGATGGAATCTTAAATTGTATATGGAATCTACTTTTGTGTAACATTCAGATAGTTTCTCACACGTTAGGTCCATTTCTCATGGGAATACAATGAAGGCAGTTTTTACTTTTATACAATGTTTCTAAATATGCATTAAGTCATTCACGTACTGTTAATACAGCTTTTGGCTAACACAGCTTTCTTTCAGAGATTATGCAGACACATGATTTTTGCTTTTTGTGATTTTTCATCATTATTATTATTATTATACTTTATTCTTCTTTATTCTATTTCTTTCCCACTTTAATGCTGTCCGAGCAAAAATCAGACAGTGTTTACAGAGGTTAAATATTTGATCCGTTACACATTTACTGAAAGTTTGCTTTAGATTTCAACTTGATTTGCCTTCATAAGACTCTTGAATTGAAAGGACTGTTTTGCAGCACAGCAGACACCTGCAAGAATTTTGATTCCAATAAAGTTCTAAATTCTTGAAACTAGTGTGATAACTCCAAAGTTATTTAGCTTTAAGATGAGTCTATCCAGATTTCTCAACCTTGACAACTTTAAGAGGTTGGATCTGGAGTCCCAGAATTCCCGAGCCAGCATGCATTTTTGTCTCTAAAGCAGCAGTTAAGGTGTAAACTTCTGTTTGGACTGTAGCACTTCTACCTGCATGAGAGTTGTAAAAATAAAACATTTCTACACTGACAAAAAAACAGCAGATCAGTAAAAGAGCTAGCACTAAATTAATTTTGCTGGCGTTGTTTAGGAAACTTTTGTATGGAAGAATGGTCACTCCCAATGAAGGTTTCCTTAATTAAAGCTGAAGAACAATTTCTTAATTTAGGATTCTACAGATATAAAGCTAAAGATTTCCCTGTCCAGTTGTATCCAACTCTAGGGCGTGGTACTCATCTTTATTTCTTAGCCAAGAGAGCCAGCGTTGTCTGAAAACCTTTCCACGGTCATGTGGCCAGCATGACAATATCCTGCAACTCAGAGCATGGGACGAAACACAAAATGCTGTTACCTTTCCCACCGAAGTGGTAACTATTGATCTACTCACATTTTGCATGCTTTCCAACTGCTAGATGGGCAGGAGCTGGGGCAAATAATGGGAGCTTGCCCCATTTCAAGGCACTCAGGTGAGCCATCAAGTCCCCGCCCTACAGATATACTCTATTATAATATTTAGGGAATGAGGGGTTGCTTGGATTCCAAGGGGCAGAAGTCCTGAGACTTTGTGGCTGCACAAATAGAGCCATTGTTGGAAACTTCCTAAATCAAATGGGTCTTTTTTTGTGATCATGTGGCAGCAAGGGGAGGTTGCTTGCACAGTCCTAGGAAAGCAACTTTCCTTCTCTGAATCCAAAGTGTTGTCCAGCTCTATACAAAACCTATTGCAGGTATTCCTCAACTTATAACCACATTTGAGACCAGGAATATCCATCGCTAAGCAAGGTGGTTGTTAAGAACAGTCATATCCAATTTCACAACTTTTTTTGCCATGGCTAAGCAAATCACTGCAGTCATTAAGCAAAACTAGCTTCTCCCATTGACTTGGCTGGGAAGATTAAAAATGGTGATCAAATCACCCCAAGATGCTGGACTGTTCTAAATACAGTACATGCTGGTTGCCAAACACCCAGATTTTGATCACAGAACTGTGGTGAGGCTGTGACAGTCATAAGTATGAGGATCAGTTGGAAGTCACTTTCTTCAGCGCCATTGTAACGTCGAACAGTTGCTAAACAAACAGTTGCAAGCTGAGGACTACCTGTATTGATACTTTAACTATTTCTTTGAGGTTCTTTGGACCATTACATGCTGTAGAAACACAGAAGAACATTGGAGGATTGGCTATCAAAATAAGATTACAACTTTGGGATAAATTATGTTATTTATATTTTTAATCATTGGTTGTGTTTCACTTTATTCCTATGTTGTTTTCATTGTTAGCCACCCAGAATCATGTGTTCAAGATGGGCAGCCATATCAGCTTATTAAATACATAAATGAAATTGCAACAGCACTCATGTACGTTCTCTTTTCAGGCAGGTCCTGGAAAAAAGTTCCATGTCATCTATCAAGTAAGAGAAACTGCGTGTCCAATTGATGCAGATGAGCCTTGGCAAAACTGTGATCTTTTAGGGCTCTCAGAAGGAGTAAGTATTCATTCTTCCTCCTTAAACGTGGCAGAAAGAGTTTTATAGGGGAGAGCAAGAAGACAGAGAGAGGTATACATTACAGGGCTGCCAGGATCACCATATGCAACCAGGCAAAAGATGCCATTAAAACAGATTTGTGGAAAAACTGCATTTTGGCACCAGCCTCAAGGAAGGGTACTACAGTTTTCGGTGGATTTCTTGGCAGTTTTAAGACATATGGACTTCAACTCTCAGAATTCTCTAGCCAATAGGCTAGCTGAGGAATTCTGGGGGTTGAAGCCCACATGCCTTAAAGCTGCCCCTTTGGCCTATATTGTCATGTGACTATTGAGTCTACATGCATGACTGTAGTGGGGACCAGTTGGCCCATTAAAAAATATCCCTGCCTTCTGTGCCCAGTTGGTGTCATCACCTGACCCTTAAAAGCCAATAGAAGGAAAAGAGATTTTTAACAGATTTGGGCAGAAATTGAGTTATTGAGTTAGAATTACATTAGGAGCTTTTTTTATTTAAATTCTATCTATGTATCTATGTATCTGTCTGTCTGTCTGTCTGTCTGTCTGTCTGTCTATCTATCTATCTATCTATCTATCTATCTATCTATCTATCTATCTATCTATCTCTATCAGTTTATTCCACTAGGCACAGCCAAATGATACGATAACAAATGAAGATTACCATCTACCCAACTGAGAAAATATAATGCTTTATTTGTCTCCCCAAAGATCTGTCTGCCTGTGCTCCATCACACATTATAAAAAATGTAGGATCTTATCTCCAATATAAGTAGTCCTCGGCCGGTTAAAGTTACAACTGCATTAAAAAAATGACATGACCATTTTTTATATTTATGACCTTTCTAGGTTCCTCATGATCATGTGATCAAAATTCAGATGCCTGGCAACTGACTCATAGTTATGACAGTTGCAGTGTCCCAAGATCATGTGATCATCTTTTGCGACCTTCTTACAGGCAAAATCAACGGGGAAAGCCAAATTCACTTAACAACCGGATTACTAACTTATCAACTGTAGTGATTCACTTAACAACTGAGGCAAGAAAGGTCATAAATGGAGCAAAATTCACAACAAATATCTCACTTAACAACATAAATTTGGGGCTCAATTGTGGTCATAAGTTGAGGACTACCTGTATTTAAGTACAGGCAGCAAAGATCTCACTAACAACCCATTGATTGTTTATTCAACAATATCAAAAATCTATGAAATGTGATCAGTTCTGTTTCTTAACAGTGGAAAGTGGATTTACAAACTCCTGATAGGTAATTGTGATATCCCACTTAACACATAAGAACTCAATTGATGTCTCTTTTTGCTTCTCTCACAGCATTATGGAAACTGTACAGCTGATATTGATACTGAGTCGCAAGATTTTTCTTCCGTTTCACAGAATTGCAAAATTAGCCCAGGTGAGTAACTTTTAAGTTAGCATTCAAAAAAATCTCCATTTTTCTACCCTGCTCTTGATGATAATGGAGAAAAAAGAATCAGTGGCCAGATTTAAGCCAATACTAGTGAGGGAGGAAAAAAAATCAGGAAAGGTTGATACCAGAGTAAGTTGACCTTCATTTTCCATTGTGTAATTCAGTACCTCACAGGCCAAACTACATTTAGTGGATTGCTCAGTTGCCAAATAAGGAAATGTGTATTGTTGAAATAGAATGTGCAGGGGGAAAAAATGTCTGGGAATTTTGGATTGATAAAGGACTGAATGATTTAAAATTAAGGCTTTTAAACCATTCAGCCCTTTATTTTTCTCCAAAAATTACTACATAAGATATTTATTTAACTCCATAAAATCCCCAGGGGAAAAATCAGTTCTATTTTAATGATGAGGGATTTTGGAGAGTACAGTGAATGCCTTGCCCTTCAATGTCATACTCCATTTCTCATCTTAAATCAATCCAAATACCCTTAAAGAACAATAAAAAGAAACTAGGTTGTGCTAGATGTTCTGCTCCAAATACACACTCTTGCTTATCACAGTTAAATTTTTAAACTTTTTCTCCAAAACTTTGACTAATGGAGATGGGTGAAAAAGAAATGAGATTTCCAGTCACAACTCCCTCACTTTCCACACACACACACACATGTTCTGCTTTCTAATGGACATATCAACTTTGTGGAAAATTGTATTTTGGCTGCACTAAGGTCACTGACCAAATAAAAAAAGAAAAAAGAAAGAGAGCTGTGTAGTCATTCTGCCAACCATAAAGTTTCATAGTTCTTCTACCAGACAAGATGTGGTCTTTTCTTATGGAAAAGCTTTTTCCTGCTAGATCACCTTGGACTGGTTTCAGCTTCTTCTAGCAAGATGGGATCTCTGTTATGTGGACACATCTTCAGTGACAGGTAGATTGAGGGGGTAGATTATGTGGAGAAACCTATTATTGAAAGAAAAATCATCAGTTAAGTCCAAGCCGGGAACAAATAAAATGGAGGCTGTTTGGAAAGAAGGTTCTGTTTATTGAAGAACAGAACCAACAGCATGTGGGGTAGCTGACAAAATGGAGTTGGGATAGGTGGGCTTTTTATACCTTTGTATTTGAAGTTGTTCCTGTTCCTGTGCCATGTACTTTGACCTGAGCTTGAATGTGCTCTTTTGGTATTCCTAATGGTGGTGGGTTAATCCTATTATGTCCTAAAGGTCATGTTCCTGTCCTGTAGTCTTTGTTTTTCTAACCCCATCATCTCAAACGTTCTCTGGGGCTGTGGCTGAAGGCATTTTGCTTATGAGTAGGTGGCCCCAAATCTGCATTTCTAAAAGCTGGCCTGCTTGAGGGAAGGAGACTGGAAGCTGGTTTCTGTCTAAGACTTTTCTCTTTTATTCCTTTGGGGAAGTATAATATTCTGCCTTTTTTAATATTCCTCAAAATATTTCCTTCTCTGGGGGGGGGGGGTGGGTGCTGACTTACAACACTATAATCCCCAATCAGATATAAATCCTGACTGATTATGGCCATACCTGGTGATGAACTAGTTGGTGTAGTGGTTAAAGTGCTGCCCTATAAACCAGGAGACTGTGAGTTCTAGTCAACTTTAGGCATAAAAGCCAGCTGGGTAATTTTCTGCTAGTCACTCTCTATCAGCTCAACTTTATCAGCTCAACTTACAGGACCGCATACTGCCGCACAGTTCCCAGAGACCGGTGAGGTCCCATAGATTGGGCCTCCTTCAGGTCCCGTCGGCCAGACAATGTCGGCTGGCGGGCCCTCGGGGAAGGGCCTTTTCTGTGGTGGCTCCGACCTGGTGGAATCAACTTCCCAACGAGGTTCGAACTACTCCCACCCTGCCAGCCTTTAAGAAAGCCATTAAAACTCTCCTGTTCCGGCAGGCCTGGGGCTGATATCCCGGGGGGGGGATATGATGGGACACGCTGTATGAATGTATTTATTTTATTGTTTTATTGTTAGATTATTGTTTTAATTTTGTACGCCGCCCTGAGTCCCTTGGGATTGGGCGGCATATAAATTTTAAAAATGAAATGAAATGAAATGAAACCCACCTCACAGGGCTGTTGTAGGGAAAATAGGAGGAGAAAGGAGTATTAGGTATGTTTGCCAACTTGAGTTACTTATAAAAATCTCCGACAATGAGATGTGTTGCGTATAAATGTAATAAAACAAACAAATAAATAAATAAATTTAAAAATCTAATAATAACTCGTTAAGTGCTGAATCTGAGCATTAGGCTGACTGTGACAAACTATAATGAACCAAGATCTATTACGTACCTTAATGAAACTGCCCCCTGATATGCTTTCCAAGCTTCCATTTGACCTTTCTCCTAGTGTTGTAAGAATCAAATAAAATGGCATTTATTTAAGATATTTAATGATAGTCAATCTTTCAGTACAAGGTACAGGGAAGCTGCATGTTAAAAGAGAAAAACAGCTAAAAACAGGAACAGCTGCTAGTGACACCGCACACCCCAAAGGAAAACATACTGATAGGATGGGCCTTATCTCATACCCACTTTGTAATTGTATATGAAAAATAGAATTCTACAGAGATGGCAGTACAGTTCTCACAAGTTTAGTGTAAAAAGTTCAACATCTATCAGTTATAAGGATTTGTAATATATGTTAGTCACAAAAGTTAGTCCTTCTCCAGCAAGCCCTGTGTAAAATGGCTGTGCAGATGCATCTCACATTATTAAGAGACATCACTGAACTAAACTTTTTAAAATAAAAAGGCAGTTTTTTAAAAAAAATAAATAAACACTATTTCTTGGTTTAAAACATGTCCACAATGTAATGGTGACACCTAGTTGTCAGCAGCATGCAGTGACCAAGATATTGTGTTTCCAAAGTTAAAATTCAAAACGACAAGAAATGCACCTCTAGTTCCTCTGCCTATGGAAAAATTTCTCTTTGCACTTGGACAAAAACGAGGACAACCAGGACAATTTCTCCACGCACCCCTTTCCAACTTCATTAGAGATTTAATCACTATTAATTCTACAGCATAGTTGATACATGGCTGTCCTGAATTTGAACAAGTTGAACCAGATACTAAAATATGGAAAAAGGTAAATTTTGCAGCAACATTTAAAGCATAGCAGGTCAAAAATCTCCCATCTCACTCTCACTTAGATCCTCACAACGTATACAGTTATCTGGTTTCTGGAGTTTCCTTCTGTAGCCCAGCGGTCCCCAACCTTTGCAGTGTGGCAGCCCAGGTGGGGGAGGGAGAGGTGAAGTGGGCCATGTGAGTTCCCATCTCACACACACACACACACACCCCCGAGCCGGGCCACCTTTCCCAGTCCTTTGGTGCTTTTTTGCACCAAAAGCTTTTGCAAAAGGATGGAAGGCCTGAAGCAGCGCAAGATCGCTGCCGTGAAGCCTTTCATCCATCTGCAAAAGCTTTTGGCATGGAGAAGAGGGGTGCAATCTTGTGCTTCTTCATACTCAGGTGGCTTGGCGGCTTGGCTGAGGGGGAGGGGAGAGGGGAACCAGGCCACGCAAGTGGCAGACCAGTCTGCATAGGACTGCAACTCCACTCATGCAAGAAAGAAGCCTTTGGTGCACTGCTCACATGAGAGGAACTGCATGCATGCATGCACATGCTTCCACTAGCCCGCCTCTCATGTGGCCCAGTTCCAAATAGGCCATATATATATTGAACAACAAACAGACGTGATCACCAGGAAAGATTAAAAACTGTAAAAGTTTTAATTAAATAAAAACCAAGCTTTCGTTGGCCACTGCCAACATCGTCAGGGTTTATACAGGTCGATGGGAGAAACTATTTATGGATGAAACGCTGCTTGCGCCCGACTCATGGATCTCGTCAACCAACCAATCAACGCTTCGGCCGTAATCTCCATGGTATTAACTGATTTAGCCTTGCTTCCCTTAACCATGCATATATGGAAGAGACAGGGGGAGGAGATTTACCTTGAGTGTTTCTTGATGCACCCTGTCGGCCCAAATATGGGAGAAAGAAATCTTCTTTCTTTTTCTTTTTTCTTTTGCCTGTATCAGCTCAATCCAGAGCCATCCACACAGGCAGCAGTTGCCAACTGTGACATTATTTACATATACATTTTTAGATTGCTAACAAAGAATAAAGGGAGAACTGCTTGAAGGCTGAGTCTAGATCTCACTTTTATTTAAATGTATGTGTAAACAACCATGTGTGCAAAGTTTAGATGTAATAAACTCCAGTGTTTAAAAGGCAAGGAACAGTATACTTTTTTCTCTACCATTAATTTCTCTAAGATGAATTGCCCCATGTCATTTTTCCTTTCCTAAACCACTCTTTTATTCCTTTCATTCCTTTTAATCGCTAACCTTTACCTGTTTGCATACTGAGCGCTGCAGTAATTTCCACTTTTAATTTCTTTACTTTTGTTTTGCTTTTTCTAATTTATCATTGGCTTGCTTTCAGGACAGGAGAATGTAGAGCGATCCCTTGCTAAATGTCTGGGTTGCTGGCATCCCATAGACCCTAAGAGCTTGGAAGTGCTTCCTATTGTGAGATTCACCATACAGCAATTTAACAATCAGAGTCAACACTTTGCCTTATACGAAATTGGAGAAATAAACAAAGTTACACGTCAGGTTTGCATATGTTCCTATAATTACCTATCTCAACTTTACAGAATTAGGTGATTTGGATAGATTTATAGTTAAAATATGAAAATATAGAATGTGGAATAACCTTCCCTTGTGTATGTTTTTGAAACCTTCATTTGTTAAACTAAACCACACAGCCCTGTCGAATGTTAATAAAACGCAGTGTCTGTGCAGTTTTATTTAAACTACAGTGATACCACAGTACTTGACATTAATTGATTCTGGGAGGTGCAATTAATGCCAAAAACAAGGAATATCAAGCACATTTTTCCCATAAGAAATAATGTAAATAGCTTTAATGTGTTTCCAAAGATAATGCGCATTTTTAAGACAATATCTAAAAAGATAAGGTTGTATATCATTACATGAGAAATAAATGAATAAATACTTAGATTAAATAAAATAAACAATTTACTCGTACTGATGAGGGGAAAAAAGCAGAAAAATATCCAAAATGACAACAAAAGCTTAGATAATATCACAAGTGGACGTGCACAGGACAAGAGCTACTGTGTGACTAACATGTCACCTTTTCTTTCGGGTGGAAAGGGTAGTGAGTCATGAGGCAACCGACACCGACTACCTGTAGCTTCCCTGTTGAGTACCAAATAAATGACAAGTACCAGGACCAAATTTTCTCATCAAAATGTGTTGAGTTCCAAATTTGATGAGTTTCAAAGCAATTGAGCACCAAGGTACCACTTATTCCATGCAACTTCTCTTAAATTTCTTGCAGGTGGTTAATGGATGGAATTACCGTTTGGAATATTCAGTGAAAGAAACAAATTGTTCCAAGAATGAATTTCCAGATCTGAGTCCAGCATGTAGACACCTTCCTGAAGGTGTAAGTGAACTTCGTTTTTATCATGCTCCTAGGAGCAATAGCAACAGTGTAATATTTTTGCACACACATATTCCTGCCAGACTCATTTGGAACTTACCAGTAACTGCTCCATCTCATTTGTAAAGGTACTTCACCTGGCATCCTCCTACTGGCAATTGAAAGAAACAAATGTATCCATATGTCCATGCATATATGTATATGGGTGTGTATGTGTATGCACACAAATAAACAAACAAAGAAAGAAAGAAAACTCTTTCAATAATTCCTTCTCCTAACTAGATAGTGTAAAGGATGTGGCTGGAGTGGCCAGCACTTTCTTTGAGTTAGATCAGTGTCAGCAGTATGGGCCTTGTTAGGATTAGTAAGATAAAAAAAAATCAGTTTGTTAAAAAAAAAGAAAGAAATACAGTACAACCATCCTTGCTTAATTTTAAATGTTACCTATACACAAAGGTAGTTCTTGATTAACAACAGTAACCAACAGTCCTCATTGCTGTTTGTTCTGACCCAGAGTTAAGATGCTTTATAAAACTGGGTCAGACAGATAAACTCAATAAGAATGATTGCAAAACAGATATATATTTATTCAGAGATACTTGCATTTATGGTGGTTGCTTCTGGATATTACACATCTGTTCATTCCTATAGCGGTGAGAAATTAATGCTTCCTCCATACCACTTCTATAACGTGGATTAGAGCTATCGGAGACATGCGATGACCCCATGCTTTCTCTTAGATAAAGACATTCCAAACTGGCTCATGTCCAGGAAATCCTGCAATGCCCTTTAGAAACTCCTCCCACTGACCTACTAACATGATATAGCTGACTAGCTAAAACTACCTTATCCATAAGCCATCTCTTAAGGAGACAGCACTTAACCCAATAAATGCCACATATTCTAACATGCAGACCTACGTGGTCCAGAACACTGTTGGTTAACAACAGTCCTCATTGCTGTCATTAAGCAAGAATCGCAAATGATTAAGCTATGAGTTTCTTACAACTTCCTTTCATCTTGCAACAACAAAGGCAATGGGGAAGCCAACAGGAACTCAAAAGAGAACTTGGATTGCAGTAGCTGCTGCTGGACACACGAGGGCGCACAAGCCTCAGCAGTACAGCACAAAGCCTCATCCACCCCAGCCCAGCAGTGCAGCACAGCTCAAAGCCCTAAACACTCCAACTCAGCAGCAAGCACAAAGTCCCAGTTGCCCCAGTGAAGCATGAAAACCCAGCTGCTCCAAGCCCAGCAGTGAAGCATGAAGACCAAATCATGCCAGCCCAATAACCCAGTGTTAGACCGCAGCTGCGGCCATTCTGCATTCTGCAGCCATTGCCCCTCTGTGCACTCTCTTCTCACTGCTGACAAGACCTCCCAGCCTGGCCCTTCACGTGGCAGCTGCTGGCTATGCATGGCTTTCTTCTAGAGGTCTCATGATGAAACCATCACACATAATCTCAATTAGACGACTTTGCACAGCTAACAACTGCCTCGCAAGGAGCCAGGTTGGACAAGCAAGGAGACCACGAAGGTCAGCTGGAGACAGCAGGAGATGGGCAGGGCCACAGAGCGCAGGGGACAAAATTGCAGGGATTTGGGGAGAGAAATATTCCTGGAAATTCTAAAGGTTAATCAGACCCCTGGAAAGACCTTCTTGATCTCTGGTTTTCCCAGCATCAGTTTTAGGCTTCTGTCTGAGCTCTGCCTCAAGATTTGAAAGGATGAAAGCTTTTCCCCATATCCTGCAGAGGCCAAGATAATCTGAGAGCGTGTGCATGTGGCAAAAAGGCTCTTTTCTGTGGATGCATGGTATCTGGAATAGGGAATGTGTATTCTTTGTGTGAGCTTGTACTTTGTGCCAGTCATACCCACGGGGATGCCATCTGGAAAAATCACCCTGAGTGAGACAAAGGAGCTGCCTGATAAAAGCATGGTTCAGTCTTCTCGTTTTTGTCTCCTTCCAGCGAGAAGGTTCCTGTACAGTTACTGCCCACGTTGACAATACAAACACACTGGCCCATGCAGAACAGGATTGCAAAGTGCAAGGTTTGTAACTGTTATTCTGTACCCGCTGCTTCCTTGATTCAGTATTGCTTGGTACATCACGATGATGACAAATTCATATTGCATGCATTCAGTTCTGTAGGGTCTTCTACTACAGGGCTTTTCAACCAGTGGTATGGGTACCACCTGTGGTACATTGGCACCTGGCAGGTGGTATGCAACCATCCTAGAAAAGTGGTAGCGGGGGAGGGGAATGAGCTGAACCAGTGGCAGCACTGCACAAGCCTGAGCGAGAGATAGCTGGAGCTGCAGGGTGTCAGGGCTCAGCGGAAGCGCCAGGATCAGTGCCGTTTTCCAGCTGTTCGGCACTTCTTCGGGGCTGTCAGGGCTCAGTGGAAGCGCCAGGATTAGCGCCAGGATCCAGCCAGAGCTCAGCACTGACCCTGAAGAAGCCCTGAGCCCTGAAGAAGCACCAATCAGCTGGAAAGCAGCACTGATCCTGGCTCATCTGCTGAGCCCAGAAGAAGCACCGATCAGCTGGAATGTTGCAACCTCTCCAGGGTCTTGTGGTTTACATTCAGATGCTTGGCAACTGATTCATATTTATGACGGTCACAGTGTCCCAGGGTCATGTGAAGTAACCAAAACCTGTTGCAACCACTCAGCAGATGGGGGGAATAAAAACCAGAGACCCCCCACTCCACCCCCGCTGCCAATCCTCAACAGAAATGCTCACAACAATGAAAACCTTGGACAGGAGGAAGAGCACCGCCAGGTGGGCAGATAGGTGTCTTGCTCGGCTGTGGCTTGGGGGGCACTTTTTTCAGTGCCATTGTAACTTCGAACAGACACTAAGCAAACTGTTGTTAAGTCGAGGACTACCTGTACTTTATCACTTTTTTCCTTTTTTTTTTTTTTTGGTCATCAAGTTTTTGACACCTTGCTAGGTGACTGGTGGTACTTGGATATTGCCATATCCTAAAAGTGGTACAATGGGTGAAAAGGTTGAAAAGCCCTGTTCTACTATATATATGTGAAAGCCCTGATAAAGTTGCTGAACAACAGTTCCTATAATCATCCTCCTCTGCAGGGAATGGGCAGAGCCCATCAGCCACAGCTAACCAGACAAAGTAGAGGGGTCGATGCGACTTGTAGCTCTGGATTTAGAGAAATAAAGATTGAGGGTGGAGGTTCACTCTCTGAACTTGTGGGTTGATTTCCAAACATTTTATTACCAGGTCTCCTAACCTCAGCTGAAGATGTTACCTAGCCTGGCAATGAAACATTCAGAAATCAACTCACAAGTTCAAAGAATGAACCTCCACCTTCATCCTCCACCCAGCTACAGATATTCAGCACCATCGCAAACAATGATTGGCCATCCAAAAACAAAAGCATCACGTTAATATGGCTTCTAGAATTACTTTCTTACAGCCTGTCCCCGGGTTAACAATGTTTGACTTACGGATGACTCGTAGATATGAATGAGCTGTCTATTACCAGAAATGGCAGACAGTGTTCTCCTTGCTCAAGCCAATGAAGTGCTGATGCCACCTGTTTTTGACATACAACCTGTTTTCACCAATTTTCAGTGGTTCTTGAAAGAACTGCGTGGCTTCAGCACTTTTGTTGGCTCAAGGGCAATGCTGTGCACCATTTTTAGTAATAGGCATTAGACAGATAGATAGATAGATAGATAGATAGATAGATAGATAGATAGATAGATAGATAGATAGATAGACAGACAGACAGACAGACAGACAGACAGACAGACAGACAGACAGACAGACAGACAGGACAGACAGACAGACAGACAGATAGACTTTATTGTCATTTTTTACTGTGGGTACAATGACACACATTAAAAATGAAATTTAGTTGCTTGCTCTCAAAGTGTACACATACATAACACACATTTAAACATACTATATACAAAATATGTATAGACCTACATACATGTATATTAATCACTGTCCAACTTGAATACATAGCAGAAGGAGGAAGCTTTAGAATTCACAAGGTTAATACTGTATGGAACAAAACTATGACTGAATCTGGCTGTTCTGCTTCAGATACCACGAAGCCCCCTCCTACCACAAGGGAACAAGGAAAACAGGTTGTACAGTCTAGTAGAGTGGAATAAAGCATTCCTTTTATATGCAGAAATTGGTGGCCATGATGAAACCATAGATAATAACCCTTTACTCACAGTAAATTCCAAACTGCTACAGAGCAATTTGCATTCATGCATTTTTTGCAAGGGGAAAATATGTTTAATATTACCTTACAAAAAAATAACATAGATGTAGGCTGATATTCTTGTAATCTTTCCTTTTCACAATAATCCGATATAAACTTGTAATTTTATCTATATATTTTCAACAGTTGAAGAAAAAGTGGAGCCTCCCGTTGATGCATGTTTTGGTTGCGTAGTCCCGATTGCAAAGGACAGCCAAGAACTGAAGGAGCCGCTACAAGCTGCTATAGAATCATTTAACGCAAAAAACAACAGTGACTTTCATTTCAAAATTGTAGCAATAGGAGAAGTCACAAAACAGGTTTGGATTTTATCACTGCTACTACTATTATCGCAACTTCGCTAAGAAAACATAGTTTGAACCTGAATCCTTTCCCAATTGAAAACCTCTCTATTGATAGATGACAAATAAATAAAGTTTGTTCATTATTTCCATTACAAAAACCAACATAAATACAGGTTGTAGATTTAAGTGTATATATAAGTGTCACCGCTGCACTTATAAATTTAACAGGAGAAAGCTAAGCCTCCTGCTCATAAGTACAGAGGCTGCCCCGTGCCCACTGCAACTGAAAACCCAGAACAGAAGGAGCCTTTGGAGGCTATTCTGAAATACTTAACACTGTTCTAAAAGCTGTAGAAGCAATCAAAATTACAAACAGTTTTGAACTCTGCCTGTACGTAGTACTCTACTGCAATTTGGATTTTTTAAAAAGTCTGGTTTGGACTAAGACAGTCACCTCTGAGATTTCCCAGCTCTGCTGGCCTTCAACAAATTGTATAGTGAAAGACCAGGATTTTTACATCTTAAACTTTCCTAACTAGATGTCTTGCAGATACAGATAGTCCTTGACCTACGAACACAACTGAGCCCCAAATTTCAGTTAACAAGACAATTGTGAAGTGAGTTTTGCCCCATTTTTACAATCTTTCTAACCACAGTCGTTAAGCGAACCACTGCGGTTGTTAAATTAGTAACTTGTTGCAAAGTGAATCTAGCTTCTCCGTTGACTTTGCATGTCAGAAGGTCACAAGAGCTGACCCTGGGACACCGCAACCTTCATAAATATGAGTCAGTTGCCAAAGCATCTGAGTTTTGATCATGTGACCATGGGGATGCTGCAATGGTCGTATGTATGAAAAGAGTCATCAGTCACTTTTTGTCAGTGTCGTCGTAACTTTGAACAATCACTAAATGAACTGTTGTAAGTCAAGGACTACCTGTGATGTTTAAGTGTTTGGAGACTGCAAGCTAGGAGAGGCCATTAGGCAGCAGAAACTCTATGCCTCAGGAACATGATTCTAACAACACACATATCTGTGGACAGAGAATCTCAGCTTGAGTCTTTGACCTTTCCAGTTAAGGCAGGGGTGTCAAACTCAATTTCATTGAGGGCCACATCAGCATTGCGGTTGCCCTCAAGGGGCAGAGTGGGTGTGGCCAGGGTGGGTGCAGCCTACTGGGTGGGCATGGATGGAGTGGGTGTGGCTACTGAGTGGGTGTGGCCAGCTCTACATCATTTGCGTCAAGGGTGCCTGTGGGGGCCTGGGCAGGAGTGGGATAGATCTGAGGGTCTCTGGGAGAAGGGGGTGGGACCAGGGCAAGTGCCAAGGCATGGTCCACTGGAGGAGCCTCACTGTTCCTCTCAGGTCATGCGGGGGGGGGGGGGGCTTATGGAGCTAAGACTGACTGAGTTTCAGCATAGATGGCCACCACAAAATTGTACATTGGTCCCGGCGGGCCTGGGCCAGGGCCAAGGCAGCGGGGGGCCATTCCCTCACTGTTTCCAGGATGGCTTCGCAGGCCACATGAAACCACTTCGCGGGCCACATCCAGCCCCCGGGCCTTGTGTTTGACATGTCTGAGTTAAGGGCTAGGAAATTCCTGACACAAACCTTGGAGTATCCTACCAGGCAACATCAAGTATTCTGGGCATGATAGGTCAATTGTTTGACATGATCCATGGCAGCTTCTTATATGCCTCTATGGCAGTGGTTCTCAACCTGTGGGTCGGGACCCCATTTGGGGTCGAAGGACCATTTCACGGGGGTCGCCAAACAAGGCTGTCCGCCATTTTTTTCCCCTTTTCTTTGGCCACGCCCCTGTCACCTGGTGATGTATAAGTGGTTGGGGGTCACCACAACATGGGGAACTGTATTATGGGGTCGCGGCATTAGAAAGGTTGAGAACCACTGCTCTAAGGGAGCACCATCTTTCCTTGCCCGTTTCACTTTCTTGTTTTTATTAGACTCCTAGAGAAGGAATGGGTCCTTGGGGCCATTGAATCTAAAATGAGCTAACCAGACAGCAAGCCAAGTTTTTTTGTTCTTCGTGGGTTTATGCTATTCAGCATCCAGTCTCAATACAGTTGCTAAACATTTTTCTCCTTGAATTTCAGCTTGTGGCTGGGACAAAATATCGATTTGACATGATAATTCAGAAAACAAATTGCTCCAAGAGTGAAGTGGAGAAGCTAAATGAAGATTGTACTGCTGCTGAAGATGGTGTAAGGCACTGGAATTAAGTCTATAGCAGTGATGGTGAACCTATGGCACGGGTGCCAAAGGCGGTACTCGGAACCCTCTCTGTGGGCACGTGAGCCATCACCCCAGCCCGGCCTATCCCTGCAGCCCCCTCAACAGCAGCCCCACTCTAGAGTCGCCCCCAGGCGCGGCCCGCACACAGCAGTGCAACCAAGGACATGGCAGCAGGGCAGCAGGGACAAGACTCCACTCTCGCACACCATCACGTGCAGATGATGGTGCGGGTGGAGGGCATGACCGCCAGGGCGCTACTAGGCCGCCTGGGTGATCTGTGGCGGGCCGTGGAGGCAGTGGGTGGCCCTGTGGGTAGGCAGAGCGGAGGCAGTGGGCTGGGGCGGAGCGGAGTGGAGCGGAGCGGGGGGGCGAGGCAGGACAGTTTTGGGGCACTCAGTCTCTAAAAGGTTTGCCATCACTGGTCTATGGAGATTCTCAGTCATCTAGGTCATGGTTGTCCCCAAAGTGCTTTTTCACCTTGGACTTTCTTGGTTTTTCTTGAAGACATTTCGCTTCTCATCAAAGAAGCTTCTTCGGTTGTTGAGAACTGAAAGTCCAGTTGCCTTTTGAAAAAGCAACTTTGGGAAGAGCCTGGGATTAGTTCAAGAGGAATATTTTACTTAAGGGAACAAGAGTTAATTTTAAAGCTGGTTCTTGAAACATAAAGTTGGTGAGAAATGACGCAATTCCTCATAGATGCATATTAAGCCTTGCAAGAATCTTTCTGATAGAACAATCCTATAGTATGTCTACTCAAACTCTAAACCTTAAACACAACTTAATAAAACTGCTCTGCCCAAACAAACCATACGGTTAATAGGATGGTCTCATTCACCCAACAAGTCCAGTTTTTGGGTTTACTAACCATTTTTTTTAGTTTATTAAAATACTATAATTTGTTACTAGGAAACGTAGTAAGAAGAAAGCATTGGGATATAATTAGATGAAGTAGAGTTCCACAAATCAATTTTCCCCAAATGGCTGCTGTGTCAGCTGGAAACTCCCAACCCATTTGTACATCCCCTCATTGAGAATGGTTTTCTAAGTGCACACTCACATATAGACACACAGAGATCCAGATACAAAGTGATGCAGGAATAATAAGTCATGATTTTATTGCATTAATTTATATTCCCTGACTTAACTTTTTGAATGAATCGCTCTTCCCCAAATCATAGATGTTGTTGTTGTTGTTTAGTTGTGAAGTCATGTCCGACCGATTGCGACCCCATGGACAACGTTCCTCCAGGTCTTCCTGCCCTCTCCCATCTTCTGGAGTCCATTTAAGCTCACGCCTACTGCTTCAGTGACTCCATCCAGCCATCTCATTCTCTGTCGTCCCCTTCTTCCCTTGCCCTCCATCTTACCCAGCATTAGGCCCTTCTCCAGTGAGTCCTTTCTTCTCATTAGGTGGCCAAATTACTTGAGTTTCAACTTCAGGATCTGGCCTTCTAAAGAGCAGTCGGGGTTGATCTCCTCTAGGACTGACCAGTTTGAACCAGGGGACTGCCTTATCATGGCGAAGGGGCTTGCGTAACTCAGTGAAGCTATGAGCTATGCCGTGCAGGGCCACCCAAGACGGACAGGTCATAGCAAAAAGTTCTGACAAAATGTGACCCACTGAAGAAGGAAATGGCAACCCACTCCAGTATCTTTGCCATGAAAACCCCATGGACAGTACCAAAAGGAATCATAGCTAAAAGTCAAAAATATTCAGAAAACAAATAAAAATGTTGTCACCTTTTGGAAAAGTGAACATTTTCCCAAAACACTCAAAATATAATTATTCTACATCGTAGATTGTTTTTATGCCAATATTCAACAAGAGATGAGTGTTTTCCCTTCTGGTTTTTTTTTTTTTTTTTTTTTTTTTTTTGGGTGACAGGAGCGGTTGTTCTGCAGAGGCTCAACTCTTGTGAGACCCTGGGAGTCGTTCATCTCATCTCAAGTGAACTGCAAAGGGAACGGAATTCAAGAGGTATTCAAATCTGTAGGTGGTCCTTAACTTATAACAATTGGGCCAAAATGTATGTTGATAAGTGAGATATTTATTAAGTGAGTTTTGTCCCATTTTATGACCTTTCTTGCCTCAGTGGTTAAGTGAGTCACTGCAGTTGATAAGTTAGTAACCTGGTTGTTAAGAGAATCTGGCTTCCCCATTGATTTTGCTTGTCAGAAGGTCGCAAAAGGGGATCACATAACCTTGGGACACTGCAACCGTCATAAATATGAACCAGTTGCCGAGCATCTAAATTTTGATCACGTGACCAGGGGGATGCTGCAAAGGTCATAACTGGAAAACGGTCATAAGTCACTTTTTTCAGTGCCATTGTAATTTTGAACGGTCACTAAATGAACTGTTGTAAGTCAAGGACTACCTGTATTAATTTATTTTGAAGCAATCCATTGTTCCATGTACAATTGTGTTGTTTCTTGCCCTGCATACGGTTTTCTCAGGAGACAGGTAAGGTGGTCTGGTTCTTTAAAAACTTGCCACAGTTTGTGGTGATCCACACAAAGGCTTTAGCGTAGTTAATGAAACCGAAGTAGATGTTTTTCTGGAACCCCCTTATTTTCTCCATAATCCAGCAAACATTGGCAATTCGATTTCTAGTTCCTCTACCTCTTCGAAAACCAGCTTGTACCTCTGGTATTTCTCGGTTCACATACCGTTGAAGCCTACCTAGCTTATAAGATTTTGAGCATCACCTTACTAACATGTTAAATAAGCACAATTGTACAGTAGTTTGAACATTCTTTGGCATTCCGTTCTTTCGGATTGGAACGTAAACTGAAGCCATTGTTGAGTTTTCCAAATTTGCTGGCACATTGAGCGCAGCACTTTAACCGCATCATTTTTTAGGATTGTAAATAGCTCAGCTGAAATACCGTCACCTTTGCTATCTTTGTTGTTGGTAATGTTTCCTAAGGCCCTCTGGATTTTGCGTTCCAGGATGTCTGGCTTGAGGTCAGCAATTACACCTTCATAATTATCAGGGACATTTGAGATCTTCCTTGTATTCTTCTTCTGTCATAGTCTTGCCACTTCTTCTTAACCTCCTCTGCTTCTGTTAGGTCTCTAACATTTTTGTCCTTTGTCATCCCCTTCTGCATGAAACATTCCTTTGATATATTCAATTTCCTTGAAAAGATCTCTAGTCTTTCCCATTCTGTTGTTTTGCTCTATTTCAGTGGTTCTCAACCTGTGGGTCGGGACCCCATTTGGGGTCGAACAACCATTTCACGGGGGTCGCCAAACAAGGCTGTCCGCCATTTTTCCCCCTTTTCTTTGGCCACGCCCCTGGCACCCAGTGATGTATAAGTGGTTGGGGGTCACCACAACACGGGGAACTGTATTATGGGGTCGTGGCATTAGAAAGGTTGAGAACCACTGCTCTATTTCTTTGCATTGTTCATTTAAGAAGGCCTGCTTCTCTCTCCTTGCTATTCTCTGGAAATCTGCATCCAGTTGGGTATGTCTTTCCCTTTCTCCCTCATTTTCCTTCTTTCCTCTGCTATTTGTCAAGCCTCACCGGGCAACCACTTCGCTTCCTTGCACTTCTTTTTCTTTGGGATGGTTTTAGTTTTCTGCCTCCTGTACAATGGGGAGAATTGGCTAACATGAGCCGAGGTGGCGCAGCAGTTAGAGTGCAGTACTGCAGGCCACTTTAGCTGACTGTGTTCAGCAGGTCAGCGGTTCAAATCTCACCGGCTCAAGGTTGACTCCGCCTTCCATCCTTCCGGGGTAGGTAAAATGAGGACCCAGATTGTTGGGGGCAATGTAAATATATATATACATTGCTTACTGGTGTACACCGCTTAGAGAGTGCTTGCACTTAAAGCGATATATAAGTCTCACAAATAAATAAATAAATATAACATGACAGTATATTAGTGCTTCGCTAAAGTAGGAATGTGGAATAAAATGTGCTAAGTGCATTTCAATAAATGCATTGTTTGGAAAATTCCCAATAACTGAACGATATTTCAGTTAATCGCCAGGGTACCTCCAGGTTTCACCCCTTTCCGAAGTAGAGTCGGGGCCACTATTCCAATCGAAGGACCAAGTGTTGCGGAGGAATTCCATCCTGATCCGAGGGGACACCACATTCACAAAAACAGGCGGGGCTTTGGCCATGCCCATGGACACAAAAAGGGCCGCAAACATGGGCATAAAAAGCCAACAGAGAGTTCTTCTGAAGAAGTTACAGTTTTACCACCTGTTCAAACTCCAGATCAGCTGCCCACTTCAAAACCTTTGGTGGAACAGGAGGTTAACGGCAGAGGCCTCCATGAAGAAAAGGTTGGGTTTCTTGATGTCTCCCCAACACACAGCACCTCTACAGATTCCCCCACTTTCTTAGATCACCTGCCAGATCTACCAGAACCACCAAAGTGTCCTGGAACACCCTGGAAGCCTAAAAGAGATCCAGAGCCTCTGGACACCTCCTTTAACGATTTTGACCTTTTGGATGCTCTCCAGAAATAAAAAAAAAGCCAGTGAGTTATTTCTACAAAAATGTTCTACTCTTAGAAATGATGAAGTTCTTGGGATTTCTGACTGCGCAAAAGCATAACACTTAAATACAGTTGCAGCAAAGGTTGGCCTGCAGCATCAGCCTGCCTAGCTTCTTAATGTTTTGCAAGATACAGTAGTTGGCAAACAGTCAAACAAGAACTGTAATTCAGTCAGCTCAGCCAGCCAACAATATGCACAACTGCCTTCTGCAGGGCCAGAATTGCCTGCATTCAACCCTGGAGGGAAAAAAAAATTCCCTGGAAGAGAAAGGGGCCTTTGCATGCCTAGAGCAGCTCAGTGGGTGAATTGCGTTAAGTTTCTCTGCAGTCAGTTAGTCAGGATACATTTCCTATACAATGATTAGTTTATGACAAATTTGTAGTAAGTGCATTGAATTCCGTACAATTATATTAATTAGTGCATCTTTCTACTACTGGTTTTGTGATACATTTGATCACACACCTTTCCTTGGCTGTCACAAATAAAAGGCATGTACCAAAAGCACTGGAGGGCTGGATTTGCTTTATTTGAAACATCAGAAAAGTCACTGAAGGCTTAGCCAAATTTATGTCCTCAGAGCCCAAATTCATGAGCAATGAACAACTTCTCAGAATGAAGTCCCCCTCCTTCATGTCTTGAACCCCTCCAGCTTAGACATACTCATGCGTACTTTCATTCGAAAACCAAACTGGGTGGTCTTCTTAGAAGGTTTGTCTTGCAGGCATGTGGCACGTTATTATCATGATGATTCCTTGCACAGCAAGCCAGATGTTTAGACTAGGTTTGGCATCTTTGTCCACCTATCAAGTCCTTTCCAAGGACCTGGGGTAGGCAGATGTTGATATTTGATGGTATTAAAGATATTCTCACAAGGTGTAAACTGTTATATGAGTAAATCTGCCTTTAACAATTAGCTGATGATTTTGTCAATGCCAATGATGTTTAAGGGGTGCTCCAGATGTTTTGGGATTGCACCCAAGGCACCTATTCCTATCGTATTGCCTTTGCCTCTTCACATTTATATGCATCATGATACCCAGCAACTCTGGGCATTTAGGATGCTTTCCATGATTTATCTAGGCCAGACATGTCAAACACAAGGCCCAGGGTCGGATGTGGCCCGCAAAATGGTTTCATGTGGCCTGCGAAGCCATCCTGGAAACAGTGAGAGAACGGCCCCGCTCCTTTGCCCTGGCCTAGGCCAGCCGGGAGCCAATGTACATGGTGGCCATCTTGGCACTTGCCCTAGTGGACCATGCCTTGGTACTTGCCCCAGCTCCACCCCCTTCTGCCAGAGACCCTCAAATCTGTCCCACTCCTGCCCAGACACCCCATAGGCACCCTTGACGCGAATGATGTAGAACTGGCCACACCCACCCAGTAGACCACACCCACTCCATCCACGCCCACCCATTAGGCTGCACCCACTCTGGCCACACACCCCCGCCCCCCCCCAGGGCAACCGCAATGCTGATGCGGCCCTCAGTGAAATTGAGTTTGACACTCCTGCTCTAGGCAGTTTTTTTCTCTTTTCTGATGATGGGCAGATTTTGCACTTAAGGGACCCAATTTTGTTTTTAGATGGTTGACCAGGATTCATCTCAGGCAATAGGCAACTAATGACCTAAGGCTCTCCGAGGGCTCCATATGACATTATCTGGCTTATGCGAGCAGTTTGCCCAAATCAGCTACAGATGCTACAGATAAAAAGCCAGAATTGGCCACCAGAACTCTGGGAAAGGGCAACCAATTAATTGTAAGGGCAAAACACAGGGGGTCAGAGATAGCCAAAAGGCAGAGCTGCTGGTTTTGTCATTGTTCTTGGCCATCAGTGCCAAAAGCCAGTGGCCATCTCTCCAACAAAGTTTATTTTATTTATTAAATGTATATGCTACCCATCTAACTGTTGCAATGACTCTAGGCCAGTGGTTCTCAACCTTTTTAATGCCGCGACCCCCAACCGGTTGTAAGTCGAGAACTACTCAACTGGTCGTAAGTCAAGGACTACTCAATTGGTGCAGCACCGTTTGCAGAATGGGACTTTTGGCGGGCTCAGCAGGGCAGAGACAGCCTGGACAATTCCTATTGGCTTTTGAAAGCCAATAGAATTGGACTCTATTCAAGAGAGTCTATTCTATTGGCTTTCAAAAGCCAATAGAATAAAAGGGAGTAGCACAGCTGAAGAAAAGGGGAAAAAATGGCGGATTGCGTTGTTTGGTGATCCCCATGAAATGGTCCTTCGACCCCAAAAGGGGTCCTGACCCACAGGTTGCTCTAGGCGGCTTACAGAATAACAAAAAGTAAAATAATAATATTAATGCTTTCTGCTTGGTGCCCCTAAATCATGGGTAGGCAACCTTGGCTCTTTTATGACTTGTGGACTTCAACTCCCAGAATTCCTGAGCCAGCCATGCTGAGGGGAAAGGGAGAGGTTTCCAAGCTGAGCCATTGCTGGCTCAGGAATTCTGGGAGTTGAAGTCCACGAGTCATAAAAGAGCCAAGGTTGCCTACCCCTGCCCTAGATAGTTTGGGATTACAACCCCCAAATTCTCAGCCTGTGTAAAAATCCCCATCATGCTTTGCAAAATCCATCAGATTACACAGAGGATGTGGCCCTTTTCTTTCTTGAACATTTTAAAAGCTACCTCGGAGCACTGATGATGTTACCTAGATTAGGTAGTGAAACAACTGCAAGAAAACAAGCAAGCTCAGAGAGCAACAAGGACCCCGTCCTACCTTGGAATCTTGAGAAGAGCCAAAACAGCTTCTAAAGTCTCTCTGAAATGTTAAAGTGAGGCACGGAGGTTCCTCTTTCGGGCCTGGGGCTTGGCAGAGCTTCAAAGGAGGCCGTAATCTCCTATCCCTCCTGGTCCATTGCCTCATTCCTCCCAATAGCAGGACCAGGGCCTTGTGGCTTCCTATGTTGTTTGCATTCCTTTTGAGGGGAAAAGGAAATTATTACTCTAAAAAAAAGATGAATTGCATTTTTATGATCGCTGCTACCAAAAAAGGTTCCACTCCTCCATTACCAACACAGACAGTCTGGCAATTAGTCTTCTCCCAGGATCGTGTTTCCCCTCTCCTCCCCCCACCCCCAGCAATCTATTTTCTCATCGCTGTTTATAAAAGTCTTCCGTAAGCTTGTTTGCAAGATCCTATTTTACGCAGCAGGTTCCGCTTTCTTTTTTGAGCTGTTCTGCTGATTGAGAGCTAGGAGTGTTATATATAGCCTGAAGAAACTAGTCACGGCCACTTGGTGGCGGTCACTTTATGATCAGAACGCCAGGCCCTCTGAAGATAGGTCTGGGCTTCTGGTTTCTTCCGTTTAGACCAGAGGTCCTCAAACTTGGCCACTTTAAGACTTGTGGACTTCAACTCCCAGAATTCCCCAGCCAGAAATCCACAAGTCTTAAAGTGGCCATGTTTGAGGACCCCTGGTTTAAACCGTTAGGTGGCAGTTGAGCTCCCTGTGCTTCATAAGGTAATAATAGTAGTAGTAATAATAATAATAATAATAATAATATTTGTTATTGCACTGTTTCCTCTGTCAACAATACTGAATAACTCAGGACATGGCTATCAAACATCAAAAACATCTGCCAGACTATCACACCTCCTTTATATGGATGATCTGAAGCTGTATGGAAAAACATCATCTGAAATAGAATCGCTGCTCAACACTGTCCGTATATATAGCCAAGATATTGTAATGCAGTTTGGCTTGGACAAATGTGCCACACTTACTATCAAACAAGGAAAAGTAGTGAAAACTGAAGGAATCAAGATGTCCCACGAAAATAACATTAAGAGTCTGGATGAGGAAGAGTACTACAAATACTTGGGTATCCTTCAAGCTGACAACATCAAGCACACTGAAGTCAAAAAAAAGATTAGAGGTGAATACATCAAGAGAGTGAAGAAGATCTTAAAATCCAAACTCAATGGAGGAAATACCATAAAGGCAATCAACACCTGGGCAATCCCAGTCATTAGGTACACAGCTGGAATAGTGGACTGGACTCAAGCAGAACTAAAAGCAATGGATAGGCAGACCAGAAAAATAATGACAATGAATCATGCCCGTCATCCACGCAGTGACATTGATAGACTTTATCTACCAAGGCAAATAGGTGGGCGTGGAATGCTACAAGTACATCAGATGGTTGAAGAAGAAAAAATGGCTTTGGAAGAATATCTGAAGAACAATGATGAAGATGCACTGAAATTAGTATATCAGGAAGGCTTATTAACTACTGGAGAGACCAAACTGGCCTACAAGAAAGACCAAATGAAGAACAGAATAGAGGCATGGGAAGACAAAGCACTACATGGCCAATACATGAAAAAAATAGCTGGGAAAGCAGATAATAATAAAACCTGGCAATGGCTAAGAGCAGGAAAATTGAAGAAAGAGACCGAGGACTAATTCTGGCTGCACAAGACCAAGCCTTAAAGACAAATGCATACAAAGTCAAAATTGAGAAGACAGCAACAGACAGTAAGTGCCGCCTATGCAAAGAAGCTGAAGAAACAGTGGACCACTTGGTAAGCTGTTGCAAGAAGATTGCACAGAATGATTACAAGCAGCGGCATGACAAAGTAGCAACAATGGTGCATTGGAAGATCTGCAAAAAATATCATTTGCCTTTAAGCAAAAACTGGTGGGATCATAAAATAGAGAAAGTCATAGAAAATGATAAAATTAAACTGCTCTGGGACTTCAGAATTAAAACAGACAAGCACCTGCAACATAACACCCCAGACTTAACAATTGTCGATAAGAAAGACAAAAAAGTCTGGATAGTGGACGTGGCAGTGCCTGGAGATAGCAGAATAGAAGAGAAAGAACTGGAGAAGATAACAAAATACAAAGACCTACAAATAGAAATAGAAGACTGTGGCAAAAGCAAGCAAGGGTAGTACCAATAGTAATAGGCTCCTTAGGTGCAATCCCAAAACAACTGGAGCACCACTTGAACACCATTGGCATTGACAAATTCACTATTAGTCAATTGCAAAAGGTGGCCTTATTAGGAACTGCTTCCACCCTGCGACGATATCTGTAATGCCATCAAACATCCACATCTGCCTATCCCAGGTCCTGGGTAAGGACTCGATAGGTAGACAAAATGCCAAATCCAGTCTGAACATCTGGCTGACTGTGCGATGATTAATAATAATAATATTGGAAGGGACCTAGGAGGTCATTGAGTCCAACCCCCTGCTCAGGCAGGAACCCTACACCATTTCAGGCAAATGGCTGTCAAGTCACTTCTTAAAAACTTCCAGTGTAGGAACATTCACTGCAGGTTGTTCCATTGGTTAATTGTTCTAACTGTCAGGAAGTTTCTCCTTAGTTCTAAGTTGCTCCTCAATCAGTTTCCACCAGTTGCTTCTTGTCCTGCCTTTAGGCACCTTGGAGAATAGCTTGACTCTTCTTTGTGGTAGCCCCTGAGATATTGGAACACTGCTATCATGTCCCCCCTCGTCCTTCTCTTTGTTAAACTAGACTCAGCCTATCTGCTTTTGCCAGCTCTCGGAAAAGGCTTATGGAGGGAAATGACTGAAAGTGTCACTCCACAAACTGGCCAACGGATCTGTCCTTCTAGCTCAGGGATAGGCAGCCTTGGGTCTTTTATGACTCGTGGACTTCAACTCCCAGAATTCCTGAGCCAGCATGGTTCAGCTTGGAAACCTCTCCCTTTCCCCTCAGCGTGGCTGGCTCAGGAATTCTGGGAGTTGAAGTCCACGAGTCATAAAAGAGCCAAGGTTGCCTACCCCTGTTCTAGCTGGTTGGTGTGATTATCAGGGTCCACCTCCAAAGGCTCCATTTGAGCACACCGTTCTTTGTTTCAGGTGTTACATGGCATTCGATTTGAGACAGAAGAGATCAGCCCTCCCCCCGCTGATCATTTTTCATAGCACTTGCTGGCACTGTCAGTTATTCAGCAAGGCTTATATTTCCAAGCCTCCCAGCAAGTTTATGACAGGGAAATCTAACAGAAATTCAGCACCAGCAAATCTGTCACATTTAATAAGTGCTGATGTGAGAGATTTTTACACAAGGTAGACGGTTTGGTTATAATGTGTATTTTTTAAAATCATTTTACCTAACATCACCCAAATAAAGGCATTGTTTTTTAAATAATACACTTTCCTAAATAGAATCAGAAACAAACAATATGCTCTGATCTGCCTCATACAGATGTTCTAAAACGCAAATCCCAAGTCACTATTCGAAAAAAGTTTAGGCAAAACCAGTGGACCTTTTTTTCAAACATCATATTTTAGTAGTACCTTTTTTTCTTGCCTGTGCCAAAGACCCGTCAAAAACTGTGGTATATTATGAAAATAATAGGACCCAGGTCTCCAGGGTGTTACTTTATCAAGTCAATCTTTCTGAGGAAGAAAGAATAGATTAATTAGCATTGTATTATGGAAAACACAAGTCCCAAGCCTCACAAGGAAATTATAACTCCGCTGCACCCAGAACTGTATTGTTTGCATGTGAGGCTTTGTGAAATGTTGTGCACATAACCTTGAATTGTTTCATCTGGCTAAAAATGTTGTCCAGGTGCTCAAGAAAAGAAGGCTTTTGTGTCCCTTTTGAAGTGCTGGTTTGGATCCTGGCCCTTATTTATTGGCATTTATTTCTGAGAGTTCTGTCTATACCAGGGGTAGGCAACCTCGACTCTTTTATGACTCGTGGACTTCAACTCCCAGAATTCCTGAGCCAGCATGGCTCAGCTTGGAAACCTCTCCCTTTCCCCTCAGCATGGCTGGCTCAGGAATTCTGGGAGTTGAAGTCCACCAGTCATAAAAGAGCCAAGGTTGCCTATCCCTGCACTAGACCATTCCCAACTGGCTAAGAGCAATGTATAAGGAAAAAACCATAACATCATTTTTAAAAAAGGAAACTAAAAAACAATACATAAGGATGCCTTCCCCTGAGGTCAGGCCAAATTGGCATCCCCAAGGCAATATGAAATAACCAGGTTTTCTACAGGTCTGTGAAAATCCAGCACAAGAGGAAGCAGCCTGGATGTTGTGAGATCCTGAAGACAAAGCTCCCTCAGTGACAAAATCCTCAACATGTCTTCTCTCTCTGGTCTCCCTAGATGGGCAGATTCATTTCGGAGCCAAAATTCTTGAAGACATCCAGGTCTGCAATCATGAAGGGCTTTAAAAGTGATAACTAGCACTTTGAACTGTACACAGTTTCTCTCTAACCAATGCGACACCCAGAATAAAGAGATTATATTGGTGAATGTAGATGCTCCCACAAGTAGCTGGGAGTCAGGTGCAAGGAAGCAGAACAACTCTGTGAATAGGCCAAAACAATGTATTGTTGATCACCTATTTTACAGGAATCTCACCAGACTGACTGCATTTCCTTTGGAACTGTGAGATAAAGGCTTCAATGATCTGGCCTCTGCCGTTTCCTCCCATAGAGCAACTCTATACTAGAATGTCTTTTTATTCCCCCTTCTCTTTTAGCCAGTGATTCCACTACACTGGGCAGCTGCAAGTTGTAGTACTTTTAGATTATGGCCTTCAAGGGTATCCCCATGTAGTTTGAGTGGCAGTACTCCAGCCATGAGTTAACAACAGCATGAACAACTATTCAGTATGCAATGCTGCCTGATCCAGAAAAGATGCAACTAATGCACTAGGGGTAATTATATAAAGATTTTTCTGGACACAATTCCATCTTTATTCCAATAGAAGCTGAAAGTGCAGCTTGCAAACCAGCTCTGAAGATGGTCCTGATCTAAAGATGGACCATCTCTGAATTCAAAAGGTCTCCAGATCCACCACCATTCTGCCTTGTTGAGGTCAGCCAACAACTTTGGCATGCAACGCACATGCTCTGCTAGCAAGATGTGGTCCATAATAAAATATTCCCCTATCCTCTGTATAATGGACAATGAATTGCCAAGTTCGAATAGCCCATTCCACTGATTGCAAAATATCCCACAATCTGCATTATAATAAACTCTCATTAACAAATATCCCTCATCCTAAAGGTGAAACTGCCTTTATTTAGTGATCCACTGTTCCATATCACCCTCAGGCC